TAATTAAGGAACTATAATATATAGTATCTAAGAATAGGTTAAGAGATAAATTAACTCGGTAAAGCGATTCGAGTTCGGTAAATTAAAGATAATTTAGAATAGAGAAGTAGCTACCGGCTAATTATAAGCTAGAGAAAGGCTATTAACTATTAGAAGTATTATTTTATTGCGTTTTTAGGCGAGTTTATACGAGAAAAGAGAGATTGCTAGTATCGGATTAGCATAGCATAGTAGCCACCTCGCATAAACCGGCTCAAGCCCTAACTGCCGGAACATAGATGTTCCGTTCCGGCAGTGGTATATAGAGCTAGCTCCGAAGCTACCTTCCATAGAAAAAGACATCTTTATTATACCGACCTTGACACTTGATCGAATACCCTCTACAGAGGAGCCTACCCACACATGGACATGGCATGGCGTTGCTAGGAGCTGGGCTTTTAGTAGAACGAGCAATGAGATCGAATTTATTAGCGAGCACATGATATCTTTCTCCGCAAATCCGCTGCCAATTCCACTCAAACGCCGTCGGCATTTGAGTCCCTCGCGTGGCAAACGTCATCTGTGTGGAAAGGCACGACGTTCCAGCAATGGGAGGCGATGCCGTGCAGCGGAGTCGACACGGCCCTCCATATTTCCCTCGTTCCGACGTGTTCGTGACCACTGCAATGGGTCGCTCTATCCCGCACCTAGCGGGCGCGCAGCATTCGTGCTCCTCCCGTCGGCACTTCCATACAGCAGCCGCCAAATATAAGGTACATTGTTGGTGTCTCCCTGTCCGTTGTCTTTGGATCGCTTCTCCAGCGTCAACGTTCCGTGTCGTTTGCTATTCTCCTATCACAGCCCACGATTCCAATCCCCTCTGCCTTGTTTTCAGTTGCCACGACTTGGACTCCTCACTTTAGCCCATCAGACTAGGCCCGCCGGAAGTCGCCTCATTTGCTCGACAAGCAATCGGTCGCAAAACTACCTTCACCACAGCCAACATGTCAACTCAGGCAGTCATTCACTCTCCGGAGCGTCAACAAAACTTCCCCCCAACCCCACCTTCCGAGCCAGCGACCGAGATTTCGAAGATGTCGTCCGACAACGCATCTGCCTCCGCCCAAACGACCGTACGCTCGAGGTGGCACTCGCAGCACAAGCACATCTGGGTCATAACTGGACCGGCCGGCTGCGGGAAGACCTCAGTTGCTGAGTACCTGCACTCGACATTTTCGCTGCCATATTTGGAGGGCGACACGGTATGTCTCGGAAAGTGGGACTGTGGAGAATGTCGGGCCGACTAACGTTGGGGGTCACAGTTTCATACGCCAGAGAATGTCAAAAAGATGGCTGAAGGAAAACCGCTCACCGATGCCGACCGTTGGGACTGGTTAGTCCTGCTCCGCGAAGAGTCTGTCAAGGCTCTGCAAAATTCCTCATCAGATGGAGTGATTGTCACATGCTCCGCGCTCAAGAGAAAGTACCGCGATGTCATCCGAATCGCCGCATACCACCATCCCGAGATCCAAGTGCATTTCGTCTTCCTCAAGGCTTCGGAAGCGCTGCTCATGGATCGAGTGAGAGCGAGACAGAACCACTACATGAAGGACTACATGGTTCACAGCCAGTTCGAGAGTCTTGAAACACCCACCGAGGACGAGACAGATGTTCTAGCAGTCGATGCGAGCGGAACGAGCAAGGAAGTGCAGAACCTGGCACTGAAGGTCGTCGAGCAAGAGATGACACGCGATTCCACGTCCTAGCGGCTGGAACGATAGTAACACGTTGTATTGCATGTTACTTCTTCTCTGCTGTACTCAATAATTCTTGATTCGGTGTTTTAGCGTTGGCGTAAGGAAACGGGATATACCTGAGTCGGTCATAGAAAATGATGGTTTCTGTTCTCAGACACCCTAAACTTTTCTCCAAGCATCCTCAACAGTGTCCGCCAACTCTTGGAGAGTTTCGACTCGGAGCTTGAAGCCATACTTCTCAGAAGCACCGCTGGGGTCGCCGCCCATCGCGCCACCACGATCTACCCACACGCTCTGCAGCTCCACTTGCTTTGCTGGACCATGATCGTGGAAAAGCGACTGCGCAACATGGCAAAGCTCTGCTTTTTCAACACCGAAGTCCGATTTGACGTGCTCCAACAGATAGTGGAAGTTCTTCAAATCCGGTTTGTAGGAACCAATATCCTCAGCGGTGTATACTTTGTCGAATTGGCAACCCTTTAGAGGCCCCGAGAGTGTCTGCTGGAAAGAAGCGAGGTCTACGTTCGACAATGGGATGAGCTTGTACCGTTTGCCGCTACACATCGTTAGCACATGTAGTGGTCTATGCAACAACGACACTGTGCGATTCGCAAAGCACTCACAGAGACTGTATCGCTTTCACAGTATCAGTAAAAGCAGGATAGGATCCAATCTGGGAACCATATTCTTTCGCTGCTTGGTCGACCTGGTTCTGTTGAAGGTGGCCATTCTCCACGACCTTGAGCTCTTTGGCATATCTTCGAAGACCTTCGGCAATGATATCTTGTTGTTTACTTGTTGGTTGTTCTTTCTGGACCGTGGTATCGTGTTTCTCGATCGAAAGCATGAGCTCTTTGTGATCCTTTGGGAGATACGGTGCCAGAGCGGTGTTTCGTGCTGCTTGAGCTATACCCGATTCCCAATCGATGAGAGCTGTACACAGTCAGCTCCTCTGGTCATGTACATTGTGTCGAGTTTCGAACTACAGACTTCCGTAGATGTCAAAGCTCAAGGCTTTGATTTGTGTCCAGGGAATTGTTGAAGACATATTGAATGTGTGTTAAATTGAATTTGAGAGGCGATTTGTTGGTATGGAATGCAGATGTATTTATGTCGCTGGATTAGGCCCAAGTGTGCGGGATGCGGCCCAGTACTCGATGGTATACTGCGCCCTTTGTTTTCTCTAAATGGTCACCGTGACACGTCCGACCGGCCCGGCCAGCTTCGGAAAGCTCACAGCATCCCACATTGGCAAAGGCCGACTTTGACCAGACAACCGGATACCAATAATTCGAGACACATATCGTCGCACATGGCTCAGCCGAAGGCAGCGCACCTGCCTCGACGGTGCATATCAGTGCTATCAAATAAGACACCATGCTGCGTTTGAAAGGATAGGCGCAAATCTCTTCTGCTTTTACACTGATCTACCATTTACCGTCATCAGGAATCTTGTAAAGACCATTCTTCCGTCTCTCCGCAGCCCATCGATCGCACCACGCTTTCATCCTCTCGCGACTCTTTGCACTCCCGACGTTGACGGTGGGAATGATCTTGTCGATTCGTAATGCACAACAGAACATGGTGAGCTCTCTGAAGCTGGAATGTTCACTGTATGGAACACCAAAACAACTTGCTCTGCTCGAGCTGCCGCGCTGTGGCACCAGATCCCGCATGCTATATGTACTTCTCCAGTTCTCCGAATGTAGTACCGTGGAAACCAGCGGGCTTTCCGTGAGGCGACTTTTTGGAGGTTTGTAGTTCCAGCCACTGGGTCGAAAGCCTACGGCGCGAGTAAAGTGTGGCCAGAAGTCTTTAAGGTAATCGTCTAGTGTCTCTGCCCGGATCTCGAATAAAGGTGTCATATGCACCTGCGCTTCTTTGGGGTTGTTCGTCATCAGGGCGTCCAACTCTGGATCTTCCAGAGCCGCCGCGATGCGCTGTTTCGAAGGTGGAGCATAGATCTTGGAGTTTAGTGCTTTGGCTATGCCCAGACATATGCGTTCCTTGCCGATGCTATAGGTGCCCACAACCACCAACAGCCGGCCCCTGGACTTCTTGTCTTTAGCGCTAGAGAGGATCTGTTGGCTGGCATGTGGGTTCTTCTCAACAGTCATGCTGTCGCCACTCGTCGCGTCTGTGACTTCTTCACTAGCTGCGATGACAGATGCTTCGCGCTGTATAAATTTTGCCATCCCTTCACCTGCGCGTTGCCGCTTCATTGTCTCCCAGCCATCTTCATCATCCGCCGTGTCCTTGCTGAGGCAGACACACATATCCGCGCACGCTTTGATGACGTCTTCCTGGCCGGGAAACGCATACTTTGGGTTGAGGTATGTGGTATCGAGATAGCAGACGTCGATCTTCTGTTCTTTTGTGTTTCCACTGACCTTGTCGACAACTTCTGGCATTAGCAGGGGATGTTCGACGTGCATTTTGCATGCCCGGAAGTCGCCACAGTGCAATATCCGTTGCACTCGAGGCTCTCCATTTTGCTTGATGCCTACAGTTTTCTCAAACAAGTAGAGCGAACTGCCAGGACAGTGGTTCGCGGAGATCATAGTGACTTTAACGCCACGCGTGCCTGGAACATCGATCTGTCGCTCAAACTCTAAAGGAACAACGTATTTGGGATCAACCCTAAGTTGCTGCTTGACGAGATTGGCGGTGACCTTTGAGCAATAAATGGGGCCGTGAGTCCAGGTGGATGTGAGTCCCACGTAGTGATCACTGTGGAAATGGCTGAGAAAATACGCCTGACAGCCTTTGACAGCCCCGTATCGAAAGGCATCGACGCAGATGAAAAGACCAGGTAAGATTTTGTAGAATGGACAGGTACGTTGATAGGAGGGTTTGCCTCGGGCAGCATGCTCCGATGCAGCAGCCTCAGCCCATGCAGCCTCCTCTGTGTGTCCGGACATGAGCTTGTTGAACGCTGATCCACCTCCATGCTGTACTGCTGGATCGCCGAGATTGAACGGATTCGCTTGACCTGGTCGAGCTGGCCGAGCTGGACGTCGATATTGGCCGGCAGAGCTTGAGTCTTCGGACTTCATGGGCCCAGGTGTGGCACAGCCTTGCTTTTTGGGCTTCTCAGGCAGTGGTGTGGGCTTTCCATCCAAGCAGTTGTTGACATGCACGCCTGCGTCTCGCTCGGTGACACCATCGAGGCACAAATTACAAACTGGACAAAGCGTGGTGACCTGACCCTCCATGCTCTCTAATTTAACGTTGCCATCGTCCGTTGGCCGGTCATAGTCTTTCTCGTCCTCTGCCTCCTCCTCTTCCAGTCTAGCCTGCTCTTCCATGTAGCGACGCTCGCGGAACTCGTCACCCTCCTCGAACTGGTCCTCGTCAAAATCGTCGTCTCCAAACTCCTCGAACTCGTCCATACCTGGCTCGTAGCTCGTCTCTTCCTTGATTAATTCGGGCGGTGATTGAGCATCGCTTGCTGCAGCTGCAGTGACTGGAACCTTCGCCGAAGCCTCTTTCGCCTCGAGAACTGGTATGGCCCTAGATTCTCCATGCGAGATATTCTCGAGGTCTGTCGTTGCGGCAGACCCTTCTTCCTCCTGCTCGCTATCCGAATCTTCGCAGAATGGGCCAATTTTCCTCACGACGGCCTTGGTGTCCGAGTCCAGTTGTTGAGGTGCTTTCTTGTCAGGTCGATTATCCGTCTCTTCGCTGCTCCTCTTCCGCCGCTTAGATGGCCCCCCGATTTCGTTGAAGCGCTCGGTGTCGAAAGTGTCATCTGAAGTGAAGAGCTCGGCAGCATCTTCGTCAATGGCTGCAAATGAGCCCGCCGCAGACAGTCTTCCATCGACGAACAGGCCGGGTTGCGCAACGCCACCTTCGTCGGACTTCTTGAAGAAGCTGAGAATACTGCCGTTGCCCTTGCTGGTGAGTTTGTTCCTGGGAGTGGTCGGCTTCTTCGAACTGCTTGGGCCTTGCCGTCCAATCGTGGGCAGCGGCAGCTGCTTACTCGCCTTGGTTCGGGTCGCCATCTTGGGTGGCGGGATGGTGGGAGGCACCGCAAGACTGAACGGTGTCTTGGCCTCTGTTGTGGGCGACGGAGGACGTCCTACCTCGATCGATGTAGAGTCTCGAGGCTTGCGAAACATGGCCAACCTGCCATGGTCGTAATAGGGCGTTGTGAGATGCACACTACTGTTGGCACGGATTGATGCAAGCGGGATGGGATGCGCCTGAACGCGTCGCGTCGTCACGTGGGTGGTGACATAAGAGCTCAGGGTCCGCTACTTCCACTGCTACTGTACATCATCCGTAACCTGGCGGTGATCACAAAGGACACGGACACGGTCAACTTCAATCCGTCACTCTCCCATGCGCCATGGACTGAAGCTCTGGATCAGTCTCAGCGAGCACCGACACCAGACTCAGAAGCCTTTGCGACTTCAATTCGGTAGATGATGTTAGCTTCCTTTCAAGCAGCACAACTTGCCCGTTCTTCACACGTTGCCAGGAGCGATCATGGACGGCAATCTCAGCTTGCTGCCCTACGATTTCGAGGACTGCCTAACAACAAGTTACGAAATATTGCTCCGGTCTCCCTTCCGAATGCTCGACCTGCCCCCAGAACTATGGTCTCGGATTTGTGAATTTGTAAGGCTCTCGCAACTGGAGGCTTGGAATTGCTGCTGACTGAGGGATGTCTATGTGTAGGCCGTCATCAGGCCTAAAGGCATCGTCCTTGGCCGTGAGAGCCACTCTGCGGACATGGCTAGGATCGTGAGGCAGCCTAACATTACTCGCACATGTCGTTTACTGCGTAGCGAGGCGCTTCCGGTTTTCTATGGTCTCAATGACTGGGAAATGATCCATTCATATCTGGTACCATGTCCAAGGCACTTTATGATCGCAATCGGAGACGTCAACTTGAAGAGGATAGGCACCATTCTGATACACAGTAACTGCGGGCATCAATGGTGGGAAAGTACCTTCCAACGAGGCAAAATCAAGTGCAGGATCGAGATGGTCGGTACTAACCTCAAGTACATTGCGCCCCTCTCGTGGCGTGGGCTTCATACGTATCGAGTGACCTTCGCCTGACACTGCTAGCACAGGACTCTGGTACATCGGAATGGAAGGTTGCAGTAAAAGTTCTGGCAGTGATCTGAGAACAACCGTCTTGACTCAACGAACGACCTGAGTTATGCGCCAGGATTACCAGAATTGAGAGAGATGAGGTTCGATGTTTAGACCACAATGGTTGGTCGGTCACGCGCGCCGCTTCAGAGCGCATTTGGGTGCTCAATAGCGGAACAGTCTCGTTACCAAGCGAGTACATCTAGAGAAGACAGCACAACTCATGGCCGCACAGTACATTGATGATTGAGGAACAACATCCAGATATCTTAGCTCATCGCGCGAAACCAAAGGCTAGGGTGCAATGCTTCGTCCATAGCGTTCGCATCAGCAGCAGCAGAATTGTCTTCAGCATTGCCGCGAGCTGGCTTTGAAAGCCTACTGCCTATGCTGAGATACTGTAGCACACGTTCAAAGACGGGCTCACGCATTGCATTAGTTGTGCAAGAAAACGAGTAGCTCGCAAGTAGGGTCTTCTAGCCATGATCATGACTCGGAAAGAGAAATTGATGAGTTCATTGTGTAAATGTTGATTCGCCCTACGCAAAGCAGGACATAACCTCCGAAGCGGGATCACCTCCGCGGCGAGTGAACCCTCGAGCCAAAAGTTTCGTGGTCCTCTACACGTCTTCACAGTGACATTGCTCTATCACGCGCTTCCCACCATGGTGGAGCAAGCAAACTCGCCAAACAATGGGGGCGCTACGGCGGCACCAGCAGCAGATGGCGCTGCGAAAACCGCTAAGGCAACTGCGCAGAACCCTGCCTTTCGCATGATGGGCTTGCCTCGACTGCGACTGCCATCACGGAACTGGACCATCTTCTGGACTATCACCGGTTCCTTTGCCGGCGCAGTGATCTACGACAAGTATCAAACGAAGCGCACAAGAGAGAAATGGGTCAACCTCGTCTCCCACATCGCTGACGAGCGACTCGACACGAAGACGATTCCACGTCGAGTTACCATCTACCTGCAAGCACCTCCTGGCGATGGGCTGCGGACAGCGCGCGAGCACTTCCATCTGTACGTCAAACCGGTACTGGTGGCAGCGGCCATGGACTGGGATGTTGTGGAAGGGAGGAAAGAGGGCGATGTGCGACACAAGACGGCGGAGAAGATCAGGAAACAACGCAGGAAGAATGGCGAGGGCGAAGTGGTGACTGACGATGAGGATGGCACACTCATGGTTGAGAATTTGCGCCGGCAAAATGGAGATGTGGAATATCCAGGTGTTGCCGGAGACATCGTGATCGGTCGACACACCTGGAAAGAATACATACGCGGTCTACACGAGGGCTACCTGGGACCTGCAAGTCTGCCGAAGGAGGCGGATTCCGATTCAGTCGCTGGTACAGAATCCGCCGGCCATGCCCCTGCATCTGCTTCTGGCAATGACACTACTGCGAATACCACAAGCGCCCACGGAGGTGGTGGTGGTGAGGAGTCACCGCTGACATCCCTAGATACTGTAGTCGAAAGCGCGGGGCCAGGTAATTCTACGGACGCCGAAAATATTGGCGACGGGGCAAATGAGGACAAAAAGGGAGAAGAGAGCGCCCAGTCAAAGGATAACGACGGCGAGCAGAAACCGAAACGACGGTTCCCACCATCACCTATCCTCCCTGAAGACTACAGCACGGCTGTGCTATCACCTTCTACACCCGAGATCTTGGGCCCGAGTGTTGGCGTTCGCTTGCCCCATCTCCTCGGAATCAAGAATACGCCAGTGAGGATTTACCGATTCCTGAACAGGAGACGACTGCAGGACGACATCGGGCGACAGGTTGCGGCTGCAGTTCTGGCCTCGTATCGCCCATACACCTCTGTGATCGCGCAGGACGATGGCAGCGCGTCTGACGTAGCAAAGGAAACATCGGAGCAAGCCACAGTCTTGCAGCAGGAGGAGAAAGACTGGTACAAGCTTGTCCATAAGCCCCGTGCAGAACATGAAGAGAGCTTATGGATAGAGCCAATAACTCTTGACGAGCGCATAGCAAATCGCATGCGTGCATTCGAGCTCACTTCTGCAGATGAGGAGCGCTCACGAAGGATAGCGGCGGGCAAAGAAGCCGCATCGAATCAGGAGTCCTGAGGAATTGCACTTGTTGCTCGAGGCGCAACGCTTCATCAACAGTCGCTTCGCATGGCTCTGAGCATGCCCATGCTAAGGTCATACTTTTTTGCGCCTGAGCCGGTCAGGTGCAGCTTGGCCAGTGGAGGTGTGCGGCCAGATTCCGAGCATGGTGGCTGCTCAGCTTGTAGGATAATGTACAGTAATGGGGTTAGCCGCAATGCACTCCGCAAAATGAGGCGGTGCCCGTGGTGTGAACATCGGTTCCACACGAATCACTGCATGGTGTTTGTTCCTGTGATTTCTCTTGTCAGGCCAGTCCTGAGACGAAGTTCCGGGTTGGCAATGCTCGGACAGAGCTGTACGTGGTAGTCTCTCGTCGATCAATTCTCAGGTCGCGAAATGTTCGTCCGGACAGCGCGAGGTCGAAGAGCCATTATCACTGCTGCGGAGAACCAATTTTTCATATGCTGCCGAGGGTCGCAGGCCTGAGGTGGTTGGTAGGTGCCGGGCCGTGGACATGCAGGACGAGGAGCGGCTGTCATTGGCCAACTCGTATAGATGACGACCCGCTAGACTCTTCACAGTCGAGGCCAAAGTCAATCATCCTCGCTGCACGACCGTCGAGGCGTGCTGACGCTGGGAACACCGGACTGGACTCGCCCTGCTCCGCTCATGGATTCGGGCAACGTAGAGGCACTGATCAGTCTCAAAAACATGTCCTCTCCTTGGTCGATTCGCACCCGTAGAAACGCCATTCCGCACGCAGACCAGCACACGACGAGGTTGTCGCCGTGACAGCTGCTCCATACACCCGCCGACGAGGATCATATTGCAATGGGTCTTCGTTATTATGCTCAGCGAGTCCACCATTGTGGTTGAACGGCCCCGGTCCGGCTCCGTCAGCAGTTCTCAGAGCAGTTCCTCCAACGACCAAAAAGTGGTCTCACGAGAGAAGCAGCTGGCCAGGGCAGAGAAACGGCCTGGACACCAGAGGAGATATGCACCAAAGACGCGAACTGGCTGTATCACATGCAAAGTACGTCCATTGTACTGACCTAAACCTCCACACTGCTTCTTCCCCGCTGCAATCACAGGTGCGAGCGCACAGCACTCCCAATGCGGCAAAACGGTGGTGGCATGTGCGCTCGCATCTCACACGTTGGTTTTCTGCAAGCACCACATGGGGTCTAGCTAATATGTCCATCTTCTGCGCCTTAGATACGGAGAGTGAAGTGCGATGAGGAGAAGCCACACTGCAAACGATGCACTACGACGGGCCGGAAGTGCGATGGCTACGCCCAAATGGGCGAGTCGCCTACCAGACCAAAATCGCCTGAACCATTAACGGTTGCTCTGATCAACGACGTCTCAAGTGATGCCCTGGAGCGAAGGACTTTCGACTACTTCCGTGCCCGTACGGCACCCTGTGTGTCAGGCTATTTTTCCGATACCGTATGGGAACGACTGGTACTACAGCTGAGTCACCAAGAGCCTGCAGTCCGACATGCCATCAACGCTCTTGGTGCTTTGCACGAGGAGAGGTCTCTGCGCCGATCCGCTGGCGCAGAGGGCATTGATGTGTCCCTTGTGAAGACCGGGTTCCCCATCCTACAATACTCCAAGGCCTTGAATGAGATGCAGGAGTTGCTGAAAAGTGGTAAAGCACCTCTGGATGTCATCCTATTGTGCTCTTTGCTGTGCATTCACTTTGAAGCGTTGCGAGAATCGTTTGTCCCTGCTCTGATGCACATTGAAAATGCTATTCAACTGCTTCAATCGAACACTACATTCGATGCACGCAAAGTCAACCCCAGTCTGGTCCGGGCGATCATGAGAATGGACCTACAGGGGACTTTGTATCTGGCCTCACGCGTGCCTGGCATGCCGTTCTTCACAGCCGCTACCGACTCGATACTACCAACATCCTTTCACGATTTGACTCATGCCCGCGACCTGGTCAACACCTGGACGAGTCGCTTATATCACTTCATGCGCACAGTTGGCGACCATCATAGACTTCAATCACCAGGCGGTCACACCATCGATGCATTAGCCCAGGCACAAGAACTCGAGCAGACCTTCTTAAAGCTAGACGGCCTGCTCTGGGAGTTCATGCATAAGCCCACTGCCAAGCTAAGCACAAGAGAGCAGCATGGTCTGGGGATGCTCCGGACGCGCACAAAAATGAACAGAATCCTAGCTGCATCAAGCTTATATGCGGAAGCATCCTGCTTTGACCAATACATTGGCGAATTTGAGAATATTCTCGCCATCTGCATGTACATCATGGGATCCGACAATGCAGATCGTAGACTGTTCTCCGTTAGTCTGGACGAAGGTCTGATCCAGCCGCTGTTTTTCTGCGCAACACATTGTCGAGATGGAAAGGTTCGACATCAGGCACTTGCGCAACTCCGGAAGCTACCTGTACGAGACGGCATCTGGCACGTTGATACCACGACACGCACAGCCGAGATGGTCGTGCGATTTGAGGAAGCCCTGTGTGACAAGCCACCTGGCGCTGCGCTCTGTTCTGATATTCCCGAGTGGCGGAGGGTGCACTCGGCGATTTTCGATACCTCCGGACACGACGCTACACCTAGGAAGAAAGTCATGGTAAAGCTGAGAACTCGGCCAAACGGAATTGATGGAGAGTGGATCGACCATGAAGAATCAATAGACTGGCTGGTACCTTCTCAGTACAAGAACATGAAAGCAAATCTTGGCCTGATTGTCAAGAATGGCGCATTCCCGCGAACGAGCTCATAAGGACATGAGAGTATCACAGCATCCAATTCCTAAGCAACCACAGAGATCTCAAGAGGGAGTGATTGCAAGTAAGCAGAGCCATGCAGCTGCAGATTCAGCCCATAAGGTCGTCATCGCAGTGGAGGTCGAGTCAAGCGATTCGTGAATACGTTCGACGGGATGTAATATAGTTACTGCAATAATGTTTGCAAGTGCAGCACACCACAACAACATTTCGTAACTTCAACTACTAACATCTCGCATATGTGATATTGAGTCTCGCACCATCAACCGCTGCGTCAACTACCTTCAATCAATTGACCTGATATAGTCTTCGCCTATCACGCCCGTATTCCTCGGGCTCAAAGATGTCTCCAGTCCAACCAAGAACACCCCGCGATGATACTGCAACAGACAAAATCAGCTTCAGTCAACTATCAAACACGAAGACGCATAACGCTACGCAAGGGGGACACCATATTGGTGATCACGCTGGAGGCTCAGCTCTGCAGTCACGGGCTTGCAAGACTGGTGCGCTTAAAAAGAAAAGGCGAAAGGCCACTCGACAGGAGTCTCTCTTCCATTTCTCTCTTCTGGATCTCAGCGCTCGGACGATAACTTGCTCGGCTGGAACAGAGATGACGCGACCGTGGCCCAGGTCCAGTACCGCGCGACCAGCGAGCCGGGTGGGAGCTCTTTCATTCTACGACTTCACCGCCGACCAATGTTGTCGATTCCTGAAGCTCCGCTTGCGAGTCCTGTCGCGGATAAAGCAGCACGATCTGCTCTCGAGAAGAGTCTTAAGCGTGACCGAGACGATGCTGGTTTGGATGCACCACACTTCGAGGATGATGGCGGTATTCGTCATCCAACACCGAGTTTTCGTATCGCGTCTTCCCGTGTATTCACAATGGATACGCCGCAGCCTATGCCATTCCCACTTGCCCGTATGCTGGAGCATGATGGCCTGAGTGGTGACAATTTCAATGGAATTTTCGTCGTGGAGAGACCGCAATCCATGACGGTCTGGTCTGTTCGTCAACTTATTGCAGTCTTCGCAAGATCCGATGTGCTGTGCGAGCGCGCCGACAACTCTTTGCGAAATCAAGTCGGTCCTCACTGCGCAGAGGAGGATGACTGGGTTGGAGAGGTCATCGTTTTTGACTTCGGTGGTGTCAACTTCACCTCGCGCCGACACGAACGCAACGACGCGGCATGTCTCGTCATGGCAGCCAGCGTCGGCCTCACCCTCGCAAGACGTGGCACCAATAACGATTTTGCGGTCAATCTTGCTACCAAGGCTTTCTTCGATGGCGCTTACGCTGACCAAGCTGCACGTTTCGTAATCCTTCAGTATCTTGGGGGAATGGAGAACGTGAGACATCAGCTGTCGAGTTTTACTGGAGTTTTATTGGCACGCACTTTGGGCAATACCCGAGTAAAGAAGCATTGCAGTGTATACAGTGCAAGAGAACTGCAGTTGGTCTTGCTCTTGCTCTTGCAAAATGGCATCGAATTTGCTTAAACCTTCTAGACGTATTCCACATTCATTCACTGTTGTACACCTATCCTTCCCTAATTGCCCATTCATGCCGTACCTTATGCGGCATTCCGCTGTCTGTTCATTAGCCATGCCTTCACCAAGTCTTCATGATCTGCTCGTCCACCCATATTCTGCTTGCCCTGTGCCAATGTGTGGTTTAAATCCCAGAAGTCACGCACTTTTGCGTCAAACTGTGGGGAATTTGGGTCCCTTGCCGCAGCCGATGCAGCATTCGCAATAGGGCCAAAGAAGTATCCGTCCATCCGACCATTCCATCTTATGAAATACCGGAAGAATGGATTCGCCATAAGCTCAGGGGAAACTCTCTTCTGCAATACATATATGGTAACAAATATATATTGAGTTTCCCAGAACAGCGCCCAAGTACGGAAGAGATCCTGGGTAGCAGTCAAACCATCAGGACCTTTGATGATCAGGTTGGGATGGATAGGTCCATTGCGCGGATGCGCACTGCGAAGGTTGTTCATGTTTTCCATAAAGCGGCGATCTCCAGACGTCTGACGTTCCACCGGCATGAATGAGATCGATTCGACACCCCTCTTGCGCATACGCTCAGCCGTGACTTTGACCGGCGAGAGTTCGACCCAGTTTTGCTCATATTCGAATCTGTCAATGGTAAGAAGGTTTTCTTCCTTGAATATTTGAGCCGTGGAGTCTGGATAGATCTGCCTGCTACAGCGCATAGCACAGCCGAGAGCCTGGATTCGGCCCTGCTTGCTTGAGTTCTGAAGGAACTCTATGGTCTCGGTGCCGACGTCCGCAAATGGGTTGGTAAACGGCATGGTGAAGTGGGAATGGATAAGAGCATCGTACACTCTTGCCTCGCGCCTCGAATAAAGCGTCCAGTTGCTATTGTAAGTGGAGTCGATAATTACCGACCACAACATGCCCTGCTTGCGAGCGATCGACACCATCTTCCCTCGCACAATGAATCGCAGCTCTTGTGTAGAAATGTCCACGCGCGAAAAGCTGCCAAATGCCGCATCCTCGGGCCAGTTCTCTCGCGGAATGACTGCGTGGATAGCAGACTCCCAGTCACGGCGGGTAATACCGCCAGGAGTAACGCCGCCAGAGTTGTGGAGTGGTGTTAAACTTTGCTCGATCTGCGCAGACACCGTCCAGTGTCCCATCGCCAGAAGAATGTCAGGGTTGAAAGCCTGTGCTTGATAGTCTATCTGGTCACAGAGCATGGCAAGAGTTGCCGCTGAGCGAGGTTCGGTAGGCCGTCCGAAAGGAAGCTCCAATTGCTTGCCCACATAAGCAGACTGCACGGCGTCGATGGCGAACTCTGGGATGCTCTTGACATTGACCTTGTCGCCTCTCAGCATCCTGTCCAATTTCTCGTCGCTTAGCCCAGCAAGGAAACCACTGCAGAAGGGCTCCGCTCAAGTTGCTTCATGCTTTCCACACGTAAGGCCTTGCAATTCGCAGCTGGCACAGGGGATCGTGGTATTATCGCATGTTCGACATCTCGGCGATTGCTCCGAGTGATCTTGAATGTTGCTTCTCAGTATTTCCTTGCAGCAACTGAGGCACGTTATGACATTGAGCGAGTTGTCGATCGCGCCGCCCGCTAGCGTGTACTGCTTGTGGAGCTCATAACTTGTCGTAGTGTCTGTAATCATACTCGCAACATTCGATCGTCCAAGGGGAATGGTTCGAATAGCTAGTCGCGGCAGGATCAGAAGACCCTCTTTCGTGCTGATGAATGAGCGCGGCGTACTTGTGTCATCTTCAGTACTTGTGTGCGTAGCCATGAGCTCCTTTCTTCGTGGCTCGGCTACTAACCTGTCCGCGCTCGGGAACGATCGTGAGCAACCGACAACTCTGCAGCGCCCTGAGAGCGCAATGGCTTCTGAGTCCAGGCATGGCTGGCACGCTGTGCCGCTCGACGGTCCCAGCGTGTGTTGGTATAAGGCTCCTGCAAGATCCTCCGCTTCAGACAGCAGCACCGTTCCATCGTATAGGTCTGGACTGGTGACGCGATGTCTCATTGCTTTGTGGTAGATTTGACGAACAACCTCCGTCAGTCCATCTGGCACAAATGGTCCGAGCCGACTGCTGAGAAGTCCTTGACGAATATACACTACCTTGATACCCGACTTGTTGCCAAGCTGCATTGCGTACCCGGCGAACGGGGTATCTGCGAGCCCCGGACTGAATTCCCATTCACGTCGGTTGTCCGAGCTGACGTACTCGTAAAGCTCGGCAATGATTCTGATAAATTCCCCTTCTGCAGCAGTGTCGACAAGGCCCGAGAAGTCGTCTTTGAGCATGTTGCTGAGTGTTCGCTCTGAGGCAAGGTCGGCAGCAGTCTGAACGACGTTGGGAGGATTGAATGGCGACCATTGATCAAGTGCAGTGTTGAAACTCGCCGGAGCTGATCAAGCTCGGATAACGAGACGTCCATGCTTGCCATTTCTGTCATATAATCCTCAAAGAGCCCTTGGGCGGCGGCGGCATGATCTTTCTTGATAGTCATGATATGCTGGCAGATCAGCTCGGCATTTGCCAGGACAGGTTCCATGCCCAGGTACTTTTGCGTGTGGACATGAAGGCGTATCAGCTGGCCTAGGTGCGATTCTCGAGGACTCAACTTCTCAAGCCATCACTGAGAGGCTGCTGGAGGATATAGACGCTCAGCTAGTCGGGCCAGCCGTGCGATGGCCTCGTCTCGCTCAGTAGCGGCTTGCTGGTCACGCGTGACGAGGAGCTTCCGGCGCTTGTACACTGCATCTACGTTCTGATGTGAAAAGAAGCGCTTGACAATCTCCGGAACGCGGAGTCCTCCTGCTTTGGCTGTCCGCTAAGGCTCGTCGTCTTCTTCGACCCAGTCGGCAATGGGATCTCTAGCAGGCTCTTCTACATCATCGTCGTCGTCCTCGAGTACGATGGGAGGGAGTCATGTCCGTACCCGAACCTTGGTAGGTGTCCAAGTGCATCAAAGTCGCATCAAAGTCTCAGCTAGTCGGGAAAGGTGGAGTGTGGAGCGTAACAGAAGGAGGCAGTCTAGCACGAGTATGGTGGGATTTGAAAGCTGTACATATTGATGATGAGAATTGCTGTACCCTAAACATCGTCGCAAGACGACCACAGTGGAATCCTCACATCACCGCCAACATCTCCAGCACCAGCGCTCACAGCAATTGAGGTGAATCGGCAGAGCATCATCCGAGAGTCACGTGCAACATCTTATCATCAGCGTAAAGCTTAGACGTCCGCATATTGTGAACAGTACAACACCGGCGGCAAGATTAAGACCAGTGGCCTTGCAGCGCAAAGAGAATGCGTTCATCAAGAGAATGCCCCTCGAGCGGAAGCATGTTCTCGCATCGGCAGTAGCATTCATCAGTTGGGCATACATCTCCGACCTGCTCCCGCCCTTGCGATTCATTCCTCACGCCTTCGTTGCTGGCGTTCTCGCAGCACTGCTCGCAACGATCTACGCCCTCGCATCGACCGCGCGACCACGGACCGCTTGGAGCAATGTCCACCGAGATGCGCCACTCGCGCTTACGTCTGCACAGCCCGGCGTGTGGGAGGAAGAGAAGGCGACGTTGAGGGACCGCGGAGAGTACAGACGGCCGATCATCTTTCCCGAGGCCGAGAAGTTCTCAAAGCAGGTAGATGGCTTGCTGGATGTGATCCTGCGCGACTTTGTCACCAGCTGGTATGGGCATATCAGCAAGCGACCGCTGTTCCAGAATGAGATTGACCGCTGCATCCGTTCGGTGCTCCTCTCGGTCACAGCTAGGCTGACTGACCTGGATCTGGTCGAGCTCGGTGTGGCTCAAGTACTGCCTGTGGTGACAAGTCATATGAGAGACTTTTACGATGCTGAAAGAGCTGTTCGTGGCAAAGCACTTGAACACAACGTGACAGAGAGTGAAGAGCTGAGCATGGCGATCGCTGGCAAATACAGAGGCGGCAGACTACATTCTGTTGCTTCGCTGTCACAATCGGATACCACAGCTTCTTCACAGCAGCATCTGCGTAGACTTGTTGAGAAGATCCTCCCCTGCGTCCTTCCGATGAACATGAGATCAAGTTCTGCGGTAACAGTGCTCATTAGAGAGATTGTGGCTTGTGCTGTAATTGGACCCATGGTGACGATGCTCGCGGATCCGGACTTCTGGAATCAGCAGATTGTCAGCGTGGGCGGTGCAATGCTTCAAGACCGCAAGTCTGTCCGCAAGATGCGTGCTGCACTCGATCAGCATGCACCTGCTTCCCCAGGAAAGCCCGGTCGAGGGAGTCAATTTCCCAGATTGCGACCATATGACAGCGAGCGCCAATTCGAGCGCTTCGTCAGAGCTATCAGGCACGTTAGCACCTTGAACGATGCACGCCTCTTTCGAAGCCAAGTCAGCCTGCAACTTAGGCGAGATGCGCAAGTCGAAGGTCAAGATGTAGCGTACATTCGGCGACTAGAGACTGGGCGAAGATTGCTCGACCAGAAAATTGCGTCCTTATCCGCTGCAGATGACAGCAGGCCAGCGACAAAAGTCACAACAGCACGAAACGAGGAGTCTTTATCGCGAAAACGGCAGGCCTCGCTTCGGGAACTGATATACGATGCTGCTGGACTGAGTTACTTTATGGAGTATATGGATCGTCAGAACCTGATGCGTCTTGTACAGTTCTATCTGGTCGTGGACGGGTTTCGCAATCCTCTCGAAGGGGACAATGATGAGCCCCCAGCGTCATTGGCGGCAGATCCAGACCGCATGGACATTGCGCAAATGTATGCCGAGTACTTATCAAAGCCAGAAATGCGGGTGCCTCAAGACACCTTGCAGGTTGTGAAGCAATGTTTGAAGGCTGGGTCGAAAGTTGTCGCGCGAGACTATCTGGCTGCTCGGCGGGAAGTGCTGCGCATGCAGACCAGAGTCTACAACACCATGAAAGATCAACATTATGAAGCTTTCAAGAAGACTGATCTCTATTACAAATGGCTGGCGGTCGATGACAAACCCACATTCGGGCCTCTCTTGCACGGAGAGGGCGAGACGGCCAACGGGTCCCGCGGCGCCGAGAGTCCTGCCGTTCATGTTAGAAGGCCGCAACTGGGAGCATTACAGAAGGAGCCCGAACTGCGGCGAGCGGTGCTCTCTACATCAGACCTGAAAACTGTCGGTCGTAGCAGCAGCATGTTTTCTGACACCACACGGCGATCTTTAGACGAGGCAAATGACGGCGGCAGAAATACATTGTTCGGCGAAGATCGCTCTCCACTGTTCGCAGAAGATGCGGAGGCTGAGAACATGGTACAATCGATTTCCAGCCTGAAGAGCTACGACTCTGATGGCGACGGCGCAAAGCATGCTCAAGAAGAGGCCAAAGCAGTCAGAGAGATGCAAGCTGCACTCGACAACATTGTCAGTGATGACCGTGACAAGGCTAGCTTGTTCTCCGAAACCTCCGGCAGACGGTCGCTTGAAGGAGAAGAAAGGCGTGAGTCGCTAGATTTCATGAGCCGTTCTGGAACTTCGGGCACAGCTTCTCAAATTTTGGATCGCAGCAAACCCAGTCTTTCTTCGCTAGGACTCGTTGGGGGCCCATCCAACCGAGGCGTGTTCGTGGATGACTTATTCGGTCACGAGCAAGAAAAGTTTGCCGAAGATGAGCGGGAGGATTCGAACGCTGCGACAGATGAGGAAGACGAGCGCGTCGAAGAAGCAGCCGCTGGAGATCTAGGTCTGGCAGAGGCTATTGACGTTCTCAATGCAGATATCGAAAGGCTCAGCGCTCAGAGAAATGTTCTTGACTCACTGACTGCCAAAGCGGAGCTCACCAACAACCAGGCTGAATTGCGAATCTTGCGAAAATCGGAACAAAGCTTGCAACGTGAGATTAGACGCAAAGAGATGCAAAAGCAGCAATACATCGTTCAAGAGAGCGACAACAGTCTTTATGGGCGGGCGTTGATCGCGATTAAGTCTGTCATGGTCGGCAGAGAGGAGGACGGCCACGAATATGCACTTTATGTCATCGAGATTCGTCGACAGGCTGGTGAACAAATGCCGGCAGCAACATGGGTTATCACCCGCCGATACAGTCAATTCCACGACCTCCACAAGAGGCTGAAAGCACGATTTCCGGCAGTGAGAGAGTTAGACTTCCCTCGCCGGCAGACTTTGTTCACTCTGCAGAAGGACTTTCTGCAGAAACGACGAGTTACATTGGAGAAGTACCTACGAGCTCTTTTGCTGGTCCCTGCAATCTGTCGAAGCAGAGAACTGCGAGCCTTCTTGTCTCAGTCTGCCATCGTGAACAACGGTACCGATGGCACACAAGCTGACGCCAAAGACTTTGTGACACGAATATACAACTCAGTCTCGGATGGCATGGAAGAGTTCCTTGGAAACATACCGGTTCTCGACCAATTGTCAGTCGCAGGTCAAAATCTCATCTCAGCTGCTACATCGCAAATGAGTGGCTCTTCTCCTGTTGACAGCATGGATCCAGCTGTACAAAATCCTGCTACTGCGACTGAAGCTGAAGCCGAACTGAACGCATATGAAACGAAAGAGGTTGAACCTTTCGTAAAGCCCATCTGCGATCTATTCCTGGAAACTTTTGAACTCTCAAAGGGCAACAGCTGGCTTCGTGGTCGTACAGTAGTGGTCGTGCTTCACCAATTGCTCGGAGGCACTATTGAGCGGAAAGTCAAGGAAGCAACAAACAGTGCTTTGGAGGACGACAAGCTGGCGGGCTACGTTGAGAATCTGAAGAAGACCATGTGGCCGGATGGCAAGATGCGGCCACCAACCGTACCGCGTACACCGGCCGAGAAGGCGCGCACCAGGAAGGAAGCGGGTCTTCTACTGGGCGCGCTGATTCCGGATATCGCTGGCAGTGTGGTTGGGCGAGTGAATGCGCAAGCGGCGAGTCGCAAGATCGTCGCCATGTTGAACAATCCTAGGTTGAAGTAAGTCTACCCGTGTGCCTCCCAATTCGATGGACATTCGCTGACTATCACAACAGTGTGCACTTGATCTTCAGCCTGATAGATGAGATCATTGGCATCGTCTTCCCGGAAACAGTAGATAAGTAATGTTTATGAGAGCCAACGAAGTCAATCGAATTTTTGTGTGTACGTGTATCGATCAAGACTTTCTACCGCTTCACAGCTCTCCTCGCAGTTTGCGCGCAACCACATCTGCCAATCGTCCAAGTCGCATGTACCAGTAGAATCCGCCATAAGCCGTACAATTGAGAGTGCTGTCAGCCGTCGAGGAGCTTCCCTAAGGTGTATGCCATCAAAACTACCCACCACATCTCACACGCTCCACCTGGTACTGGAAGTCATCGGCCAGGAAGCGTTCGAGCGCAATGTTCTTGAGATCCTGAGCGTTGACATCCTCGCCGTGCTCGATGAGGAGAGAGTAGGCGCGCGCGAGAGACGTGCAAGCGAAGCCCTCCCCGAACCCTCCATTCATTCCCACCATCTTCTCGTCGTGCTGGCGTTCTTCGACAGCGGTTGACACAGCGATGTTGCCGAACAGGGTTTTGGCAAATTCGAGCACAGCTTTGCCGCCGGAGTGCAAGGTGAAAGAGGCGCAGATGAGGCTTTCCAGGACTTGGTTTTTGGCGATCGATGGGACGGTGGGGGAGATTGTGGACGGCATGGTTGTCGTGCCCTGTCGTTCGTCAGTGAAGTTCTGGTCAAATGAGGTGCGGCGCACTTACCGATCGTAATTTTTATCCGTCGCCAACCATTTATTTGCTCATCGAGCCCTTTGTAGCCTTTCCCTGGCGTAGTTTGTGTTTGCGGTGCGTGAGCGATATCGGTGAGCTGCGGAAGTGAAGGCTGGTAAATGTTGCAGAGTGTCTGTGCATTCGGTGTAACCACGCCTTTGTCTCGCACGTTGAGCTTCTTGCAATTCAGGTCGCGGATCATCAATTGCTTGCGCTGGCCACCACAAGGAATCGACGTCGGATAATGCACTCCATGATTTGCTGCTCCTTCATTTCCTGATCGGGATGCGTCGCCGGTATGAGCCTGATCAGCTGTCCGAAAAGCCTTCGAGTGCTCGACTGATGGCCACTGCCACGGGGCTATAGGTCAAGATCCGGTTGTGTCCTGTTGACGTTAGTGACCTGAACACGAATTGCCATGCTGACACAGGACGCACCACCATGTTCAACAAAATCAAAGCGCATTCTTGGAAACCCGTCCTTCTTGACATCGAAGACAGCGGGCCCCTCGTTGCCTGCGATGAGCTCACTCGGCTCCAGCTCACTAGTATCGAAAGCATCTTGGGACTTCCGCTGGCTAAATACGCGTCTATAAATCATCTCCGTCTGGTGAAATGGAATATCTGCGTCGTTCAATGCGTGTCTGCAATCGCCATACGAGTCAGCTTTGTTAGGAGGCACGCCATGCCATTACTTACATGATCTGAACAGAGCCTTTGTTTCGAGTACCGTCGTTCAAACTTGGGGTGCCTTCGAGCGCATGGTAATATGCCCAAAGCCTGTCGGCGGTTTGCTACCATGAAGGAAGAGCGGAAAGTAAGCGGATGTTTGACAGAGTGTAGGCATTGTGAAGACGGTCTCCGACAATTTGACTTACCCATGTATCAACGACTTTCGCCATGAGCATCTGCGCGAGGGAAGGAAAGGGCCTGAGAGGCAGCAAGAGCGGGAGGAAGCCGCCAATCCGATAAGTGAGTAGAAGAGTTGGAATGCTGTTGAAAGGAGCCGCAAGAACGACACCAGCAAACGTCGTCGGTAGCGTTTTCTGGTCCGATGCATCAGACAGGCTCGATGTATGCAACGAAGGGGGCAACAGGGCATTTCTGCGATCCGCGAAGTGAAGGGCAACAGCTGCTGAGACAGCAGTACCTAGACTCTGGCCGAGGATCACGATCCGCTCTGGTGGGATCTTGGTCGTTCCCACGATATATTCGACAAGCGCCACACCATCAGCAATCAGCCCAGCCTCAGTAGGCGTGCCCGTAGAATGGCCGAACCCCCGATAGCTGTCAAGCCAATGTCAACAAGTTGCACTTGGGAAGGGGAAAGAGCAACTGACTCTATGGTGAAGACGTGCGTATTGGGCATGTTGGTGATCAGACGGTTAGCTGCAGGACGCCAGCCTTGCGCGATGTGGCCAGCGTTGCCATGAACTTATCAATCAGCGAAGTGAGACCAGCACTCGATCCGAAGGCGATGAATACGTACAACTGACAACCACCTTGGCGGGAGACGGATCCCGTGAGGTCAATACTTTGTATGCCGTAGTTGTGGTGAAGTCGTCGACGGGGCCATCTCGTCTCTGAGCCTCATTGAGAATGGCAGTCTCGTGGCGTGTATATTGATTGAGAGGCAGGATGTGCCAAGCATACAGTATTTCGCCGTCAGGAGTTGAGAGATTGAATGGAGTCACTTGGTTGGGAGCAAATCCATGCGCAGTGCCATCGTGTACGTCGCGCCATCTCAAGGTATTGAAGGCGTTGGCATATCTATAGGGCGGGCATCAGAGGAAAGTGGCATATTGGTGAGAACCAAGACATACATGGCACTGCTTTCGTCAATTTCCGTTTCAGTCGTCGGCAATGGCAAGTACATACAATCTCTGCGCTCTCGGTGTGAGCAGGATGCCGAGCAGGACGGCATATACAGCTCCAGCGGCAGCACATGCGGTGGCCAGCTTGCCCACGGCCTGCGTAGCCGACTTCATGCTCGCAGCGTGCAGGAGAAGAGACGAACAGGTGGAGTCGGTGACGTGAATTTGGGGAAGCACGCGAGCTGCATCCATCTTTATCTCCGTCTTTTTGCTGGAGCCTCACTTGTGCCTCCGCTGCCACGCAATCGCCCTCCATCCTCCATGCGCAGCATCCGGTAGCGACGACCGCCCACACGGAGCAGGCAGAATGGCAGCCGTGGCAGACGAGGTCACCACCGGCCACAAACGAGGCCCCGGCCGGCCCTCAAGAGGCGCAATGCCCGCTGTCAAAAAGCAGAAGACGGCCGCCTTCACCCCGACTCGTGATAGCTCCGTCGCGCCCTCTCCTGTCGCTAACTCCCCAGCGCCCGAGAAGAAGCTGAGCGGCTTGGTCGCAAAGCTGTCCGATGCTAAACCGCTGCCTGTTCTGCCCGATCCCCAACCACTGTCCCTGTCCGACGATGAATACCAGTCTCTCATATCCAGTGCCGTGTTGGCAACGTCTCTAGAACGATCTCGGCTACGATGGATCTCGGAGGGCGTGTTCGAGCGATATTGGGTCAAGCCCGAGGGCGGCAAGAATGGCAAGCCGCCGCCTCCCAACAACCCAGATGCGAAATGGATGAAGAGCCGGGGGGAATGCAGGATACGCATTGAGCCACATCTGTTCGTGGCCGACATGTACGTCGAGGATAGGGGAAAGCCGCCGGGGCCAGCGTCGAAGCAGCCCATTCCGCAATACAGACCAATGCAGCAGCATGGATCTCAGCAGTATCAAAACCGGTCACTACCAGCAGTGCTCCTGCCGCCGAACAGCGGACAGAATGGTCCTGGCGCTCCGCCCAAAAGCCAACAGCCTCAAAGACCCCAGCAACCAGGCCCTCGAGCGCCGCATGCGAGCTCTTCGGCCTCTGCATCGTCCTCAATCCCTCCACAGGGTCCGAAGCCAGATCCCGTCATCAGCATGTTGGCAACTCGAGCGTCGAATGACCCACAGCTCAAAGCCCTGATGAAGGAGGTCGCTACAGGCAACGCCACGCAGGAGCAGCTCAAGGTATTTCAGAAGCATATAGATGAGCTCACTGCCATAATCACGAAACAGAGACAGGACGAGGAGGATTCCACAGCAAAACCCTTCGAGCAGGGTAACATGATACAGTACGATGGGCCCTCGGATACGCAACCTAGCATCGCATCTCAAGCCGCATTGCAGCCACCACTGAAGCCTCCTATCCATCCCGCTGCACAGCATCCTCCACCACAATACGGACAGCAGCAGACGTGGTCGGCACCCTTACCAGCGCCGACAAACTTACCTGTCATACTCGCCTTCAAAGACGCTGGAGCCACCGAAGATCGGTTCTTGTTTCCGGAACACAGTATCCTCGAAGCACTATCCCCTCAGCACTTGCTTGTCAGCTTCATCGTGACGCGCAAAGGGCATCAAGCTGTTGACACAACGTATCTGGACCTGAACACAGAGTATTGGCAACCGGTGACCATCATGATTGAAGTCGCCTACGGGCGAGAGGAGCTATTGAATTGCATACGTCGGTGGGTCAAGCCGGCGGACGAAGTTCGAAAGCATATGGAGAGCGTTATGCAGAGCTGCGAGCGGGTTCCGGAATGCCACTTGGCTCTCCGTCTGCCCTTCAAAAGTACAGCTACGGCCGAAAGTGAAGAGGTCTCAAAAGAGGCCACGCCGATATTGGAGGATCGTGCCAGGCCGAAAGCTGGTGCAAAGGCTGCCAAGAAGGCTGCTTCTGCTCCCAAGGGAGAGGCGGATGCTGCGAGGCGGCAGTCTGGAAACCAGCTTGCTGAATCCATTACTGTGCAGCCCAAGGGCGGGAGTAAAGTTCAGGTGCCTAGTGCGACGCCAGATAAGCCTGCGTTACACAACGTAACGGCAACCGACCAAGCAGATGGCGCTGCAGAAGGCGAGGACGGTGGGCGACCAAGAAGAGCGACCCGGAAGAGCGTCAGGATCAGTGAAGGCTAATAGTCTCTTGTTCCCTCCTAGAGCTAGCATCTTGAACGGCAGAAGCCCAATTGTGCGCCATGGCCTTTTATCAGGTCACAATGGCAATCCAAACAGAGCCATGCCCGAAGTTTCATGTTTGCATCGTCGTCCTGTTCGTGCTTCGTGATTCGTGATGTTGTGTTCCATTTGTTAGTTGCGGACGCCTGATCTGGAACGTAGTCGCTACGATGCCGTAGCAAGCGAGGGACGGCCAACCACGCTCTCTAGCTCAGCTTGCGTCTCATCAAGTGCTTTGATCAGCGCCGACACGTCTCCCTTCCTCCTCTGCAAGTCGCGTGTGCGCTGCCAGAGCGCCGGTTCTCGGCCAGATATGCAAAGCATCTGCTGCGTATTCAAGCTGTTATTGCCCCACGACGGAGCCTGCTTGATGTTGCTCTTGACGTCTTGCCATCTTGAGGATAGTGAAGCAGTCGATAGAACTTCGCGCCCATCTGCACTCATGTCTACTACCACGAATCGTTCGTTCGTGCTGGCCGTCTCGTCCGAGTCGGTGTGCAGAGCATGTAGAGCGGCATTTGTGAGGATGTCAGGATCATCATCAGCGAAGATGTAGTGTACTGCAGGATGGTGGTGCTCGCCAGTGACGGGATCTTCTATCAGCGTGAAAAATGGTTTGAAGTCCGATGGAGGTTGGAGCGTCATCTGCTCCTCCAGTTCGGGGTATGTGTCGTCTGCATCGTCTTCGGTGACTGATTGCTGAGGCGGAGCGGCAGATGTTGTTGTGGTTGCGAATTCGCCATCATCGATTGGGAGACTCATGTGTGTCGTTGCTGGCTGTTGGCTTGCACCTGTTCCTAGGATATGAGTGAACGGATATGGTAGAGGAAGGAAGTTGCTTCGGCCCGACCTACCTTGCCCAGTTTCATGTGACATTTCTTTGTTTTCGCCAGAGCTGGAAGTAATCTGATCCAGCGTCACCGTAGGCTGTTGGGCATGTTGAGATGAGGGCGTTGTTGAAGGAGATGCCATGTTTGTCTATGCAAGAGAGAGCTTGCCTGGAGCTATAGAGCGTGACGATCGTCAGAACCCGGTCTTATGCAGCCGATTCGCTCGCCAATCTTGCGTCCTGCACCGGTCTCGCTAGTGCGGATCCCAGTCTCTAAAAGGTCCACCAGCACGCTTGCAGTCACTGGTAAGGCTTTCTCAAATTCCGTATCTCTGCGAATCGCCTACAGGACTTGTAGCGATCGTTTGAATTTTGAGGTGCAAAGCTAGCCGCGGCGGGGTTTACCCTCCACGATCCATGAAAGCTGTGTCGAGCATCTGCATGTTCACGCAACACAAGGGCAATGACGTTTTCACACGGGCGAGACCACAACAAGGTTCGCTTTTCCAAGAAACTTCTCGCATGCTGATATATCAACCTATATCAGACGACCGAGTTGACTTGCTTAGAAGCTGACCGAGAGTATCGCGCTGGTCTGACTCTATGAAGTCTCCCACTCAACATTTCCAGGGCCCCTTTGACACATTGTGGACTGCGAAGCCAACCACTATCGCGTTCGAAGTACGTTCATGAAATAATTGCATGCTTTACACGCTACGGATCAATGAGCAACTGGACACCTCAGAAAGGCCGGACGATATTGTGCATCTTTGCGGATTATAGCACCATTGAGCGGATCAATTTTCGAGCATGTGTTAGAGAAGGGCAAGCATGGTCTTCGCCTTCCGAGAGCACCCTGGCGAAATGGAAGTCGCCTTTGCTGCATTTGATGAAAGGTAGTCAGCAAATTAATGCAAAAAGGTGTAGTGTAAAGTGTGCTTGTGATTCGTCCGCCTTTGTACAGATACATATAGACAAGTCATTCGCAAGATTTCCCTGCGCTAGTTTCCGACGCTGTATTCTCCGCATCGGCTGGGCATTGTGACATGACCGTTCCTGCGGCCAAAGATCACCACTGGCCAGATAGACCCCAACATGATTGACGCCCATTGAACGCGGTATCACTTCTGCGTTGGGGAGCTAGCGCATGAGAGCGCTGTGTGGTGTAATAGCCATCGCTGTAGGGCCATGCACGGCAGCACCGCTAGCCAGAAGTTCGAAGAGCACATCCAGAAAGCAAAGTAAGCGCTGATTGTGTGGATAGAACCTCGTCTGTGGTGTCCCCGGCTCGGGCTTCTAGCACCGTTCTGCTCGAACATCTCGGAGCCTTATCGAATGTAGCGAGAATGGGATGATATTCAGTCTGTGGGTATCTTGCGCCTTTAATCATATGGTATATGGTGTTCGCGTCGCATACATCTTAGCCTTGCCTACGCGATGTCAGGGCGCCCAGAATGTGGGAATCGTTGCTGAATCTCTCACCTCTGTTTGTGCTTTGGGTTCTTGCTGCAAATGATGTACACGTATTTCCCACCCTTCCTCCTCACACTTTTGCAGCCCTCGCAAAGCTTCTTCACGCTGCTCCGGACCTTCATCCCTCGGGCTTGCTGGCCAGCAATAGTTTTGGGCGCGTTCAGTCGCAATGCCTGGAGTGCATTGACGATTGAACTATGCCGGCTGGAGAGTAGGGTGCTGTTCGTGGAGTATGTGCTGAAGCCGTGAGCGATAGATTTCGAGCGGCTGCTCAATCGGGTCGCTGGAAGGCGTGACAACATAAATCGTGCCGCCAACATCGTATCGGTCGCTGGGGATGAGATGATGCTGTTCGTGCCGGGAAATGTGTGTCGAAGACAACCTGCAGCGGAGGTGGTCGGTGGTGCATTGGGGCTTGCCCTGGCCGGAGGTTCACCGGCCGGCCTTACGTTGACCCGAAGCTGCCAAGCTTGGCTCGCACCAATTCGAGATTTCGGGCGACCTCACAAGAACAGTTGACGCTCGCTGCAGCACGACCCACGACCACGCCCTCGCCGCCAACTACTAACGACAACAGATTGCACCGACACTGCGATCATGGCGACCGAGTTGACTGTCCAGAGCGAGCGCGCTTTCCAGAAGCAGCCGCACATCTTCCAGAACTCCAAGAGCAAGGCGAAGTCCACCAGAGTCGGAAAGGGTGGCCGGAGATGGTACAAGGACGTTGGATTGGGCTTCAGGACCCCAAAGACTGCCATTGAGGGCCAGTACATTGGTATGTGCTGTCCATGAGAAATAGTGGGGAGGGATCTGTTGCGAAGGGCGAAACACGGCGCATACGGCGCAGGAATGGGAACATACACTGACGGTGGTGGCCCAACAGACAAGAAGTGCCCCTTCACTGGACTCGTTTCCATCCGTGGCCGTATCCTCACCGGTACCGTCGTCTCCGCCAAGATGCACCGCACCATCATCATCCGTCGCGAGTACCTCCACTTCATTCCAAAGTACTCCCGCTACGAGAAGCGCCACAAGAACCTCGCCGCACACGTCTCCCCTGCTTTCCGTGTGTCCGAGGGTGACCAGGTCACTGTTGGCCAATGCCGGCCTTTGAGCAAGACTGTAAGCAGGACCGAGGGAGCTGCTGAAGTGGAAGGAAAGGACTAACATGCTGAAACAGGTCCGCTTCAACGTTCTCCGCGTCCTTCCACGAACTGGCAAGCAGGTCAAGGCATTCAACAAGTTCTAAGCGATGTGACATGCACTTTGTGGGAAATGATCAGGCACGTGAACGAGGGCAGGTCGCACCTCGAAGATGCGGCTGCATTACTGGGCGGCGTTTGGGCATGCTAGCCTGGACGTGATAGCAATCTGGAGATCGATTGCGAAAAGCACGTCACATGTAGCTCGGCGTAGCGAAAAGGCCAAATGAGAACAGTCTTCATGCACTCCAGTCACGTATCTTCGAATCAATGTTTGGAAATCGTTGGCGCGGCCATTTCCTAGCGCCTATCGTCTGAGGCGTCGAACAGCAACTGCCACAAGCGAGCAATCGGAGAAAGGTGACAAGGAGAGGGGCTGTATCTGGCTGGCGTCATGGTGTAAGGATTCATGTCGTTTAGCTCGTTATGGGCAGCTTGTGACTACGTCTCCGCGAGGCTGAATCGAAGCCCCGGCCGATTCGATGGCGTCGCATTTCACTCCAGAGCAATCGCTTCCACACTTGTGCCCCGAAACCGCAGAACTGGCCTTAACAACGCTTAGGGCTAAATATGCGACTTCCTGCGGTCTTCATGCACAAGCACTTGACCAGTTGCCTCCCGTGAAAACGTTATGGCTATTCGCCTCCTCCACGCTCATCTCTTGCGCTCAAAGTACCCGCTCGAGCTCATTATCGCAACACTTTGATCCATGATTGTCTCTCCTATCCATAGATAGTTCTCTATCCACTTCTTGATGCTGGGTGACTCTGAAAACGTGTCCGGTTTCAGGCTAGGACTAATGTTAGGGTCAGATCGCTGCTAACTCGATACGCTCTTTTTCTTTCTCCATCGCATGTCGTGTCTAAGGCAAGCTAGGCTTCTGGTGGACTGGACGAGCTCGGAGGGTTGGAGACGTACGTGAGACCGGTGGAACGCTTGACGCCGGCGAGGAATGCAGATACTAGCACGGCATCGAACGCATAGTGGGTGAGGCGACCGAGCTGGACAGTTTCGTTAGCTTGTGTTCGAGCGTACGCGAAGATGCTGCTGCATACGACCATGTTGACGTTTGTTGGGTGGCGCTTGGCGCCTGATCGTGTGAAGGGCACAGAGGCTGAGCTTGCGCGCCGTATGTGCTTCTGCGAGATGTCGATTACCTCGCCACGGACGCAGGTACCGAAGTTGCGGTGCAAGATGCGGTGAAAGTAGAGGCGGTGCGCGGTTGTGTAGTGTAGCGAGTTGGGCGATCGATCACATGGAGAAGAGTGGAGACCCTGGCCACGACCACAGCCACAGGTCGCCCAAGCTGTTTCTTCAGCTCGCTCGCGTGCAATGTGCTCTGCTAAAATGCCATCACTTGGATCATTGTCGAAAACCTTGTGTACTTCTGCGTCTTGCGCATAAAGGTACAGGCCGTCGGTATCCAGACATTCTACCATTGCCATCGGCTACGATGGCTGCGCACACAGTATTCAAGGCCAAAAGGCCACAAAAAATGGAATAGCAAGGTCTTCTGCGCGCCACGAGACGCACAGCACTCGCCGGCCGCCAGGCATGATTTGATGACTGCTCAGCTTGTATCGCAGCAAGATCGAATCACAAGGCGGAAGAACAATCCGGTGCAGCCGGCACCCATTCCGCTTCATTCACATGGAAAAGGACCCGGCTGCAGAAGGGTATTGCGTACGCGGACATTCCCCAGCCGGCACCTTTGTTTGCAGTCCCAACGTAGGTGACACGCTACAAGTCGACTGCGGCAGATTTCTTACTCCAAACTAACGTGCAGTCCGACACACCACATTGGGGCCCTCTGTTCTGCCCAGATTGGACAGAGGTTCAATACCAGGCATGCTGGTCATGCAGTCGCAGCCTTCGAAACCGACCACCTGAAAGAACATGAAGCTCAAGCCCTTCATGTCGTAATCATTCTCGACAGGCTCTTGCTGTTGCCGCTACCGATAGATGACGACCTACAACCCGCTCCCCTCTCCCCGTCTTGCGATTTCCCAACTGTCCGCGGAAGCGCATATCTTGGCAGATGGGGAGCCTGGTACTGCAGAGGCCTTGGAAACATCATGGCACCAAACTTACTGTGTACCAAGCATAAGCAATTACTGGGCATGCCAACAACTCTAAAACCCGAGCACCGCCCTCCATAATTTTTGTTCGGCTTTCATTCACGGACGATAATGAGTGCAATGGCTTCACGGTGGGCTTTCGCCGCAGCGTTTGCAGCATTCGGCTACGTTCATGCTCAAAACAACACTGCCTTCAGCGGTCCAGGTAGGCATTATCCCGTATTCTCGAATCTCGAGATGAGGGCGACATCAGCGTGGTTCTGCAGAAATACTTACACTGCAACCAGGTCCACTCCCTGAAGGGCAAGACTTTCTCGAAGATGCTCAAGTCACTGCTGAGAAGACCGTGTCGTTCGACCTGTACTTTCCAAACGACGGAAATGCGCCACGCTGGCAATTGATCACCCGACTGGAGGAAGCACCGCCTCCCGATACTCAAATTCCCAATGCGCAGGTTCTGAACACTGTCTACGATTTTGGATTCCCAAACGGAGGCAACCTCACCCAAGCAGTCGCAGCGAGCAGCGGGCAGTTGGACCAGAATAATTTCTGCGTTACGATTCTCCAAACCCAGATCCCAAGTAGCAGGGCGAACGATTACAACGCAGACACCGAAGACAATGCCAGTGAGGGAAGTTGTGCATATCCTTTTCGGGATGCATGTATCAACGCTATCGCTGCACGCATTGGCGAGACCGAACCGGGTGAGGACGGCTGCCGAATGTCGGCTATCTCTCTAACGGACTTGGTTCAATGCGAGGCTATCTTCGAATCCGACACCAGAGTCGCGACTTACAATCTGTTGGCCCCTGACGTGACTGGAAATTTAACAGGTGGCTTTGCGCACATCACGTCTGACCCATATGACGGCAACAACCGTACGTTCTTTGACATTGCTGAGACGAGGATTCACTTTGTGGCAATCGACTCTGGAAACACATTTACTCCTCTTTGTGTCAAGGTGGACGCGGAGAGAGACCAGGTCACGGCTGGTGCACCGAGTTTGAACAAGAACTTGTGGCTTGTTGGTGCTGTGGTTGCTGGTGCCTTGGCATACGTCCTGTGAGCAAGTGATTGAGCATGCTTGAACGATGCCACTGCCTGCACAAAAGAGGTGTGATGGGATGGTGAAGGGGATTAATGAGCGAAGACAGAACGACACATGTGTGGAGAAGATTGTTGTAGAGTATGTATTCAATCATATTCTCCTGACGTTCAATACTGCCCTAGTGTTGGAGTGCAATGGGACGAGACAACTGCACGTGGTTCCATCAAGTGTACGGTGTCTTGGGCAAGACGGCGCTGCTGTGTCCGTAGTCCATAGCATCTGGACCAATGGCAACAGCACAAGGGATCGCGATCATGCTGTGCAAGTTCTAGTCCGTAGTCTATGGCCGTGGTGTCCCTGAACGTCGCTTCCAGAACTTTTGGCTTAGCTTGTCGAGTATGTCCGAGAAGCGGCAGGCGACAACGCATGATGCATAGCTTCCCGAGGTTTGCTGCTGCAACTTGGATATGAAACGCTATGTGGCCCCGGTATACGAAGACGTACTCGCACTACGCCCATCTCTCTCGCGTGTGGCAACTTTGGAGCAACGACTGATGAGCAACGAGTCAACCTGCCACTGCTGGCGTCATTCTGAAACAAGATCGTTCGCGACTCTTGGGAGACCGGACAAAATGTTCACGCATACTGGCGCAAATGAGACACCAAGTGCCGCACCCGGTTGACCCTGGACTCGTGTAGACCGTGGCTTGGCGCAGTTGATGCTCGCAAGGTTCTGCTAACTAGTGGATCGCACGATTGTGCCAAGGATGAGTGATGGGCTTCCAGATGCTCGGGATGCGAAGACACTCACGGTCTTCCGACGACCAGGAGTAGTTGCGCGATGAGTCTCGCGCTCTGCCTGCACCTCGTTCAGCCCAGCGGCGCGTGTTGTTGACCACGGCGACGATCATTGTTCTCGGGCGCTTCGGCAGACGGCAGGTGACGATCGCGACATGCTGCATTTGAGCAAACCTTCGCAGATCTGGCTCGGGTTCGGCGACGACTAAAGGGAGCACAGGGCATTAACCTCACGCGATGGTACGACGGCTCCGAATCGATGAGCACAACAAACACCACAAGCACTTGTGCACCGCGACACCCACCATGCCCTCCACTGACTGAGCGAGACTCGAAGGCGCCGTGCTGCTGCTGCAGCTTCGCGATGAATGGACGAGCCACAGATCAGCGATGGCTCCACGCCTCAAACATGATCCAAAAGAAAGAGCACGGCGAAACTCGTGCGCTGGTCCACGCCTTTCCCTAACGGTGCTGCATTTGGTTCCAGCCCGCAGCGAATGCCACTGAATCGAGTAGTGCAACCTCGTGTTAGCGTACGGCCTGATGAGCCTAACTTCACACTGGCTACCGCGTGGCGTGTCCGCATTTGGAACGCAGTATTGCTAGCAGCCGCCTCAACATGCCCTTTCTCATCATGCACTGCTGCGCGAGATTGAGCCCTGCCGTCGGTCAGTAGTGGTCGAGCGGCGCATGCAGCCATGCCTTTCTCACCGATAGCATGCACCGTGTGCCACTCTACGCACTGCATTCGCCGAGTTCTTGCCGCATCGAGACGTGCAAAGTGGCTGCAGCATGGGCCATTGAACTCAAACATCTGAGATCCGTGTGCGGGAGTGCTCAGCAGATAGGCCTTCACTTATTACGTGGAACCTCTCTGCCAGTGAACTTTGCCTCTCTAGCTGAAAGTGTCAGCTTCCCGCCGCTCATCAAAGAAGAGCTTGGCCCGCCCTTGTTGAGCTCAGTCAGCTGTATTTTTCTCGCTCTCCTGATCCTCCAAGTCTGCAGCTCGTCCTCCGCTCGACTGACTTCTTTTTAACCTTCCAGCTCGGCCAGCAGAGCCATTGTGCAGGCGAGATGGACTACCAACATGGCACGGCCACCACAACGGCGACCAATACGCCGCGTCCGGGCACACCTGATAGCGACCCGATCGAGCGTGCACCACCGAGAAACCCATTCGCTTCTCCATATGGCTCAATGCCAGCATCTGCCATGGGCTCTTCGACTGGTTTCCAGTCCAGCGCTCCTCCTCGCTACTTCCACTCTCGCCGAATCAACAAGGACGAGATAGAGAAGCCTTGGCTGGAGAAGAAGGATCCCAAGGAGAAATGGAGCACGATCATTCCCATCATTGGCATGGTCGTCGGCTTGGGACTGGTCGGCTTCCTCATCTACGAAGGCATGCAGACAGTGCAGAATCACGTTTATTGTCCCGTACTGGACGAGACTTTCTCGGGTGGTCTCAACCCAAGTGTGTGGACAAAGGAAGTGGAGGTTGGAGGATTCGGGTAAGATCGACTGTCGAAACGCTCGGTATCCACTCATGCTGACCCTAAATGACAGTAACGGGCAATTCGAAATGACCACCAACACCGACGAGAATGCTTTCCTCAAGGATGGCATGCTACATATCAAGCCCACGCTCCAAGATGCATCCCTTATCGAATCGAATAATGTCATCGATTATCTGAAGAGCGGTGAATGTTCCTCTGATATCTGGTCAAACTGCGTTGCGGTTACCAATACCACAAACGGTACTATCATCAATCCTGTCAAGTCGGCCCGTCTGAGCACAAAAGCCGGAGCAAAGATTAGGTACGGGCGCGTCGAAGTAGTCGCGCAGATTCCAGAGGGTGATTGGCTCTGGCCAGCCATCTGGATGTTGCCGGTAAACAACACCTATGGTCCATGGCCCGCATCCGGAGAGATTGACATTATGGAATCTCGAGGTAACAACTATACCTACCCAATGGGAGGAAACAACATTGTGTCATCCACACTTCATTGGGGTCCCGATCCCGGCAACGATGCCTGGTGGCGCAACAACGTGAAGCGAAAAGCGCTGCACACAACTTACAGCTCTCAATTCCACACCTACGGACTTGAGTGGAACGAGAAATACATTTTCAGCTACATCGACACGCGCCTCTTGCAAGTCATGTACGTCAATTTCGATAAGCCCTTCTGGCCAAAGGGTAACTTCCCTGCCTCCGATCAGAACGGAACCCGACTTGTGGACCCGTGGAGCCAGACTGGCCAGGACAGTACGCCTTTCGATCAAGATTTCTACTTGATCCTCAACGTTGCCGTGGGAGGCACGAATGGTTGGTTCGAAGACGGCGTCAACGGCAAGCCATGGGTTGATGCTTCCGACACTGCGAAACGAGACTTCTGGAACGCCCGATCACAATGGCTGCCTACCTGGGAAAAGAAGGGAGAGATGGTCATCAAGAGCGTCAAGATGTGGCAGCAACAAGGATACAATGGTTGCTAAATATGTTGTTCTTTCACTATTTCGAAGAAGCATAGGCAGGCATGGCTGGCGTTAGCGTAATATCCCTCTTTTTGCGGAAATTTCATTTGATTGTGTAAGAGCTCAACGAAGATATGATTGAGAGATAGAAAGGCATAAATTTTTCATCAGATACAAATTCTACCGTCCTGCGAATTCAGACGACGTTACACAGATTCTCCATCTCGAATGCTAGTCATACACCTTGGTCAAACAGAGACAGGACCTACAGCGCAGATCGCAGTGAGGCCTAGAACGCCAGCCCAGTGTTCGAGATTCCGTTGGTGTTCGGCCCACGTGAAAGCAACGTGAAAAGTCATGGCCGCTGCTGGGATCCCATGCATACAATGATCCGTTGCGGATTGGGGACCGGATGCCAAAAATGTTAAAATTTGATGTACGCGGTGTACAATGAGTGAAAGCGTTTCATCCTTCATAGTCGGACCTTCCCGCCTACGAGCTCATTCCAATCATTCCTCGTAAAAGGCACATACGTCTCAGCTCCGGGCTTGACCCACACGATCTGATCTTTACCACTCTCTCCTGCTGCGATCTTGTCGGGATCAACTCCTTCTTTCCTCGGCGCCACCTTGGATTGCTTTCCGTTGTGCATTAATGAAGGTGCTTCGACTAGTCGTAGAAATATTGGGACAGCGTATCGCGGTAGGCCTTTCCTCGCGTGCCGCAGTAGCGCAGCGTAATCGAAGCTGTCTCGCATCTCTGGACGAATGTATACTGCCGCGCAACCGGCCCGTCCGTCGTGGCTGGGTAACTCGACTCCGTACACGTTGGCTTCGATGATTCCTTCAAAGCGGCCGAGGACTTCTGCGACTTCAGCAGTGCTGACGTTCTCTGATTTCCATCGGAAGGTGTCGCCTAGTCGATCCACTGATGGAATGTTAGTATTATGGGTTGTGTGAAGTCGGAGATTCTGCTTACTGAAGAACCATCTTCCATCTGCGTCTCGTCGGAGAGCATCTCCTGTGCGGTAGTACACGTCGCCCTTTCGAAACACATCATGTACGAATCGCTTTTCTGTAGATGCTGGGTCATTCCAGTAGCTGAAATCGGAGGTGCTCTTGCAAGCAACTAGGATCTCGCCGCCTTGCTCATACGGTGCTCGACGAGCAAACCCAGTTTTGGGATCCCGCCAGATGTTGCCTGTCTCGTGATCGATCTCGACGGGAACGTACATATTATGTGTTCTTCGACGTTCGAGCAACCCATGGTGTCCAACGTGAGCGGTATGGAATGGCCCGCGTGATACGTTGATCATAGACAGCATGCCTTCGCTGCTATTGAAGAATTCGTTGATGACGGCAATTCCAAATCGTTCCCGGAACTTCTCCCAAATATCTACGCGAAGACCGTTTCCATACATCGCTCGGACTTTGTGGGACCTGTCCAATGGCGAAGGTGGTGCTGCAAGTAGATATCTCGCCGTCTCGCCAACGTAGGCGAATGCGTTTGCAGATGAATCGTGAACGTCTTTCCAGAAATTACGCACGCTGAATTTGCGACCAATGGCGAGAGTTACACCTGACAGCATACAGGTCATTGCTAGCGTTCCACCGGTCCCTGTTTCCGAAGTCAGTCTGATGCGAAGTGATAGTCCAATGCCCTCACGAGCTTCAAGGCCAGTACTGACCATGATAGAACGGCATGCAGTCATACCACACATCGCCTGGTTGCAGGGACGTGGATCGCAAACGAGGAAACGTAATGGATGTTGCAGCGATCGCAGGCCACCCGCAGGCCTTGGGCAGGCCAGTCGTGCCCGATGTATAAAGCAAGAAGAGGGGGAACATTGGAGTCACGCCGTCTCTGTATGTATCGTCGGGCCGCCGTGGTTCTCTGGCCTCTATGCTCCTTTTGGTGTCCGCATCGAGTACGACGATGCGTACGCCTAGCTCATCAAGCTTCTCCCGAAGTTCGTGTATCCGCTGCTGGCAACTCTCATCGCTATCGACGATCAAAATCTTACTGTTCGCAATCTTCAAGCAGTGAATGAGTCCATCGCCTGCCAGATTATAATTGATCATGGCCGCAGTCGCGCCAATTGCCCATAAACCCAGCAAATTATGCATGAAATCGGGTGAGTTCATCAGATATGTCCCTACAAGATCGCCTGGCCGTACGCCTTGATCGAGGAGGAACTGCGCATATCTGTGCGCGCTATTATATGTTTGCGTCCAGCTGTGCACCTCTGCTGGCTGAGCAGGGTCGGGTCGATACCATATGCAAGGTGCATCTTTCCGCTGCAACGCTTGCTCTTCGAATTGATAGTATGCGGATAGTCTATTCTCTTTCACTGTGCCAGGGCCGTCAGTGGGATGCGGCAGATCGCCGACGGCGCAGCATACCGAGCTTCTGATTCTTCGCTGTGACTTTGTTTCGCTCTCGGATGGTCGCGACGTCTTTGCGGATGTGGTACTTTGCGTCGAGATACAGGGCGGTAGCTGCAACAGCAGCGGTGGTGGCTGTAGACCTTGTCAGCATACACTTCCTTGGGATGTCGCTGACGACGCCCACCTAGCGCCATGATGGTCGAGGGTTGCGAGATGTGTCAGGGTGGGATAAGATGAGAGAGACAGAGACAAGAGATGGTCACCGTTTCCTACCAGTCATGCATCTATTACAATCCAAGCAGAGGCGCTGGTCTGCGCCTCTTGAGCTGCCGAAATGGCAGCGCCGGGGAAGGTCATGGCAAGCAACCTCGGGGGTGTGCTCCGCGACAGAAGCCTTTGGCTGAGGTCGGCAAATGCATCGGCGACAAGCCGCCCAGAGCCTCCTGCCCTTACGCTGTCTTCGGCACTTGCTCTCCTGCCTTTACAACAGCATCCATCTGCCTACATATTCAGCCATCCTCGGTGTGCTCCTACAGCTGCTTCACGCTTCTCATTCACGATCAATGCCGCGAGCACCAACAAAATGCGCACCTGGATGTCGAACTACTGTTACAGTCAATGTCCCACAGGAAGGGAGACAGCGACTTGTTGAGTAATGCTTTTGATCTGCCGCAGCAATGTTGGACGAGACAGGATGGAGATGTGTGCCCGACTCCTCCGTAACACTCTGCGGTGGTGAGAATATGAGGCAAGAGGACCTGATGGGAAAGTTTTTCATTTCATTCTGTGTATCTAGGTAACGGCAAGTCGAGTATGACCCTCCAAAGTGCAAAAGTTGAGTCAGAGATGCCATCTTCGCGTCCGTGTAAGTAACAAGGAGTATGTGCCGAACGCAGATATCATGCTACTCGCAGCAGCCAACCGCGCCCTTGAGCCCGATGAAGGGAGAGCTTGGAAGACCAGACTGCGAGCCAGCTCATCTGCTACACGCTAGGCTTTCATCATCTGTTGCGATGTTAGTCCGGTCCATGCCCAATAGTCGCGCAGTCGATACTCACATGTTTTTGACTAGGAGGGTCATTGTGGAAGAAGAGCCCGTTGTTGCAGCGCGAATGAGATTTTAAAGTCGTGCGGGAGCGGGAGTGAGCGCGCGCACCAGCCACAGTTACAGTGCCACAGTTGAGAACTTGCCTCCTGCATTCGAGAACATCACAACACGTTGGCATCACGGCGTCCAGAGACTTGATGCTTCCGTCCTGGAGTCGTGCTATCGCGACTTCCCGCGCTGCATCTCGATGCCGGGCATCAGGTCAAACCCGCCTTAGCCTGCGTAGGCTGGGCCCTTTCGCAAATGGCATTCGATTCTTGTCCGACAAAGCAGATGCGACAGAGGCTAGCACAGCTCAGGTATTGCAAGATTTCAAAAAGACACTGAGCTTCCCTGCAAAGACCTGCACCTATGACGACCTGCTGCAAGACTGCAATAGCTTTGTCAACACCGGCGTGACGCTACATGGCTACCTTGGAACACGCAGAGATGCATCCAAGACGCTCACATTTGCTGAGTTGCATGATATGCACTTGCGGACTTCGATACAGCTAGTTTCAACCCAGACCAAAGGCGAGGAAGGAAGCAATGTAGCGCATTCTCAGCTCCGCACCTTGTTGGATCATACGCCAGTAGCGGTGACCGGCACTCTCGTGTCACGAAAGGCCCCAAAGTCCTCCTCTGCGAATGGCGGGAAGCACTCTCTGGTGACTGGAGCAGAAATCAAAGTGGAGAACATCACACAACTCAATAGCTTTCCCAAGGACATCATTCTAGGCAGTGAGACCATCTTTCCAGCAGCCGAACGACATCTGCAGCTGCGCAACGATCGCGAACTGCGCCATGCTTTAGCTTTCCGCAGCGAAGTCGCTCGCACGATCCGCGAGGAGCTCAGTCAAAAGCATGGCTTCTCGGAGATCGAGACACCACTGCTGTTCAAATCGACCCCAGAAGGGGCTCGTGAGTTCCTGGTGCCTACGCGGAACCCAGGACTCGCCTACGCTCTGCCACAGAGCCCCCAGCAATATAAACAGATCCTGATGGCCAGTGGCATCCCACGTTACATGCAGATTGCAAAGTGCTTCAGAGACGAGGACCTCCGCGCCGACAGGCAGCCAGAGTTTACACAGGTCGATCTCGAAATGGCATTTGCCAGCGGCGAAGACGTTATGGCCGTCGTAGAAGAGACTGTAAAGCAACTGTGGGCTGGTCTCTTGCAAGTTGAATTGCCGGAGAGGTTCGACCGGATGACATACCAACAAGCAATGTCAAAGTACGGCTCCGACAAGCCTGATCTTCGACTGGGATCAGAAATACGAAGAATCGGGTACATGCTACCTGTGGACTTGATCCAGAAGATTGGCCCCTTGGACTTTCCGATTGTCGAAGTGATGAAGATACCCATCTCCGACGACACACAACGAACCCGAGACTTTGTAAACACTTTCATGGATTCTCCAGAGGCTCAATCATTCGTTCAAAATCCAGAAGGCCAACCCGGCATCTTTATTATCGACTCTCGCAAACCGCTCCAAGGCCTCCAACCATTTGGCTTCGAAGCCGCAGAACAGCTCGAAGAAGTCCTCGATCTTGAAGACGGCGACCTAGTCGTGATTCAAGCCCGGAAAGATGCTCCCTTCTCTGGCGGCTCCACGCCGCTAGGGAACCTCCGCCTCGCTATGCACAAAGCAGCAGTCAAACACAACTACCTTCCTGCGCCACAAGGCTTTGCTTTCACATGGATCACCGATTTTCCTCTCTTCTCTCCTATCAACGAGAACGAGCCCGGTCAAGGAGGAGCCGCAGGCATAACGGCGACACATCATCCATTCACATCACCCAAAACACCCGAGGATGTAGACCTTCTGGTTACAGCTCCTCTACAAGTGACAGCAGACCACTACGATCTAGTGGTCAATGGCGTCGAACTAGGCGGTGGAAGTCGAAGAATCCACAACGCTGCAATGCAAGAATATGTCATGCGTGAAGTCTTGAAAATGAGCGACGAGCGCATGAAAGACTTTGCACATTTGATTGAAGTTCTCCGAGCTGGCTGCCCTCCTCACGCAGGCATGGCCCTGGGCTTCGACAGACTGATTGCGGTCATGCTCGGAAAAGAATCTGTGCGGGATGTTATCGCCTTCCCCAAGAGTGGGAAAGGAGAAGACTTGCTGGTTAAGAGCCCAACGAAAATGACCAAGGAGCAACTCGAGACATATCACTTGAGTTTGAAGAGGTAGTTCGATTGTACTCATAGAATGTATACATTACAGATACCTGCTTTTGGTGTGGTTTTCGTTAATTCGTTAAAGCGAGCCTGGCTCTGGCACCCGGCATGAGCCACTGTTGGCGGGAAGCTAATAAAGAACGCTGTAGCATATGAATCGTCTCGTTCAGCAGTCGCATCGCTCTCCGCACCATTTCGCTCAAGTGCCGAAAACCATTATCGAACTGAGCTCTGGCAATCGTATCGTGAGCGAACCGGGCGTGTCTCCCTATGCCACGTCGATGTCCATCTCATCTCCGGCCTCGACGGTTGGGACTACCTCTGTTGACGTCTCGACAACAGCCTCGAGATCGCCTGCAGGCTTTTGATCAACGTCAACCGCTGCACCATTCTCGACAGGCTTCTCGGCAGGACCTGACCCATGCACTTCTACAGTGCCTCCGTTGTTGCCTCCGCCGCTCTTGGTCCGACGTGCCACACGGTCCTTGATGTCATGCTCCTCGCGATCCAGCGAACGCATTCGATCGCCATTGTCACTCGTCTCGAAGCGGAGATCATCAACAGCCAGCTTGCTCCACTCCATGTGCCGTGCGCACTTCTTTCGATCGCAGATCTCTGGCACCGACAATTCCTCATCCACCATGTCGTCCCCATCTGGACCCTGCCCGGTGACCAACAGATCTGTGTTGAATGCCTGTTGACCAGCCTTACTGTTGCGCCACTCCTGAAATTGGTCTTCGCTCCACTCAATCCGAGGATCATATCCGCAATACTCTTTCGGCTTCAGCTCTTTCTCCGTCGCAACGCGACTTGCTGCCTGCTTAGCCAGAGTGACAAACTTCATGCGGTCTTTGAGTAAGGCATGTCGCTGTCGAGCATGCTCCTTTTCTGATTCGATACGAGCCAGGTCTCGTGCTTCTGACTCCGTGTACTGCGGCACATCTTTCGCGTCATCGGCCTCCGGGGTAGCAGGAGGGCTGAGGACGCCATCGCCCAGTTTGCGGAATTCGTCGACCGTGTTGGATGCGTTCAACAACGCCTTGACCTCGCCAGCGGCCAATGCACCTCCTCGAGCCCCGAGATCCTCATCGTGTCTGTCTGATGTATCCAGGCTGCCCTTTCTACGTGCTGCTCGACGACTTGCACTGTCTCCTGCGCCCCGGCTCTTCCCCGCCATTTCCCGAAAATAGAGCACTCCGCACTCCTCGGAGCAGTACTTACTGCTGTGGCTACCACTCTTGGTCTTCCCGGCTTTTGCAGGGCGTCTACAGTCGCCCCGCCGACATATGCGCTTCCACGTGGTTTGACCAACGCCAGCCTTGGTGCACGCTGGGCAGATATATTTGTCGATGAGATTCTTGTCCCGCTCAGCAACACCGACGCACTTGCCGTGGAACCAATCATCACAAGTGCCGTCACAACCTATCATGAACTCGCCACTGTCTGGCTTCCGGCAGATGCAATACAGGTCGCCGTCCTGGCTTCGCCCCTCATCGTCAACGTCGTCGTCATCATCATCCAGCTCTTCCTGCGGATCTGCCGAATATGATCGGGTGGAAGGAGCGGGAGACGAATTGATCGGCGTTCCTTTAGCACTGGCGACCTTTCCAGCAGCGGTTTTTGACGCACGTGAAGAGGGCGTGTCTGCTCGCTTTGTCTCAAGTTTTCTCTTCTTCGCTGGTGGTGCTTTCTCCTTCTTCACCGTGGAAGCTGTGCCCTTCTTCTTTGTAGGAGCTGGGCGCTTCCGAGATGCCGCAGCCGTTTCCTCCTTGGTCGGATCTTCCGTAGACGGCACTGGTATCGAGGACTCGCGAAGCGGAGATTTTGCATGTTGTTGAGTGTGTTCATATTTGAGCGTAGTCACTGCCTTTTGTGCGTGGCCGTCGGCCTCGAGCCCAGGACGAGTGTCATCCCGAGACGTACTTTGGAAGGTCGAGGTGCTGTCCATTGCTGCGGACGATGTATCTTGAGGTCGAGACATGATCGAGGGAACGGCGGCGGAGTTGTTGGTGGAAGGAGACCCAATCGCGGCAGAAGAATTTGCGCCATTCGGAGCTCCAGGCGAAGCAGACTGATCCTCTGAGGCCGCCATGAGAGCGCCAGATGGAGGCGGGCTGTGGGGTTGTCGCTTAAGTAGATCGGTGGCGGTGGTCTTCGGCGGTGCGAAATCCTGGATGGGCGGAAGAACAATGTTGGAGGGCTGCGGCGAGGCAGCAGAAAGGCGTCGGTGGTCCGGTGAACGCGACGCGGCGTGGAATTGCTCCAGCGTCGGCGAAGTCGGTTTTCGCGTCAAGTCGCCAGGGACGGGGAGCTGCGCACTGGCTCGTCTCTCCCACGATCGCTTGCGCTCAAGGCTCGCGCCGTCCTGCACACTACTGCCGCTCCATTGCGTCGGCGGCGGGCTCGTGGAAAGACTGGCGAGGGCCTGCGCGGCTTCGTGCGTTGTCGTCGAGACCTGCATCGAGGAACGAGCTGGGTCGCGCGCAAGTGCGGGCTGCGCTGGGGACGGCGGGCGGTTCTCGGGATTGAGGAGCGATGCTAAGCTGGCCATGGCGAATTGCTACTACCTCATGGCTGGTTTCTCACAGTGCGCAGTACTAATAGACTGTGATATCGCGATGGCAGAGGGCGAAGGTGCGGGCTGAAGTGAGAGGTCGAGGGTGGTGGTGAACCAGCTCCATGCACGCACATGCATGCATGCATGCAAAAGACTGGAGCCAACGTCACACGTCTTGAAGCTTCTCGCGCCAGACCTCACGTCTGCTCTCCGTCCTTCTCCTGCTGATATTCACCCTATCGACCGTCACAGGCAACTGCGGGCCTGCCAGCCAGCCAGACTACGCGGCTGTGCGATACTAAGACGGACTGACCGACGACGGCGATCACATTCTCGTGCAAGAGCAGCGAACGACGAAAGTGAGGGGTGCATGAGAGCAGCAGAATGACCGACGCCCTCAACCAATTGCTGCACACCAGCATGGACATCACTCTGCTTCTGCGCTGCACGTATCTGGGCCTATCGATACTGGTACACCCATGCGACGTGTATACGTCAAGACCAGCACTTTGCTGATCGGAGGTAGGTACTGGTAATCCACGCCATCCCGCCGTTGCGGACGCGGTTTATGTCTTATGGAGCGCGTCAAGACCCTTCAATCATCGTGCAGAAAGTGAGCGGAGGTGAAGGCCGAAGTTACTCACTGGCAACACTGCTAGACCAGGTTGCAGCCATCTGTGTTCCACACAGCTGGTTCACGTCCTTCTACGCCGTCTCCGTTAGCTGCTCGTTGTATTGGGCTGCAGAAGTGATCTTCAAAGGCCCAGCTCTTGCGGCTGCTTCTCAATTCCCAGTCACGCAGACGCGCTCCATGACGGTTAAGCAGGTCGAGGTAGTCTGGCTGATGATGCTTGCGCAAGGTAGTCGCAGACTCTTCGAATGTCTGAGCCTGTCAAAGCCGTCACAATCTCAGATGTGGGTGGGGCATTGGATCCTTGGGATCTTGTTCTATGTCTGTACCAACATTGCTGTTTGGATAGAGGGGACTTGTATGAACCCACAGTTCTCAGAGAATGCTTCTCATGCTGACGACTGCATAGCTGCGATTCAAACCCATGAATTCTCATCACAAGACATAGCATTTTCGCCGCCCAGTTTCCGCACTTTTGTAGGCTTCCTAGTCTTCATTCTGGCCTCCGGCTTTCAGCACGACTGTCATGCGTATCTGGCTGCGCTCAAAACTCGAGGACAGAGTGCCAATGCATACAGTATGCCCGATCATCCGGCGTGGAACGTATCGCTCACTCCGCACTATTTCGCGGAGTGTCTCATCTACTTGGCGATTACAATAGTGGCAGCTCCAGAAAGGCATGTCTTGAATGTGACGATGCTATGCGCCTTGATCTTTGTTGCAGTCAACCTCGGTGTCACAGCCGATGGCACGAAGAAGTGGTATACGCAAAAGTTTGGGGCCAAGCAGACGCAAGGCAGAGCAAGGATGATACCCTTCATCTATTGAAGTCGACATGCTATCCGCCTCCGTGTCGTCCAGATCTCGAACTCGCGAAGTTTTACTCGCCGTGGATTTACTCAACAGTCGGCATCCAATTTGAGCATTTGACTCTCATAAGGCGCTCCGTGCGAGACGCAAAGGTCAAAGGAGTCGCCAATGATACGACTCCGACGCGCTGCTGTGCGCGCTGCTCAGCGTCCAAGCTCCCCGGGACGATAGCGACTGTCATTTGACTCGCTCACAATGATCACAAGTACAGATGATTGATTCTCCTCAGACATGACATTGAGCGTGCTCGCCTGGGGAGGGAGCAAAGGTCGTCCCAGTTCGCTTGACGCAAACATAGAGCCTTTACTCGGAATAGTGGATAGGACCAAGACGGATTACGGTCGTCGGATACAGAGCAAATGAACACAATATTAAGGGCTTGCGCGACCCTGTATTGTTCTTGACACAGTTCCGTCGTGTTGGCCGTTTGCATGGTATGCAGCAGTATCTTCCAATAACAATAGTCCCATGGATACACAATCTGCTGAAGATGTTGTGTGCATTCTTAGGAGTAAACGATGAATTGACGTGATTCGGGTCGTGAAAGCGAGCCCGCTTTGTATCACCTAGCAAACAAAAGTATGCGCGCTTGCCATGTGAAGCCGGCATTGTCGCGTGAGAGGGCAACAGACTTGTTCAACGTCACTTTCCTAGAACATAGTACAACCAACGCGAGCAGTCACCACCGGTGCACAATGCCAGAGCGACACGGGATCAGCATTTCCCTCCAGAGCCAATACGATGCTCTGAGCCTGCCAGAATTTCCGGCACCAGTCCCAGCTGCCTCAGCAAGCGACGGACTATTCCCGCCCAAGACAAACCATGAACACAATCAGACCAGCGCAGTCGAAGCATACACTCCAATATATCCCGGCTCACAGTTCTGGATCGTGTTTCGCTGCAGCCAGCCAGCTGAGGAAACTCGGTATTACTACTTCAAGCTGTTCCTGGGCGGCAAGTGCGTTCTTTCGTGGGGATGCGGAGAAAAGAATGGATGGAGCGGCCGCGTCGGCTTCGGTATCTTCGAGAGCTCAGGGGATGATCTTGCTGATTATCCGCTCCTCGAGAAAAGGGCTTTTGTGTTCCCAAACATGCGCGAGACAAATGAAGGAGGAAGCTTCGAGATTCGGGTGTATCGTGCAATCGGGAGGAAGAGACAGGATCGGCCAATCAAGGCGTGGAAACAAGGCGCAGCACCGGAAGGTGTGAAGATGAACATTGTAAGCGGACTTTTTGGTATCATGATGATGATGCTCTGATGACTGACTGTTGCGATTCTTGCAGGCAGGATACATGAAACCACAGGATCCTCGTCGCATGTATGCATATGCGCTCCTGGATCCGATGAACAAGCCGTGAGTACTTCTGACTGCGTGATCTTGAAATGCTATCTCTGAGAAGAGAGTGCTGACCTGAGTTCACCATCTAGCTATGCTTCATTTGTCTACCACTGCCACGCTGGACAGCAGCTGCGAGAGCTGGGACTCGACATACCAGCAGAATTTGATGTCGACGACATTATCAAAGCTTCTCCAAGTAAACGAGCACACCGTGAGAACAAGTCTGCGACACCAGCGCCAATAGCTCGACCAGTATCGCCGCCCAGCACATACACGGGCAAAGACTCTCTCGCTCTGCGTCGCAGCCTTCGGTCTATTCCGCCTGGCGTTGGCACTGCTGCTGACGGACGCTGGGCCTGATCAGATATCTCCGACCAAGGTGCAGCGGGGACAGATTGTAGATGAAGCACTAAAGGGATCGACACTCTCGCAGGCTGGAGGACCTGATGAGATCAAGACTGAAGCACTTCTCTCGCGGACCGGCACTTCAGTCGGCTACTTCAGGAGCATGGCCGGACGGTGGAAGCGAAGAAGTGGTACGGGTGAGCAGGAAGTGTTACTGTACGACGGAACCCAGCAAGTGAAGCCGTAGTGTCCATTGAGGTTCTGATGCGTTGAATCGAACAAAGGGAGGTGGAGGGGATGGTCAAGTGCGATCTAAAAATAGACACAACACCGAGCACGCTGGCAGGTGCTTACACCCGGCATTCAACCTTCTGACTTCGCTGTCCGATGCCACAGATTTTACGCCATGGCATGTCATGACCAAATGCTCCAACGCTAATGCATCAATTTTGCGACCAAGATGTACAAGTTTGTTGATCTCACCAAAGAGCAGCAGCACGAGCGGCGGGAGTTGCTGGACTTTTATGGACTCACTGCTCAGTGCTCGGTCATATTACCGCTTTCCGCCATCGGTGTTCTCCACGTGGTCTCTCTAAGTCGGAAATGGTGGCCACGAGGAGCGATTGAAACGCCTGCATCGCCGTATGTGAAGGCAGCTCGCGAGGCCAAGGGCTTCACGATCGCCGGTGTTCGAAATAGATGGCGTCGGGTATGTCACACAAACACGATACGATTTATCCACCCTTATGAGCAGACTATACTCAAACTGGCTCGCGAATATATGAGTAACTAACCTGATCGATGCTAGGCTGCATGGTGGAGTGGTGATCCATTGCATGTCTTTGGCTATCATGTCGGCACCAAAGGAGAAGTTCTTTGGGGCTCGATCTGGACGGCATGGTTGCTGACTTTGACGTTTGTAGACACTGGAGATGGTTGGTCATATTGCAACAGCCTGAATGAGGAACGTTCGACTGACATGAGAACAAATAGATTACCTCCATCTCACCAAAAGGTTCGGCGCTGTGGGCGGGTCACAGCTTCCATTCCACTACCTGCTATCGATGAAATCACCTTGGGCTCCATTACAGATCTTGACCGGCTCCTCCGAGGCCACGCTCCTGTCCGCTCATCAGATCCTTGGACGCATTATCGTCGGTTTCTTCTGGGCCCACGTCGTGCTCTACGTGAACTTCTACGTCGTCAAATCGTTACTGCTCGCCAAACTCCAAAAGTTATTCATCATATGTGGCGTGGTCGCTATCATCAGCTTCACCGCTCTCTCGACCACTGCGCTGAAAGCTGTTCGGGACAAAAGCTATCGGATTTTCTACATTACGCATGTGTCTCTTGCCACATGTCTGCTGCCCTTACTTTACTGGCATGTCCATCATATCCGACCGTTCGTCTACGAGACCGTTTTCATCTACTTGGTCAATGTTGTGCTTCGTTTCTTTGCGACGCGTAAGCACGCTGGAACAATTCGACAAGTCAAGGATGCTGGCCTCGTGGAAATAAACCTACCGTTAACTGCGGGAGCAATGAAATGGCATCCCGGACAACACGCATATGTGTCTCTCGCCGGGAATCCCTTCTTGCGGACTTTCAAGACGAATCCGTTCACTTGCGCTTCGATCCCAGCCATCGACAACAAACTTCGGTTCGTAGCTCGAATACTCGATGGAAACACGGCGAAACTCGCCAGGGTCGACAAAGAGACGCAAACCTTCGCCGTCGAAGGCCCTTATGGTCTCGCTAGCCACGCAGACAGGCTTCTTGGATATGATCGAGTGTTGTTCGTCGCGGGAGGTGTAGGCGCCACATTTGTGGCACCGCTCTACAGGCAGTTGCTCTCAGATCTTTCTCCGAGTAAAGGCAGTCATCGAAGGCAAAGAGTCAGCTTCGTGTGGGCCGCTAGGACACTTTCCGAAGTCACTTGGGCTCTGCCCGAGGATGTGAAGGAGAGAGATGGTTTCACGGAGAGATTGACAGTTCATCTCAGCCGACAAAGCGGTGGTCAGATCGAAGACAGCTCCTTCGCTCTTGCCAACGATGATGATGAGGCCCCTGGCGAAGAAGGTGTCGAGATGGAGGAGCAAAAGAAGTTATTGCACGAGGGCATGGACGAGAATGGCGCGAAGACTGGCCTGCCGACGCAAGGGCTCCAGACTCGTAATGGTCGCCCCAACCTGGTCACGGTGGTCGATCAGGTGTTCATGCAAAGCAGTACAGAGAGAATCGCGGTCGTCGTATGTGGTCCTCGTCAATTGAGCCAAAGCCTGCGCAAACAGGTTGGAAGATGGGTGAGGAAGGGCAGAGACGTCTGGTACTGGGACGAGGCATTTGCGCTTTAGATCGAATGTAGTCGAACTGACTTGTCCATCGTGAACGCATGTGTGGCCGAAATAGCTTGCGCCGACATGAGTAGCTTTGATGTCGTTTCGTGTAAGGAGCCAATACCGGTCACACGCTCTTAGTAGGATAGTTCATTTGGCCAACGTCAGATCCAAGATGAGGTTCGCTGCGATCCTTCTCACCTTCAATAAAATCAACGGCCGCTCGGAAGTGAGCACTTTGGAACATCCGTTGCTGTGCCAAGCTTGTTGCGCCATAGTCGATGGCCGAGCACACTGCCGCCATTTCGCTCTGTGAGGGCGAGTACGGCCGTTGGTAGCCTATCTCCATGCGCCGAGGGTACAGCGCTCGATGTACAGGCATGGCGCGAGCTCTTGTGCGGACTCGGAAATGCTATCTGGTGCTAAATGCCAACGTGCCTGAGCGAGTGGTAGTGTTGAGTCGGGTCCCACACGACTCTGCCCGATGCATACCAGGAAGCATGCAAGACTTCGGCGACACTGGATAGCATGACGTGGATGCTGCATCGACGAAATCGGCCGCGGGTCGTTTGGGAGAGTCGAGGAGAAACACGTGTCTCAAGTCACAGGGCACGGATGTGGGAGACCCTCGCAGTGGAGGTCGCAGTCTTGGAAGCTCGATTTTAGAACAACCGCGACTTGCTCGCCCGGCTCGGAAACCTGCGAGAGATGGTGGAATGCTGCCCCTCCATGCGCGACAACCGACGAGCTACGGCAGTAGTGCTGTGGAGATCCGTGATGAGCGCGAACAGGTGGGAAGGCGAGCGACAATCAATGCGGTATCGGGAAGCGAAGGCTGCGAAAGTGAGAATGCAGTGTGTCAGTCCAGTGGCCAGATTGGGACTGCGTGGCTGTAGGCGACTGGAGATTAGATCGATCGTGAGTCGGCACGCGCAAACTGTGCACGCTGGCAGCAGAAACACGACGCGTCAGATGATGGATTAGTCGACACGGATGCGGAAAGTTGGCTGATGATGAGATGAGGTGCGTGCCTCTAATTGCGCCCATGTGGCGGCTCGATTGGGCGGGCGTGGAGTAGTCATGAGTGGAGCGAGCAAGAGCAACAAGCGGGAGCGGCGGTTGGTGGCCTGCGTCCAGTCCTCGTGCACGCCCATACTAACTCACGCTGCGCCTTGCCGTGTGACTCTCTCTCCCCAATACCACGCACACTCGCACAACGCACCGCCGAAATACTCGTCTGTTGCCCCGTCTGTTGCTCCGCCGTCTCCTGCTCCCTCGCATCGCATTGCACTCCCTTCGACGCGCAGCCCCCATCGGCCTCCGACTCTCGGCGCAGCAGCAGCAGCGACACCAGCTCGAGCGACTCGCCACGACGCGCTCGACCTCGCTCGCACCAGCTTTCTTGCTCTGTCAAGTAAGTCCCATCGCGTCGCGTGCCATCTGCGAAAACACCTTTCGTTGTTTCCGCCGTGGTTCGCGCTGTCCGACGCCTTATCTGCACTCTCCCACCCGTCGCATACTGATCAGCCCGCGCGTGCAGGAAAGCTACATCCGACCCAGCGACCACTCTCATGGCTTCCGCACCACCCGCAGCGATGGCTTCGGCCTCGCAGACTCCTTCCGCCAGCATCCCGATCATGCGCGACACCAGCGACATCTCCGGCACCGCCTTCTTCGAGAAGCGTGCCAACGCGCTCCTGACTCCTCCGAGCTCCATCAGTCCGGAGTTGGCAGCTCGCCCTGTCAACGCCGGCGCACTCTCTCCGCCACCGATCAATATTGAGCACGATACGGATATGCAGGACGATGTGGGCAGCCTTCCCAGCGGCGGCATGCCTTTGAGCCGGGGCGCGCTTTCCAGCCTCGACGGCGCCGTCGCCATCACGCCTAGCATGCTCGCCCAGCACCACCTCCCGGCAATCCTGTTGAACCACGGACCGCGTCCCATCCGTCATGTCATGGGCGAACTGAATCACACTGTGCCTGGCTTCTCTCGCATTCCTCCTGCCAAGGCCCGGCGCATCGTGGTTGCCGCATTGGAGAGCAGAGATGGAGGTGGAGTGGACGGAAGTGTCACCTTCAGCAAGACGGGTTGGGGACGGTGGGATGCGCATATCAAGGGCTCCTCGCGCGACTCCGGAATCGGCTCCTTCAACGAAGGCAACCTCTCGCCTCCTCGCAGCGAGCACGGAAGCTACGCTGCGTCTCACAACGACTCTGCTGTCCATGTTCCGGTCGGTCATATGCAAGCTAGACGCAGGGAACAATTCTCAGGCGGCAGCTGGACTGCGTCCAGCATTCAAGAGGAGAACGAATTCGACATGGACATGGATCCCATTGAGGAGGCAGCGGATAAGATGTCCCTCGATGGACTGTCCAGCGACTCCTCTGACACGAACGATGGCGAAACCGACAACGAGGACTGGACGGCGCTCGGCCTCGAGACGATGCGGAAGGCTTCATTGCCCACTCCCAACGCCCCGATCCAAAACTACCGCAAAGTCTCCGTTCCCTATACTGGACGCTACGCTCGGACTGGCATTCGAGGCCCACCACCAATGAATCCTGCCCGCAAGATGCATTCTTCTTCTGTTCCCCTTGGAAACGGCATGCGCGCCATGCGTACTGCTGTGCAGTCTCCGGCCGAGCGTGATGCAGTCGCCGCCTTAATGAGCATGGGCAGCATGTAAAGATTGCTTATCTGGAGTTTTTGGCGTTGTCACGGACCTCCTCCCCTCTCCCACTCTATCTCACGATCTCCTGTTTACGAACGACACTGGGCACCAGTCTTCCTGTTCAAGTGCTGACGGAAGAACCTGGATTGACATGGGTGGCGTTCTCCTCTCTCTCTCACCCTCACCTTCTCGGAAGATACCCATTTTTGCTTGCATTGTTTCTTGGGATACAGACCCACGGACGATGACCCCGTTCCTACCGACGTCAAGCGCTGACGCCTCGGTTTCTGGCGACGACCACGCTCGTTTCCTGGCATCTCTCTACCATACCACATGGACTGACGACCAACACACTCAACAGGCCAAGTGAGCCTTTCACGACCAGCATTTACTTTCTACATCAGTCAGTGTCCAGCGACGAAAGTCAAAGGGCCATTGGCTACTCATACACATTCACATTCACATATTATGAACGAGCTTGATCTATTCTGGAGAAGCGATGACAATCTTGAGCTCGCGAAACGATGCTAGAGCTCGATGGAGTAACTCCGATTGGTTTTGTTCATTTGCGCAATTGAGTCGCTGAAGAAGGAGGAGGCTATATTGGCGGACTTCAACACACGCTTGCAATGCGTTCGATTTTGAGATAAAAGAAAGAGCGAGGCTCTCTGACTCCGGCGCTGCGGCCGGCATGCGTCTCATTCATTTGAGCACGCGCGAGCTATTAGTCGTAGCAGAGATAGTTGGCCATTTGTAGATACAGTTGCATTCGCGACTTCAATTCAATGGTCATACGCGTCACATGCATATTCTCACCCAGATTACTTCGACGTGACGTTTGTCCTTGGCCCAGCCAGCTGTTGGCGCCCCATGAAACAGGTTGATGACGATTTCTCGTACATATGCTGACAAGCTGGGATTGACTGCTAATGTATTCTTGTGCTACGTGCTCTATGTAGGCATCACCATGATATCTTCAAGCTGCAATGCATGCTCAAGAGAGCAATTGCTGGAAGTGAGCGGACTGGCGGAGTAACTACTGCTTGATGACGCAGGTCTGAGAGCTCAGGAACTCAAAACACCCGACCTCCTCAAGTTGCTCGTCCAGCAACCCTACTCACCGACATTCTGTTGCAATTGAGGAGAGCTGTATACCTTTGAAGAAAGAGAAAACGAGTATTTCAAGATGCCGTCGCTACTGCAATATGCTGATGTAAGTAAGCTTGACGGCAGCTTTCCCGTGTGTCCTCTCGAGAGCTCCGAGCTAACTGAATGGCGTTTCTAGACATACCACGCATACGTTTTCGGTCCGTTATCCTGATGCCGTAGTTGCGTGTGCCTGCAACTTGTTGTCCCTTGTCGGCCGACTGACTTCCTCATCAGGGACAAGCTTCTGGTACTTCCTCAGAGGCATTGTCCGCGTGATTGATCCAGCAACTGTATGCCACATCCCGAGCAAATGGAATCAGAGATGTTGAGCGATTGGCTGACACCCCACAGGTGTGTGGCTGGTTTCGTCCTCCGATTCAAGGAGCGGTAGAACCTAATGGTGTGTTGTTGCTGCGTTGGTCTATTGCATGTGTGACGCTGACCGCTTAGATCTGGAACTCTATACCACGCGAACAGACGCCTTCTGCCTTTTGGCACTGGCAGCTATCCTCCTGGCCGTTTCTGATGCTGTGCCATTGCCGGCTGGTCTGACGGGTTCGTCCTTGTCTGATTATGCACCAGTGACTTACAAGAAGCCTTATGCGAGAGCGGTGGTGCTCATCACTATCCTCCACCACGTGGCTACAGGATTTGGTGCTTGGTCTCACTGGAGATACGCGTCGCACCATACTGTTGCCATGGATATCGGTGTGTATGGAAACATTGGATTGGTGGTATTGGGTCTCGCGGCTCTTGCATACGGGCTCGAAGATCGAAGCGGCGTCAAGGAACAGCTCAAGAAAGCTTGAGGACTTCGTCGCGCGTGGTCGACGTTGTACCTGGAAGAGGTATGTCTGATAGATGGTCGAGTATAATGTAGTATGCAGGATTCATGGATTCGTGCCCTTCAAGGGCGAGACTGGATTCCCAGATAGAGCCTCGAAGAAAGGTCGTTGTAGATGTCGTGCTGTCGCACTCATAGCATCCCGGTCTCACCCGTGCAACATCGCGGCGCGGTCACAGTATTGAAAGTCGAGTGTGTGGTCCATCCGAACACCCTCATATTATACCGATTTTTCAGCCATAACTCTCCAGCTCAATCTTCGTAATGTATTGTCCAGGCACCACCACAAGACCAACGAATCTCTTCTTCATGTCCAGCTTGAGCTTGCCATCACTGCCCATCTGTTCATGTTCCATCGCGGCACGTTGAAGGTCAGATTCGGAAGGATGACGGTACTCGTGGGTCATCGCGAGAATGAGGTTGCGTTCGTTGTCTGTGCACTTCATTTGGCCGACAAACATGCGGCCGTCGGAGGTGTGGACGTGCAGCGTTCGATTGAGCATTTGCGTGAGGTATGCGCGCGGGTCTTCGATTTCGTCGGCCATGCTGCTTGCCAATGCCTGGGCATGCAGGATGTGTGTGGCCGATGGGGCTGTCTTCAGAACATTGAGTTTGAGGTCAGAATTCTGGCGAGGCAAGCAACACGAGCTCTTCGAACGCATGTGCGGAGCCGCTTCCGTTTCTGTCACACTTGCACTCAAACGAAGTGGAAACATAATCGAAATCACTGGGCGATTTCTTGCCAAAGGGCGATGTATACATTTCACATCACAGAGTCTATGGAGTCCAGACAAAGAGCCCATACATGCCATTTTCGCGGACACGCTTCACTGAGCGATCAACCTCATAGCGGCGTTAACCTGAACTCGTAACCCAAGACATTCCATATTCAATATCTAAAGGAAAACCTCCAGATTGAGCTCGAGTGTTGATGTTGGGAATGGAAGCTCGAAGTTCTTGAGCACAGCAGGATGCAGAATACCAAAGGTGCCAATGCGCTGCGCCTTCTTGCCTGCAAGTTGGAGGTAAATGGCTGCTGAGTGGCCGGCAAGGTATGTCGGGTCTATAATGAAGCATTAGCGAATTGCTCAGCTGAATAACAGCTTGATATTACTCACCATCAACTTCTTCAATCCAGTACCCTTGCAGCGCCTCGTTCTTCAGGCCATCTTCTCTTGTGATGAAAGCTGATCTCAGCATCGTCATGACACGGTCGAGCAGACCGTGTACCTGCTCGAAGCCGCTTGTCTTTCCATACCACGCAGCCGCAAAGTGGCGTTCGTTTCGGCTTCGTCGCTCCAGAGTGTCATCTTTGAAGCAAACGTCCGCAACCTCGAAGATTTTCATCGGCACTGCATGGCGCCTGTTCTCCCTGATTGTCTTTAGCAGGCCTGGTACCAGGGATGTGCGCACGATTTGATATTCTGCAGTCTTTGGGTTCGCAAGTCTCACTGCGCGGCCGTCGTCCTTCTGGTTTAGCCATGCGTAGTTCTCATCGTGACTGCATAGAATGAGAGGCATGACTTCACTCCATCCTGCCATGGCTGACTCCAGACGCACGATGTCGGCGAGCTTGTTGACCGGCAGAGCAGCTGCGACCGAAGATGAGGAGGCTGGGAAAGATTTGGGCAGGTTGTTGAAGCCATATGCAATGGCGGCATCCTCCATGATATCTGCCTGGTGGAGTACATCTGCGCGCGTGATCGGAATGTCGACATCCAACAGATCTTTGTCTTCTGCAGATGGGCGAGCGTCGTAGGCCATTTTCTTCAGGAGGTCACTCAGAGACTCTCGCGATTCATTGAGACCGCAGACCGAGTTGATGAAAGAGGCTGATGCCTGGGCCTTTCGAGGTTGCAAGCTCGGCGTTTGTCGCGTTCGGCCATTGTGTTCTGATACGATCTGGACAGGTTCAATCGTGAAGGGCTCGCTGCAGTATTCCGAGAACATGGCACATAGAACGTGATTGACAAGTTCGAGCTTGGTCTCGTCAGTGGCAGTGATGTCGATGAATACGTTCTTGGTATCGAGCGTAATCTTCGAGTGGTTGCTGTTGATGATAGGTGGCATGGAAAGGACTGTTCGGTTCTTGTCGTAGATAATGGGGTACACTGGAGAGTCACGGATGATGTGCAAGTACCGCGACAAGTGCTTGTCCTTTTCGAAGAAGTCCATTTGTTCCCTACCCGTCATGACCTTCGTCTGATTGAGGGGCGCGAACTTGATCTCGTCTGGAGGAAGGGCTTCGTAAGAGAATGGGCCTTCAATAGTATCGAGGTCATGGGTGCCGATTGACACAAGAGTCCGCTGACGCGCGAGGTTCTGATGTAACTTGTCCTGTAAAGCGATGAAAGAGTCGTAGCGCGCCTTGTCGAACTTGATGCCGCGAAGGATGGCACACGAGAAGAAAGGGCGTATTTGCTCGGTCTCCTTCGCGATGTTCACGGTGAGGAGCTTTCCATCCTTTGGCGGAGCAAGTGTGAATTTGGGCATTGGCTGCCGGCCCAAGAAGACATTCAGGGCCAGGGCAATGCCCTCGAAGCAGAGCATGTCATAGCGGTTTGCAGGAATCTCGATTTTCAACTGCGGGCGCTCCTCGACGCCATCTACTATGGGTCGTTTGCTCTCCGAGGTGTCCTCATCGAGCTCGATGCCGAAATCGAAGCACAGTTGGTCGAATTCCTCTTTGGTGTATGTTTTGGGATCTTTGCCAATGGCTCGGTAGAAGTCCTCCTTGTCGACTCCGATGGTAGGCATTGTGCTGCTTCTCAAGGGCCGTCTGGCCGGATTGCGATGAGCTGCAGCAGGCGAGTGGATGTGAGTGGGATCAGGCTCGCAGTGCGGTAGTGAGGTGACTCTTTGGCATTAAATTTGGAGCGCCACATTTCGATTCAGCCACATCACAGCAGCTTTGCGATGAAACGGGCTACATCATTCGAACAACACTGCGCGCCATTTCCACCCCTCCCACCACCACCGCCGACCACCACACGCGACCGACCGCCCTCGCATAGCATTTGGTACGTACGTGTCTGTCCGCCCTCGCCGGCCCTCCAGTCGCCCTTTCTCCCGCGCGGCTGGCCGTGTTCCTGCATGGACGTGTTCGCCAAAACCTTGTCTTCACCTACGCCCTCCCCTCCGCCGCATTGCCCTGCTCTGCTCGCGACCACTACGTTGCAGGAGCTCCACCGACGCAGCGACGGTGAGCTGACGGACCACAGCGCGAAGCTCTGTTGAGATCGCCGCCTCATATCCACCGATCCAGCCCCGCCTCGATTCGACCTTGCGCGCCTACAACAACAATCCGTAGCCCGCTGCTGCATGTAAAGGCCACACGCCCGGCCATCCGTTCCTTACCACCCCACGATCCTGCAGACTTAGAGACCGATTATGGAGGAGCAGAGCGCGCAGGATGAGCTGTACCCGATCGCCGTGCTCATTGATGAGCTCAAGGTATGAGACAAGGACATCTACCCGACCCTCGCACATAGGGCATCTGTGCTGATCAAGGCTGAGAACAGCACGACGATGTCTTGTTGCGCTTGAACGCCATTCGGAGGCTGTCCACCATCGCACTGGCTCTGGGCCCGGAGCGTACAAGGGACGAGTTGATCCCATTCCTGGATGGTACGCCCAACTACTCCCCCACGAGCCTACACCGTGCATACAAGGGTACTAACGATGGCACCAGAGTCTGTGGAAGATGAAGACGAGGTCTTGACTGCCCTGGGAGACGAGCTGGGCAATTTCGTTGAGTATGTTGGAGGGCCAGAGCATGGGCACGTGCTCCTTTCACCGCTCGAGAATTTGGCCACGATCGAGGAGCCACTCGTGCGAGACAAGGTGAGAAATTGCAAGCAGGCATGTACGAGACGTGAAGCTGATTTGCCAATGCAGGCCGTCGAATCACTTAACAAGATCTGCGAGCACTTGTCCCAGCAACAAGTTGAGCAGTACTTCATACCCCTTACCATCCGCCTCTCGAAAGCCGACTGGTTCACGTCAAAGATTTCAGCGACGGGTCTTTACAACACTCCTTACCAACATGCTACACCTGCGTCGCAAGAAGGCCTCCGGCAGCAGTTCTCTCAGCTCGTGCACGACGACACCCCCATGGTCCGAAGACAGGCGGCGAACAACCTCGCCAAGTTCGTCAAGAGCATGCCGGCAGCCGTTGTGATTGAGGACATGATTCCTCTCTTCCAGCATTTGGCAGGAGACGACCAAGATAGCGTGCGACTGCTCACCGTGGACGTACTCATTGCGATTGCGGAGGCCGTGCCTAAGGAGCAGCAGAGCAGTCATGGAGTCCTTCTCACCGCATTGCGCAGTTTGTTTGAAGACAAGAGTTGGAGAGTGCGCTACATGGTCGCCGACCGGTTCGAGAAGGTAGCGAAGGCAGTCGATGATGAGGTGATCGCCAGAGATCTCGTCCCAGCATTCGTCAGACTGCTCAAAGACAACGAGGCTGAAGTGAGGAGTGCAATAGCCGGTCAAATACCAGGTAAGTGTGTGTACGCGCTGCTTCGTGGACGAAAGACTGATGTACATCTGTAGGTTTCTGTCAGCTCGTGGATCGCCAGGCACTCTTGCGGGACATCATGCCGGCCATCGAGGATCTGGTCTCCGACTCTTCACAACACGTTCGCGCAGCATTCGGCAACCAGATTAGTGGCCTGGCGCCGATCCTGGGCAAGCAAGAGACTACAGAGCACCTCCTACCGATGCTTCTGCAGATGCTGAAGGATGACTTCCCGGATGTCCGACTCAACATCATCTCAAAATTGGAGCAGGTCAACAATGTTATTGGCATTGAGCTCCTGTCGCAATCCCTGCTGCCAGCCATCGTACAATTGGCTGAGGACAAGCAGTGGCGGGTGCGACTGGCTATCATCCAATACGTGCCCCTTCTGGCCTCTCAATTGGGCGTCAAGTTCTTTGATGAGAAGCTGAGCAGTTTGTGCATGTCCTGGCTGGGAGACACCGTTTTCAGCATTCGAGAAGCCAGCACGCAAAACCTCAAGAAACTGACTGAAGTCTTTGGCGTCGAATGGGCCAGCGAGGCTATCGTGCCCAAGGTCGCCGCGATGGCGGAGCATCCTAACTACCTCTATCGCATGACGACTTGCTTTGCTGTCTCTGTAAGTTGAGAATATCTCTTTGCAGCCGCTGTACTTGGACTAACCCTGCACTCAGATCTTGGCACCCGCGCTATCTCTCCCGGTCGTGGCCGAGTCAGTATTGCCTATTCTGCAAGCTCTCGTCAACGATCCGATCCCCAACATCCGATTCAACGTCGCCAAATCATATGCCGTCCTCATTGATGTTCTCAAACGTCTGCCTGACTCTCCAACTGCCACCATTGTCGAGTTAGAGAAGCAAGGGGAGACAACCTTCCCCGGCTCTCAGCGAGGACAGCAGCTGATCAGAGACGAGGTCATGCCACCTCTCGAGAAGCTGATGCAGGATGATGATGTTGATGTGCGGTATTTCGCGACGACGGCAAGCAAGGCGTGGACGGACACGGAAAATGCTATGGAAACCTAAAGTGCGGATTTTTGGCGCTTTACGATGGAATAGATTTTGACGAATGGAAAGATGGGACAGCTCACAGCACTCTCCAAGGCAGAAATCTAGGGGCAGGCCGCTTCGCGACTCTGCTGTGCTAATGACCTTTCGATCGAGGGCAATGTTGTGGGATCAGCTAGATTTATAGGTTGTCTGGCTGTGTTGCATGACTTGATTGCATGCAAGGCATCGCTTGGGTCTGGGTTGATAAAAATGATACCGAGCGAACTTCACCACAGGTTTCCATCCCGCTGTCCACGTCAAGCGTGTCTGGGTTGGCTATAGCTCTACCCGGTCATGTTATGCAGGCTGAAGTGAATATCCTCAATTCAATCCCTTCGCCCCAATCCGCGTTAGACACCCTTCTAATAATCGCCACAATTGTTCCTTTTCGAGCGATCGAGGAATCCTGACACCTGCGGTGCCCTTCGGCAACAATGTAGCAATCGTCCGCCCGCATTGAGACTCGCTCGACCGTATCTCAACGGACGATCCATGCAGACCTTCTGTAATGACTTCGATTGCGTATCGCTCGCCATCATTGTCATGGAATAAGTCATTGAAAATAATGGCCGCAACGGCCAACGGGTCATGTGCTGGAGGTCCTTGCGTCAACCCGAATACCTCTGCGTATGTTTTGGCAAAGAATGTTAGAATCTCGTAAAACAGTTTTCGAGGTAACGAGACTTGGTTGCCGGCTGCAGCTTGTGTCTTATTGAAGCCGTGCAGCATACCCTGCTGCACATCCTCCGTGGCGAGGAACTGATGTGTGAGATCGAGAGGGATTAATGTAGTCTTCTTCGACAGGATCTCGTTGGAGAAGATGGAGCTAGCCGACTCCTGAGAAATGGACGATTTAGCAACAAGATCGAGAGTGCTATTACTAGCGGAAGGGACGAGGATTACACACCGGATCAATATAGATGTTAAACTCTGCAAAAGGTGTCCAATTCCCAGGTCTATCTTCCTTACCATGCACTATACCCATTGGTGCATCGCTGAAGCCACCACCAATCGCCCCACCCATGATGGATAGACCAGCGATATGTTCTGCGAGATCAGGATATACAGCAAAAAGTAAAGCGATGTTCGTGCAAGCACCCGTTGCGACAACGTATGCGGTTCCGGCAGGCTGAGCGATTAGAGCTTGATACATGGCATCCACTGCTGTCAGATCTGTCCTCGCAGGCACTGTCGGCACAGGTAGACATGTCGTTCCATCGAGTCCGGATTCTCCGTGGATGTCGGCTGCAGCAGCAGGAGTGCGGCAGAATGGCTTCGAGGCACCGATGTAAACGGGAACATCCTCGCGGCCAATAGCCTTCAAGATAGCCCGGGTGTTGTATGTGGTGTTATTGAGAGAGGCATTCCCATGGATTGTGCTGATGCCCAGGAGGTTTATGGAAGGATGCTGTGCGGACAACAGAATGGCCAAAGCATCATCGTGCCCTGTGTCGCAGTCTAACCAAAGTGGTACAATATCTTCCTTTGATGGTGCAGTCATGTTGGTATTTCACAATGTCAATACGGAGCTGTGTGGGTGGCCGGTACATATATTATGCAAGCATGCATTTGGTACTTTTCATCAATAAGAAAGTGTCAATCCACGGAGGAAAAAGTTGCGGAGACGGCCAAGCCGGTCTTGCTTACGTGTTCGGGTTAAGCTAGAGTCAGCTAGAGCTGCCAGAATGGCTGCATTCGTGCGTGCAACGTTTTACGTCAGTCACCAGGAAGTCAAGCCATGAGAGCACGAATCTAGGGGTGAACAGCAAATTTCGAATTGATTCGACGTGCTGTCTAGACAAGTACATAGAGAGCACATAGCTGTGACAAATTAGCAAAGTCTTGTTTCGAAGGTTCTTCAGTAGATGGATACTGACCAAGCTCAGACCCAGGATCATGCTAATCCAAAACATGATATTGTTGAGGAGTTCGCGTTTTTTCACCCAGGGTATCTGCTGGGCCGCCGTAAGTGGAATTTGCAGCATCATGAGGAAGAAAGAGTAACCCCGAGCTTTCCTCGTGATAGACCCCATAACTGTGAGAGCCCACTGGTCAGAACGAGCTCAAAAATAGTGGAAGTGCCCACACTTACTCAGCTCATGTGCAAGGGCACTGATCAGGAACGTTATAACTGTTGCCACGGGCCTCGACAGGTTCACACCACGACTCGCAAGATACACGTGGCGGTGGAAGAAATGGTGTACGGGTTTGTTCCACTCCCTGCTGAATTCTAACCAGCTGGTTGAATTCCACCTTTGTAATCGTCAGTGACCACGACCAAATTTCATGTGATGCGATTGCTTACCAGTCGGAGTAAAACTGCCTGTCGCCGAAACGCGTGAGTTCCGCGAAAGCACCCAGCACGTACTCGAAAATGACGAGGAAAACCTTTGAGAAAATCAGTAACCACGACCAAAGTTCATGCGATGCGTTATCTACCAGTAAAAAGATGATCATGAACGGGAACAGCAGACTGCTAACGGTCTCTGCAAAGATCAACGAGCTGTCGATCCAATTTTGTGTTACTTGTAAACGAATGGCCGACTCATGCAGCACTGGCAGAATGAATTCCTCGGTAGTGACGGTGATGAGGAAAATGCACCCGAAAACCGCCAGGGTCTTATAGAAGAGTTCCATGTACGATCGAGACGGAGTTCGTGGGTATCTAGAGGACAGACAGAAGGTAAGCATGTGTCCTGGACAAAGTTCTTCGATCTCATAATGACATGGTGAAGCGACCCGTCCGATAGCCTCATTCTGCTACCACCGACAACAAGAAAGAATTCAGCAGTGGAACTTACTCCAATTCATAGCAGAGAGTTGGACACATAAGGTAAAATGCAAAATTCCGAAGGGTGAGGTTTTGCGGGTACGAAACGTTCCCCAGAGGCGATGTGAGTTCAGTTGCGAGGTCTTCTCGGAGCTGCATGATGGAGGAATTGTGCTCGTGCTTTGCGTTTCCATCATCCTGTTCGCTGGGCGCCGATCCAGTGTAAGCGTGAGGGTACCGGACGGCAGCTGCTGTGGGTGTTTGCGGGCTGATGGGCTGGTCCAATTCTTGCAGGCGCTGCAACGTAGTAGCCAAATGTCCATTGTAGAAAGCATAGGAATGGCCCTTCATGAACAATGCCAGCGTGTGCAGAAGGAAGTACACTTGTGCTGTCCATGACCAGTCTCGAAGGAATGGCCAGCCCACCCAGAAACACAACCATATCACCTGAAGCACGCTCTGAATCACGATGCCTCCTCGATTCCACCTTAATAGGCCATGGCTTCTCATGAATAGCAGGTTGAGTGGGAGGGCCAGTGCTGTGCTGGCCGCCATGAAGGCATCACTCAAGGCTAATTCAAACAGGTCCTTCGTAAACAAGGGCCATTGTTTGAAGTTGAGTAGCCTTCCCGTCTCCTTCAGATTCCGAAGCATAGAGGTCAAGATCATGATAGCCAGTCCGATCCAAAAAAGTACGAAGAAGCCCCTGAAGTTGCTATAGCTCGACTTGGGGTCGAAGTGTGACACGCGCTCTTCGTATTCGATGGAAGGGAACAGGCGCTGCTGCCTCGTCTTGCGGCGAACATGTTTGCGGGCTGCAGAAGTGGCTTTCACAGACGGTGGAGCATCGTCTGGCGGAGCTGGTGTCCCTGGTCCGCTGATGTTTCCCGAGCCTGGCGTCAATCGATCAGAGGCGACCTCGTCGCTGAAGTCGCGGGCGAAGCGTGGGTCGAGTGTCTTGCGGGCTCGAGGCTGGTGTAGCTGCGTGTCGCGGTAGCCATTTGCCTGTCCGTTCGCTTCATCGGTGGACATGACGGCGGGTCGGAAGGAGATCAGTGGTTTTGAGAATTTGTGGTCGCACAGCGCAGAGAAAGAGGCGCGGTAGGCGACGTAAAAGCAGCAATTCAAGGCATGATGCTGAGCAGTCAAGTTTTGCTCGTGATGGAGCCCAGATCAGCTGCCAGGCGCTGCACCGCGAGACGTCGTTTCTACGCCAAACAAAAACACGCGAGGCAAGAGCGAATGACGTGTGGCCGAACTGCACATCGGAGGTGCACTCCCGCCAAGCCCCGCTAGTCGGCACTCAGTCATGCCGATCCGGCGCACTTTGGAGTATTTGCTATCGTTGTTGCAGCACAAAGTTGACGGACAGCCCTCTGCATCGCCCATCGACCATCGCAGCTCGCCCAACATGTCTCAGCAAGCCTTGAACAAGGTCAGTCGCGCCACGATAACGCATATGTTCTCCGCCGCCTGCTGACATGCGCTTTCACACAGATCGCGCCCAACAGCCCATCGAGGCAAAAGCCCAATGAGACCGAGCAGCAGATCGCTACGGCGCTGTACGAGCTCGAGAGCAACATCCCCGACATGAAGGCTGCTCTTCGCCCTCTGCAGTTTGTCTCTGCCCGCGAGGTAAGCTGAGCAAAGGACGAAAAGAGCACGAAACAACGCGTGCAAAAGAGATGGATATGCAATGGACATGGAAGAGGAAGACATATATCCTCGATCCAACAACGAAGAGGCGGTGGGCACTGGGCAGCTTTCGCGCTGACACCAGGATTCTTACAGATCGAGGTTGGCCACGGACGCAAGGCCATCGTTATCTTCGTCCCAGTCCCTCTCCTCCAGGGATGGCACCGCTCCCAGCAGCGGTAAGTCCACTTCACTTGACTACATGTTGCAGTATCTGACATATCACAGCCTCACCCGTGAGCTCGAGAAGAAATTCTCCGACCGCCACGTCCTCATCGTTGCCTCGCGCCGCATCTTGCCTCGCCCAAAGCGCAGCAACCGCAGCCGCACCAGCCAGACCCAGAAGCGCCCACGTTCGCGTACTCTGACTGCTGTGCACGACGCCATCCTTGCCGACCTTGTCTACCCTGTCGAGATTGTCGGAAAGCGTCTGCGCACCAAGGAGGACGGCTCCAAGGTCCTCAAGGTCATCCTCGACGAGAAGGAGCGTGGTGGTGTTGACTACCGTCTCGACACCTACTCTGAGGTCTACAAGCGTCTGACCGGCAAGGGTGTCAACTTCGAGTTCCCACAGGCCCCAGCTGAGTACTAGACGTTTCACGGTTCACGCATAGTCACTTGCCTATAGACGGTCAGCCACGGAGAAACCGAGGGCTTACAAAAAGCATGGAGCTGAAGGGGCTCTGCAACGGCGCTGGATGGGCATGTAGCTATTCAGAGGCGTTCTGCAGTTTGCACAGTACAGGCCTCGATCAAAATTTGACTTGCTGTCACCAATGATACCCAAGACGATTTCACATTACCAATTTGTGTTCTTCTCACTTTTATTGTGCTGTGGTATCTCTGTACACACATGCCGGCGGCTGCCCCCGCCATACATACGACAACGATGTATCTCAATCACCATCTGGCTCTATCTGCATTGCCTTTTATGCCGTTCCCTCCGTCCGCTCGGGTATCTATCAGAAAAGGACGTCGTAAATCCAGCCGTTCACCACCTTGAGCGCATGATCGGATCAATCTATCATGTTGTGTCCCTCGAAACGACCGTCGCCATGCAAATATCAAATAATGTCAATAATAGAGGATCAACCCTCGTTCTGCTTTTCCGGGCCACATTTTCGTCATGCCGTCCATCATGCCGCCTGTGGGGTAGCGATTGCTGGTGACTTCGCCCTCTCAACCTCGTCGTCCGAGTCGTCCACAACCAGACACCATGGGTGATCTAGAACAGCTTGTATTCCAATTCGTCGCTCCACGTCCCGGTCCAGCATTTTGCGAATGAGATCAATGCAGTCTTCACTCATCACGTACGGCACTCGCAGGTCATGATCCATGATCTCGTCGATGCTATAGAATGGGTTCTCCTTGTACACGATGGTATACAGGAGAATCCCCAACGCCCAGACATCCTGCTCTTTGCCTCTGTACGGCAGACCACGTAGGACTTCAGGAGCCGCGTAATCTGAAGTTAAGTCAGTGGTATGCAATGCGATCGAACTTGCAGGGGTATCACTTACCTATCGTGCCAACAAAGACATCAAATGGACCTGATTTGATGTAAGCGGCACTGCCAAAGTCCACGAGTTTAACGCTGCCCTCGCCGTCCAAGATGACGTTCTCATCCTTGATGTCCCGGTGCACCACCTTGGCGTTGATATGTAAATGGCGCAGGGCCTCGGCGACTTGCTTGAAGATTTTCCGGCATTCTCTCTCTTCCATCGTTACCCGCAATTCAATGTAGTCAAAAAGATCCATTCCTGGCAGCCCGTGAGGTACCATCTCGATATAGTAATTGATGTCGTCCTCGAAGAAGTCGGCCATCTCAACAATGTTCGGATGCTGCATCCCTTCCTTTCGCAGATAGTCCAGTACATGGATTTCCAATGGCACCGTCCCAAGTCTCCGATCTCTGTGCCATGTGTCGACGAGAATGCGTCGCTTGGTAACATATTTGATGACCATCTTTTTCGCTGCAGGCTTCTTGTAACGTGCGAGCTTGACCTGCCCATATGCACCCTGGCCCATCTCCTCAAGTATGGTGAAATCGTCGATGCGTTTCTTTGATATGAGTTTCACGCCCGCTTCGATAAGGTCAGGCGAGGGATGTTCATACGGCTCGGAAGCATCGGTCCCGTTTAAAGTGGCGCTTTTGTTGTCGTCAACTGCTACAGCAGCTGAAGTTTCCACTTTCTGACTCGTGTCCTGCCCAGCCGCTGGACTGGAAGCCACTTCATCCTCAAGTTGTCCCAGGCCTGGCGCTGGCTGGCGTGGTGGAGTGCCGGGCCGACTCAAAACCGCCGTAACAGGACCTGTACCGTGATTCACAGCATGGAGCTGTCGACTGTAAGTAATCCAGAGGGCATACACAACCTCGCTACCATGGAATGATGGAGTGCTTTCGTCTTCCACGACTGTTTCATTGTAAATGGGGTCCCGGTCTGACTTCACGACCCGCATCTGCACATCAATCATGATCTCAGCACCGTCTCTGTGTTTTGCGGGCAGGCCACTTGGGCGTAGGAAAATTGCGGCGGCATCCGCTGAGCCTTCTCTCAGGGCGAGCAAAGCGCGGGCTCTCCTAAAACTATGTTCTGGTATCACAATCCCGTCGACCAAAGCAATTTGATCCTCGTCAGTCATTACACGAAGGGTCTTGTCGAAGCCAGGAATAAGTTCATTGATCGGTAGCCCATCTGGGCTGGCGTGACCAAAGAGCGCCGCAGAGAAGACGGTGTTCGAGCTGCTCACTCGCATCGTCTGCGGGTTGACCACAATTATTCCCGCAATGTGAGGGAAACTAGAAATGCGGAACACATTCTCGCTCGGCTGTTGATCGATAGTCACAGGAATATTGATCGAGTTGCTCGTTCGGGCCGTGAACCTCCGTACTCGCGCAATGGCGTCGTAGTCGATGGCGCCGGTATTTGTGCCAGCCACCTTCGGCCAAGCCGGTATGAGGCGTGTCACGTCCATTCCGTTTCGCACTCGGTCTAGCCCAAAGATGGCCTCCAAATCGCCGCTTCCACGGAGGACAAGTCCGATTTCGTCCACAGTGAGCATGGCCACGTCTTCTGCTATTTCCTCCAGAACCCAAATGAGGTTATTGCCTTTCTCCTTGACCCATAGTGAGGCACTGCCTGTGGAGCCATTCATTTTCTGGATGGGAACAACATCGCCGCAGAGTAAAACGCCCCTGCTTTTGTTGGCAGGATGATAATTGCCTTTGGTGGGTGCTGATGTCCCGTTGGACGTCTTGGCCCGTCGAGGCTGCTGCCTGGAAGGAGGCTTTGATAGAAGTTTGGCTGTAATGCCATTACCCATTGCCGCAAGACTGTTACTTGGAGTGGCCTTACCAGGTGAAGGGACTTGAAGCTTTGCTTGCTTCGGGACTGTTCCCGAATCTGGATTCTTCAACTTTTCTTCCAGCCAGCCTCGACGATCCTCTTTTATGACCTCCATGATACCCAATTTTCTGACTTCTGCTCTCCCAACGCCAAATACCAAACACGCCAGGTCATTTGCTGCAGTTATTGTCCATGGCGCTTTAGCTTCGGTGGTGAATATAGCCTGCGCCGGAGCGTTTCTGTGCCCATGAGGGGCACGTTCTGTGACTGTCGTGCTAGATCGTATCGGTGTTTGTGTGACAATAGGCGCACGTGCTTCTGGAGCACGATATGGTCGTGCCATGGCCTCGCTCAGTTTGTGTTGCAGTGAGTAGCCGGCGGTATCTGTATACGTACGTTTCAGAGACGGTTTGTGTGGACGTCGCGAGGGCAGACTGGGCATGAAGTCCTCGTCGTCTGCTGTGGAAGTCCGCAGCAGATTGAGTTGCTCGGGGCTTTCTTCACTTTCTTTTACGGGGACCAGTTCATGGTGCGGAACTGTCACGGCTGAATCGTCCCGTACTGCCACCGGGCTGCTAGTCATGCTCGTGGGACTTTCTGTTTCATTTTCGGGAGCGAAGAAGCTCTTCTCAAACACATTCTCATTGACCAGATGCGCGGGGCCGGTGAGTGGCCCAGTATCGATGCCAAGATTTGAGGCATTGAGCGATGTCGAAGTGATGGCATTCGCTCTCTGCAATAGCTCCATCATGCTGAGAAGCTCCTCGTCGCCTGCTAATCGAGCTTGTGCACTCGCTATCCGAGGTGACGTTGAAGCCCACGCAAGCTTCTCGCGCATGAAATCAATGCTGCGTTTTAGCACATTCTGTCGATTGTGTAATGATTCAGTGCTCTGGTGAGCAAAGGAGAAGGAATGGAGTGACTCCGAGGGAAATCGGGTAAGGTCTTCGCCGAAAGCTATGGTCGGTGATGTTGGTCCAAACTTGTCTGCAGCGAAGGACGACTTTCGGGAGGCAGCAGGACTTGGTAGGACTGGCGAGTGCGGAGCCAAGTTGGGCGACGAAGGAACTCTACTGATCGATTGAGGGTTCTGCCGTATCCTCCTCAAGCCCGTGTCGCGCTCCGAACCGAGTATGGGTGACCTGTGACATGCACAACGTCAGCCAAAATCCTCATGTGTGACATGGCTTGCTCGACCGGTGGGCCAGCTCGTTCGTCGACCGCAATCTGAACACCTTGCTCGCTACTTTGCATGCTGCCACCGCGATTCTCTGATCTTATGGACACCTCCAAGTGGGAGAACGCACCTCGTGTCGTAGGCATCCGCAACAGTGCCCTCGATTGATAGCCTCTTCAGGGCCTCGGAATTGTCGACGTGCAGGCTGGCGGTGGAACTGCTCTTGGAAACGGTGGCCCGGTTCTTGGGGACGTGGAGGGCGGTGGGTCGCTGCGTGTTGGGCGGCTGTTCGAGGATGGCAGGTTGATCGCTGTTGGTTGTTGCTACAAGCATTGCCCATCGGTCAGCATGTACGTTTGTGTGGCATGTGCGCGCGCGTATGCGTGCGCAGGAAGCCGGTGGCTGCCTTCCTGGACGAGTCACAGCATCAGGCGGAGGGGAGGGGTGCGGAAGGCCGGTGTAGGGGGAGGGTTACCGAAGCCATTGTCGTCGTTGATCGAGCCCTGCTCCTGCGGCGACATTGCGCTCCTCGCTGCCCCGAGGCTGGCCTCAGCACGCACGAGTGAGCGTCGCAGCTGTGCTGGGATCGACCCCGTGGGAGCGCGGAAAGGCACACGACGTGTCGCAGCTGGGCGTTGCTCACGAGCCTAATTGACAGCGAGCCCGTGGCCGGCGGGGTGGGACGAGGCAAAGATGGCGGTGGGGCGGCGGGGTTGCGGTGTGGCGGTGGAATCGATGCTCACGGGGCCATCGTGTACAATGTCGACGGCACTACTATGGCGCTTCTCGACGTGAGTCGACGGAGGCCGTTGCTGCGGGTTCGAGAGCAGCAGATGGAAGTCTGGACGACTTCTCCACAGGAGCGTCACAGGCTTCTGGGTAGCTCTCCGCGCCAACCCTCGTCCGCCGGTTCTCCTACGACTGGAAATCCGTACGTGCGATGGCCGTGCTCACCGCGCAGCCGCCGCGATGATGGATGGCCTTTGAATTGGGGGCACGTTGCTGCTGCTGCGCATTGTCCTCTCCCGCGCGCTGCGGAAATCTCGCTGCGGCATCGAGATCGCTCTACACACGATCTTGCAGCAGCGGGTCAGACAAAGCACGCGCACCAACGAGCCGATTGGCTACAGCCCAACGACACTGACTGACACGACGTTCTACAGACCTCACGCGGTCCCGACACGCTGGGTAGACGTTACCAGCTTTTCCATGCGTTCAGTGTTCGTTCTCATCATGCGTTATATACCAGCTATCAGTGACTGTTCTGCTTCTGCTACAATCCAGCGAGAACCGACACTTCGGTCTTGCCGTTCGGGACTCGTGGTCTTCGCTCTATGACCTGGCCATCGACAAATGTACGTGGCTGCGGCCTGGAGTCCATCGATGCACTGAGCTTTGTCACGAAGTTGCCGTTCCCCTTGCGAGCCACGCTGCGCTGCGCCACCGGCATGAAATCAAACCGTACCTCAATTGGCACGCCCTTGACGCTGGGGTGCAGATTCTTCCATACTTCGTCCAGGCGCACGTAGCGCAGCACAGCCTCTCCGTCGCGAAGTCGCCCTTTCATCTGCGCCACGGCTTTGACCCTGTCTGCTGCCCTCTGCATATCTTCTTCAAACGATAATCGATCGTGCAATTCGTTGTTCATGGCCATCTGATCGGGAAGATGTTGTGGCAAGCTTGCTAGCACGGCGCCAACCCGATCGTAGTCGCTGACGAGAACGTCCTTGGTGTCCCACAGCTCTGCCAAGCTGCCATCAAACCCGGGAGCGCCATTGGCAAGCATCAGCTCCAGCCCATGTCTGCCCACTAGCGGTGCAGCTTGCACGTTCGTCACCCAGTATGGAGCATCATCGCCGGCCGGGAGCGTTGCATAAGGATCTTGGTGCTCGTGCTTGAGTACTTGGAGTGGTGTGAAGTACTGAACTAGGTAATCCAGAGCAGTGTCGCTTCCGTAGTCAAAGGTCGACGACGGATGCAGCACGTGGGAGATGGCAATCGGTAAGGAGAGCGCAACGCGCTCATGATGGCGGATCTTCGCAGCGATCATGGCTTCTTGGAGACGTGCTTGCTCCTCCTCTGCGATGCGTCGTTCTTCTGCCTCCCGTGCGGCTTGTTCCTGACGTGCCTGCTCTGCACGTCGCTCCTCTTCGAGTTGTCTCTCTTTCTCTGCAGCCTGTCGAGCCGCCACTTCCGCCTCCGCCGCGGCCGCCGCTTCCACTTCTGCTTGCGCAGCACGTTCCTGTTCACGTTGGGTCTCAAGTAGCTGGGCCTCGAGAGAAGCATTCTCCATCGGTGCATCAGCTTCCTTGTCCTCTGACTTTTCGGGTAAGGTGGGCAAAGACGGCTCAGCGGGCCCACGAGCAGATGATGAACGTCTGCGAAGGCGCGGAGATGAGGCTGCAGGTTGCGTTGAGATGCTCTTGCGTCTGACTTGTCCTGTCGTCCGACTAGCAGGGCTCTCCGGTGGCTTCATCGTCGCTTCTTCGCTATTCTCTTCTCCCGTGGCGACATCGGAACCAGAGTCCTCGGACGATTCGTCAGAGGGAGCTCTGCCGCTGGCCACGCGCATATCACGCTTCGACATGAGCCTCCTTCCATTTTTTCGTCGTGGCGCCTGTTCGTCGTCGCTGTCCTCTTCCTCTTCGTCATTGAGAGGGCTCCGCCGCACAATACGACGCTTGCCTCCATCTCTTTTGGTGACCGGGCTGGAACTACGGCGTTCTTTCGACCCAGCCCGCTGATCGTACAAATGCTGCAACAATTCCTTCTCCTCACGCCAGTTGGGCCCGTGTCGTTCTTCAGCAATCTCAGGCCAGGTCTGACCTGAACGGTTACGGTATAACGGATTGAAGTTGTCCAACTCAGCGAGCGACTTCACCATCTCCAAATGGGATGTTCCGAGAACACTTAGCATCGGTCGTTCCGGTCGCTGTAAAGCCTTCTTCTCTGTCATTTCCGCGAGTAACATGTTCACCAGGTATGAGTCCCCAGTTTTGGCAGCGGCAGCAATTACATGATTGTCGACGGGCACACGAGCGTCCAAGAATTCCTTGACACCATTGCGATCATTAATCTGCACGAGTTTCAGGAGATTCTCGTAGCTGCGGGCCATGAAGTGCAGCTCCTTTGTAGGCCCAGCTCGGTGCCGCATCTCCTCTTCCTCTTCACGTCGTTGACGTGAGCCGCTAGTGTTCCAGGCCTCTATCGCCCTTCTAAGGGCTGCACGTATTTCCTCGGCATCGTCAGTATCATCAGTGACGACGTCGAGTGCCTGCTGTCCCTTGAGATTTTGCCTGAGAGGATCAACGCCAGCCCGGAGCAAACTATGCACAACGTCCAGGTGACCGTTCTCTGCGGCATCGATCAGAGGAGTATCCTTGTCCACGTTGGCGCAATCAATTTGGCATCCTTGATCAATCAGATAATCCACTACTTCCACATTCCCGTTGAGTGCCGCAATCTGAAGGGGCTTATTTCCAGCAAATTCGGCAAGCTCCAACTGGTCGGGATCTCGATTTCGCCATTCTTTCACTTGGTCCAGTTCACCGGCCTCGCATGCCTCCGCGAGTCGCGTGAAGCCATACTTGTTGACGTGTCGCTTGTGTTCTCGCCCGGCTGGTCTACCGGGAGTCGATGTCGACCGTCCCACGCCTCTCTGAGGTCGCCGATTCTCCGCGTATCCATGAGAAGTCGTTTCTGAGGATGCATCCGACTCTTCCCACGCCGGCCGCGCCGCTTTCACTTCCTTGATCGGGCCATGAGTCCCCGATCTGCGCTTTCGATTGGAGACCTCCGCGGCGCCATCTCCTAGCGCAGATTGCGTAGACACCGCCCGGCGATGACTGCGCAACTTCGGCGACAAGGAGAGTTCCGTCCTGCCGATGGCCTCTTCGGAGTGGAGACCACGAAGTCTGCGCTTCGGCGGCTCGATACTTGGGCGTTTATTGGGCAAGCTTACTGAAGATGCTCGATGCTTGCGCTTTCGGGGGTTGGGCGAATGCGCACCATTTCGTGAAGCTCCGGGCAGCTCCGAGAAAGCACGAGATCGCGATGATCCGCGCGATGGAGGATTGGCCGACGATCGTGGGGAGCTGAGAGAGTCGCTAGGGTCGTCCGCGCCAGCGTCTATATCCATGAGCTTCTCGTCCTTCACATCTTTCGAGGCTGTTTCCTTTTCCACGCTCGCGACAGTACTGGGCACTGGCGACGGCTGGGCGGAATCATCCTCGTCGCCGTCAGTCGGGACAGGGAGACCACCGATGCGATGCTTAGCCTTTGGCCGACGTTCAGCCTTCACGAGCATCCGCTTCTCAGCCTCTCTCCGCTTCACAGGACTATCAATCAATGTCTCGGCCTCAGAATCGCCATCCTCGTGGTTGCCGTTGGGCGCGACGGGCTCTGCACCCGCGTCATCGCCTTTTGTGCTCCCTACGCGCTGTTCGTTGCCTGTGTGCGAGCCTCCTGGTGATGATTTCGATACCGTGTCACTTGTTGCATTCGTCCGGCCCGAATTGTGGTTCCCGTTGGCGTCAATGCTGTCGCCTTTGGCAGCCAGTCCAGTCTCCAGAGGTGCCGGATCTGGCGACTTGCTACCATTCATGCCGTTCCTTGCAGAAGACGCCTCGCATTACACCGTCGTGGGCGGTGATGGATTTCGGGCGCGTGCAGACGCGGTCAAGCACAGTGACAAGTGCAGGTCTGCTGCAAGTGGCCGGTGTCCAACTAGAAAGTTGCGCGCGATCGCGATAGTGGGTAAGTCGCGCGACGGAGGTGATGTGGGCATGCGGTGTGGTCTCTGTTTGGATGGGAGAGGACGTGACGAGGTGGAGAGGTCAGAGGTCCTCAAGGCTGCCAAGAGACTAGACGGCGCGGATCAGCATGATTGGATCGCTACCACGGCCCCAAAAGCGCTGTTCGTTGACATGTCTCACGTTTCTCGTCCTATGCAACTGCAAATGTACCAGACGCCAGCATCATATATCAGTTTCCAAAAGCCCTCCGCAACTAAAGTCCCCAATCCCACGTATGACGCTGTCTCCAAGACTCAAAGCTGGGCAGTCTGCCTCTGCGATATCCAGATAACACCTTCATGGCTGCAAGCACCACAGCTGCTCGCAAATGATTTGGGCTAGGAATGTCTTCACATCACAGCACACCCGCCGCTTCTTGCGCGTCTGCGCCGCCCTCCGCCAACGCCAATTCCTGGTGTGTGCGCGTCATCCTCTTCATCAGCATGCAACAACTGGGCCTGACGTGCTCTACGCTGTCGTCGGTGTCGGCCTCCACCATTCGTGCTGGCTTCTTCTTGGGCAATCATGAATTCCGCCCACTTCCTCTCGAGGCGCCGGGCCGCGATGAAATCGCCGCGCATCACCCGTTTGAAGTGCTCTTCCACGGTAGGCTGATAAGTATAGAAGCACTTTAGCTGAATCACCTCTGTGGGGAATGTCGAGCTTTTGACAACTTGCACATTCTGCTGTTTTGCCATATCGTCCCCAGGCAGCTGTCTGGGCTGCGAAGTGATGGAGATATCCGCGTTCCTGGACAAGATCTCGCGCACACCAGTCCACGTCACATTCTGACAGTCATAAGCTACCAAGCGCAAACCCACGGTAGGCTTGAATGAGTGCGGTGCAACTCCGTGGATTGTCGTGCGGCCGCTTCTCTGTCGAACCATGCTCGCAGCTTCAGTCAACACCAAGTCTCCAATCCGGGTGTTGTCCATCTCGACGGAGCGAAGGCTCGTGCACGCTTTAATCACGGGCATCATTCCCACGTCACCCATATTCTCACAGTATGAGATACTGAGATGTCTGAGTCGTGCCGCGCAAGGAGAATTCGCCAATGCATGGAGAGTACTGTTACTCAGGTCCTCGAGCTCTTCCAGATCCAGATGTGTCAGCAGAGGCACAGTCGGCAGCAAGTCCGTCAGCGTCGCGTCAAGGATACCGTGGCATTTGGATAGCTGCAGACCTTCGATTTCAGGGATATTGTTGACAAACGTACGCACTCCTTTGTCCGTTATTGACCTGCACCTGGTGAGGTCGAGATGCTTGAATCTCCGAGGAGGCACCATGGGTCGGCCTGAGATGTAGTCGATCTCACTATCGGTGCCCTCGATTAGAACCGCCAAGGACTCGTCGGACAGACTATCGCAGTTCATGAGTATAAGGCGCTCCAGGGTATTCCGCTCGAAAAGCAGCTGCATAAAGCTCAAGTCATCCCAGCCTCGGATTTCGCCGGCACGCAGGTCCTTGAGAAGTGGACAGCTTTCTACGACCTTTCGAAGCCCACGTGTATCAATATTGTTGCACCAAGATATGTTCAATTGTTCGAGCTTCGGACAATTCTGAGCGATGATCTTCATCCCAGCATTGGTGGCGCCAGCCAAGCCAGACAGATTAATGTGAACCAGCCGGCTATTTGACCACAGAAAATTGTGTATAGATGCTCGATCAATCCGACAACCCTCAAGTGAGAAGTTTTCCAAGTTGGTGCATGCGTCGGAGAGGCCTCGGTAGTTCCATCGTTCGCGAAGCTGAACACATCCTCGCAAGTTGAGATCCCTCACGAAAGGTCCTGCAGCGGTGATGATTCGAACAAGAGCGTCTCCCGGTATGTCCTGGTAGAAGCCAGCGGTGTCCAATATAGCCCACAGTTGTCCGTCAAAACACATCTGGTGCCACGACTTGGACACAATTGAACAACGTACGATCTCTTTTGGTTCAAGATATGTCAGAATCTCCATTTTCAGCTCTGATGGTAGATCACGCCAAAAGTTCAGATCTCGACGTGCCGGTCTCTGCTTCGTTATTGGTCGCGAGAAATAGTCCTCATCGACCTCGACGATGCCCGGCTCGGGAGCAGGTTTGATCGTTGATCGGTAATCTGTGGGTAGTCCCACAGACATTTTGCCTTCATGCTGCATCAGGTATCGAACACGAGCAGCCTCATCAAAAGGCGGGGGTTGGACACCTGGAGTGGTTGCCGCAGACGCAGGTGTTGTAGCATATCCAGCGGAGTGCTCGCGATCCAGTGCAGTACCATATGCGGTCGCTGAGTTGAGCGAAATGCATGAGATTGAGCCTTTGCCATTGCCATGGTATCCTCTTGAGCGCGATGTGCTGAGCTTGGCTATGGAAGGTGAAGAGGAAATGCGGTTCAGCCCGGCGAGGAGTTTCTGCCGGCCTCGCAGCTTTCGAGGCTGTTCTGCAAATTCCTGAAATGGCGGGCTAGATGGGTTCAGACTGCGAGGTGAGCCGATGGGGGTGTGTGCCTCGTCGAGCGACTCCGTAGAGCCGCTCGCCGTAGGGGCCGCCATTCAACACAGGTCGCTTGTCTGAATATGCAGCACTGTTGTCCAACTCCACAGCAGTATCAGCCGTGTACCCAACGTCCTTGCTTTTATTCAGCTCAGAGAGAAGACAGGCGGACGTTCGTGACGAGGTGCGATGTCTGAGGGGTGGCTATCTGCAGAGCTTGTGATCAGCACGTCCCGCCCTTCATGCTATGCTGTGGTCATACGGACAGGTGCATGCGACGGGCAAACTCTTCAGAACCAGATTCTCTGCCACTGTGTGAGCCAGCACTCCCAGGTCCTTAGGTCATGAGGGCGTGCAAGCAATGTTGCGTTGGACGGCGAAGATCGCGTCTTATCGCAGCGATTAAGCACGATGGCGGGGTTCGGCAGGGCTGAATTGCACGCTGCACTGGGTTGGAGTTTTGCTTCGTGACTCGGAACACCAAACAATTCGCAAACAGTACTCTGTGACCGGCTAAAACTCACACCCTGTCCGTGTGAATGAAGGTGGAGTACCGGTGTGTCGTAGTGATGGGGACGATGGCGAGGTCGTTGCGGGACAAGAACATCGCTCAACCTCGTCCGAGCACACGACAAGGCCCCACGGCGTTGCGCGATGCCAAAAGGAGCATGGCATCCGGCGCAAGGATAAGCGAACTCTCAAGCAAAGTCTTTCGGCGAGAGTGACCGAGAATAAGAACGAGGACATGGCACAGGCTTGCGAGACTACATACGCTCGTGGCATCGCGATACGATCGTGCGACAATATAGGCTTGACTCTGGACGTGCTTCTTGCGGTCCCCAAGGAGCGGCATGAAGAGCGGAGGACAGCGAAAGCAGTAGTAGACTGGGGTATCGCAACCCGCAGTCAAGGCGCTGGAGGATCGCCGACAGGCCTGCATGTGGGAGCCATGTGGACTGGGCCGGGCTGGGGCTGAGCAGAGACAAGAGTAGACAGTCTACATATTCCACCTATCGATTACCATCCACACGTGCGGGCAGTCACGGCACTTCATGCAGGGCATACTCGCATCTGGACCCTACTTCGACGCCTTCTGCAGTGGCCTGTTGGCTGTGGTCTACCCTGCTTCAGCATGCTGCAAGCGTCCTCGGCACTGTATGGTCCTGGCAGAGGATGTCCGCAGCCGCACAAACGGCCTACACCTCCACTCACCACCTCGCTACGATCATCCCGCATGATAGAATCATGTCTTCTTGCTCTGTTTCTTTGCCTTGGCCTGTTCCGCGTGCTTTGGGCCCAAAGTCTCCATTTCCTTCTCGTCCCAGCCGTTGCCGCCAAGCTTGGGCAAGAATTTGCCAACACGCTTCTGATACAGACTGTATTCGGGATACTTGCCTCCGCTTATGCGCTCAGTGAGCGGTGTACTTCCTTGAAAGACGAGAAGGTAGGCAATGGCACCGCAGCACGTCCAGTTGTACATTGTGTCAGACTGGAAGCAGGACCACTGATAGAGGATGACCCATAACGATTGCTCAGCCGCGAAGTTGGGATGCCGACTATACTTCCAGAGCCCAGTCGTTACGAAACCGCGATCCATTTGAGCTCGGGTCCAGCCAGCGGGAACTTTCGCAGTCTTTTGATACTCCTTCTTAGCGTTTTGGTAGTTCCATTGCTGCTGGTCAGCGAAGTACGTGAGTATGACAAGGGCCAGCAACAGTCGCGCAATCGTCATATCGAGCGAGGTCATCTCAGGCTTGAGCTGTGAAGTGAGCATGAGCACGTATGTTGGCAGGGTGACGCTCCAGAGAAGGACCTAACATGCGTCAGCAAGCGAAAATGCTGCATGAACAGTACGCTCACAATTTGCGCAGAAGAGATGAACAGAATGTTCAACATGAAGAAGCCAAAAGACCCGATTTGCTTCTTAATGAGCTCCCATCTGTAGTCTTCGCTGCCGATTTGGTATCCGCCTTTCCGCCAGTAGTTGTACGTCAAACGTATCGACCATATTACGCTGAACGCCAGGACATGATCAACTCTTTTCGTAGACAGCCCGTTCAACCGAGCCCAAAGCGCATAGTGGAAGTTGAACACCGTTGGGAGTATGCTCCAAACTCTGTCCACCTGGCTGTAGTTTTTGTTGATCTCCGAGGCGATCAGGAAGATGGGCGAGAGAGCGATGCACACGGCAAGTCCAAAGATGGCGGGATTGGTGGAGACGTATATGTGTTTCAGCGCCTCGATGTCTCCGAGTGCCGCGTAGAGCTGGTTGGGAAGCGCGTAGAGCTGAGGGAGGAAGGGTTCGAAGGTCTTGCTGTACTCTGCACACTGGCGTAGCGTCGTAACGGCTGGCAGCGCTATATCGACTGCTGTTAAGGGGATCACCATCTTGATGGTGGTGTTGGCGCGAAGAGACAATACTTTGGGGGCCTGCACGCGTCAAAAGTCGTCTGGTTTCTATGACGTGCATAGCAGCCAGGCCAATGCCACGACCTTCCAGCTTGATTCTTCTCTTCTCCTCACTTCCCACAACTTCGACAATGCGACTTTGCCATCGGTAAAGAAACACCGAGTGACCCAAGGTCTCTTTCGAGAACACGCGAGTGATAGTCCTTCTCGGATGTCTCGCTCCAAGTCGTCCGTCCTGCGCTGCCGCAGCTGTCCGACACGTAGACACGCCGATTGCAGAAACATGGACCGGAGCAGGCGCCGCCGACTGAGGGCATGTGGGAATAGTCGTTCAATGTGAAGACCCACATGCCGTGTTCTCAAGCGTGAGTTCAAGAATGTGAAGTGAATGGCCTTGTTCGTCTCGTGCAGAGACCTGACCCGTGGGCACTTCGTCTTCTCACCTCTCCAGCTTTGGCCACTCCTCCACTCGACCTGCTCGACAGTCACCCAGTCCGCGAGTTCAGCTCGCAGCTTCCGCAACCAGTTTAGTTCCCTCAAGCTCAGTCACCATCATTTCCTGCCATGGCCGCCGCAGTCAGCACCCCGGCACCCTCCCTGTCAGCAGGAGAACTAGACGAGAACTCGGCCAATGTCTCTGAGCATGTTGATGAGGAGTTCACGAACTTCGAAGATATTCTTCGTCAGGATTGGCGCATCCTCGAGCGCGACTCTGTGCCTCTGGCGGGTAGAAATTCTGAGGTGGATGGTCCAATCGATCCATATATGCTGGATGATATGCTCGTGGACCCTGTTGACGGCACCGAGCAACCGAAGAGGAGTCTTCGGCCCCAGCAAAGTACGAAACGGTTCCGAGATCCTTGTTATGACCTAGATAATAGCGGCGACTACGACCCTGCAGAACAAGAGCGCCTGTCTCGGCAGCGACTAAAGCGCAACAGAGCAAAGAAACGGGTGACAAGACTTTCGGACAGCGACGAGTTGTGTGCGGAGGAGCACCACTCTTGTCACACCGACCGACAGTGTTCGCAAGACGCGGAGAAATTATGCATCGTGTTCCGCGTGAACAGCGAGCAGGGTAAGAGAAGACTCGAGGAGTTGCTATCATTGTCCGCGAACCCAGCCGATCCCGACGTGAAAGGCTATGTAAGCTGATGTGCATCACGGTTTGAGAATACAGCTAATGCGTGTCCAGGCACTTCGACGACGAGCACCTGGCGACGTTGCCACTCACGAGACTTCGAAAGGTGAGCACGGCAATCTATCCGGGCACCCAATGGCACGCGGTTGTCACGAATGCGCTGAGCTACACGATGAGTGCTCGCTGCTTCATGATGAAAGGTCCTGGCCGTGCCACCACTGCCAGGCTGAGGGCAACGACTGCCGCCTTATCACAACGCCTAAACGTTTCAAGGCCTGCAAGTCTTGTGGAGGGCGTAGGCTGCCCTGTTCATATACATACACACGGAATCACAGCTCCAGCTGTCAGCAATGCGTGGCCACCGGAGCACCCTGCGTCGCAGGTCCAGCAAAAGACTTTATCAAGTTGCGGGCCAGATATCCTGCCCTTGAGGAGCAGTTAGAGACAGCCGATGTCCCTGTGAAAGCGCTACCGTCTTCGCTCGATCGTATAAAGAAGAGTCACAACAGGAACAGGCGGAGGAAAGTACCAGGAGATTGCCTAGAGTGCTCCATACAATCGAGGAGATGCCAATACCAGCTCGATGACACTGGACAGTATGACAGTGCTGGATGCATAAGCTGCCACGATAATGGGCTCCACTGTACGATTCGCGAGAAGCTGCCTTCGGCTCTGGTGAATGATAGCCCACAGACCGACATTCCTGCTAAGATCTCGGCGTCAGAGGGTAGGAAAGACGTTGAAGGCGAAAAAGAACCTTCAGAACGGCCGTCTGCCTTCCAGCCGAAAGTCATGATCCGCAAGATCGAAACCTCATTCACGGTAAGTAACCCGCCTCACAGGGCTCCTCCCCTGGATATCTAGCGGATGTCACTGACTCTAACTGCTACTAGTATCCGATATACTTCAACTGCGACGACCCCGAACATTCGGCCAATGTGCGCAACTGTTTGTTCTGTACATCACCAGAAGCTGCTATTTACGGTTTTGGCCTGAGACAGACACGTATCGAGGACCATCAAGACAGCCGTCGGTGCGAAGAAGTATCGAGAAGAATGAGGCCGACATCACTCTGCACCATATGCACAACAGCACGAATGAATGTACTGTTTTGCGAGAAGCACGATATGCGGCCTATTGTCGGCGTGTACAAGCAAACGGGTGCAGCATGTGATGAAGAAGTCGATGTGCATCATGTTGAGGACTTGAAGGGCATTTGTGCCGTCTGCCCTCTCCGGGCCGTGTACGAATGTGCTTCCGAGAGAAGCTCAACAGAGGATGGTAATGGCTGTGGATTACGGCTTTGCGAGCCCTGTGCTATTAAGGTGGAGATGGAGCACGATGGGAATCTACGACACGCCCTCGCATCGTTACCAAGCAAAGTGGGCGAAATGCTACAGCTTCGTGCAGATTGCGAACTGCTGAGGGACGATGGAGCGTTGCAGAGATACTTTCAATGGCTGAGTATTGGCTCGCTTGCCGCGAACACATCTTTTTAGGCTTGCTAGAGAATACATTTGTTTCCTACTGCAGTGCAGTCGCCAGTGCAGTCTGCTGAGTCACTAAACCATGAGACCCAGGCGCAGCAGTGGTCACTGCCGTGGATGGAGGCACAATCCAAGTCCGAGAAGTCTGTGCTCCCAAAAATCGTGCCAGGAAGAGCTTGACCAACCAAACGCCATGCTACCCAAATCGCAAGTTCAAGTTGTCATCTGTCGGCCACTATCGCAATTCAAGCACCATTCTTGCCGGCGTCTAGGTAGTCCTGCCCCGCATGCTCGTATTCAGCGGAGAGGTAGACATCGACGCGCTTTGATAGCCATTGGGTCATCTTGGCCAACTCTTCGCGTAGACGACTCACTGACTGCGCATCCATATTGGTGTGGACAATGAGGTCTGGCATAGAGACTGTCTCAAGTCAGTTCCGAGTAGCAAAATGGGTGGTCTCTTCAAACACTCACCGAACAACCGAAGCAAATGCTCGCATCCGTACACGTCGCAGAATGTCTTGCCAGCATAGTCTCCAGACCCTGCCTCGAGCTTTTTGTGCATCTCGTAGAACTGAGGACGTTCGAAGCGATATAGCAAAATGCGGCCCAGACACTTGTTGAAATATTCTTTCATGCCGGCGATGACTTCTTCGAGGATATCTGCATCTGCAGAACCAGCTCTTCGATGTACACTCTCGGACTGTTGGTAGTCGTCCAGAAAGCGTGTGATTGACATCGAGGATGGAATCTGAACGAGCTTCTGCTCCTTGGTCACCTTCTCCCAGTCGTCCACTAGTATGCTCTTGAGGACATCCGGTATGAAGAGCCGTACAGCTGGCCTACGTACGAATTCCTCTTCCTGTATCCAGACGTTAGTCCCCATTCAAGCAATCGCATTCAACATAATGCGCGGGCGCAATGAAAGGCTTCAGCAATAGTGCGACAAGACGTGCTGGCTGCCTGGGTCGAATTTTCTTTTGGTCACCGCCTAGCCGGCGACTTTGCACGCGAGAACAGAGCAACTTGCCTTATCTATGCCTTCGACATCTCTCGAGCGTTTCGTTCCCCGTGGTGGAGGCGGAGCCGCTGAGCTTCGATCCTCGCTCCCTCGTGCCGAAACTCCTGGAAAGCATGGTTAGTATCGCGTTCAACGCCTTCTGGCGGGCCCTTCTGTACCGCTTGCAGCTCTTCGTTGAGCATCCATGTCCTTCTTCAGATTCTGTGCGAGCTCCTTGTTCTCATCGGTGAACTTTCGCAATCGTTCTTGTGGAACCCAGTCATCCCACCTGTTGTTGAAGCAGTGTCAGTAAAGAGTGTCTCACGGTCAGATACAGCCCCAAGTGGTGACTGTCACTGATACAACGACCGACGCCGCCACATGGGGATCGGAAATGTCGCGTGGCATGAGGTACCCAAAGAACCTGCATGCTTCTCGCCTCTACCATGCCGTTGCGAATATGACGGGCAGGACAAGAATTGACTGATGCGATCGAAGGGCGTGGAGACTCGGACCACGAGCCAGGCCTCGAGCCACGGACGAGATTGAACTTACGTATTCTTCCAGCCCTTGTAGTGGACGCGATACTTGTGGCCGCCGGCCTTGTCATCGGCATCTTTGAGCTTGGCTTCGAGGACCTTCGCCTCGTAGAGTAGTTCTCCGTGAAAGCACAGAACACGTTCGTCTTTGGCGTACATGGCTTGCGTCCCGGAGGCAGGCGCCATGTTGGTCTTCAGTGAGATTCGGCAGGCTTGTTGTTTCAGAGACTTTTCGCTTTTGTCGCACTTTGGCGGTCGTGAGTTGTGGTGTATTGGGGTTGTCGCGGCAGTGGAAGTGGAAGTGGCTAAAGTGCTGTCGCGTGCGGGAAGGACAAAGCTCGGACGCGTCGACCACAAACGCATGACTACGCGTTTCTGCACACTGCACGACTTGGAAACGTAACGTGGTGAATCTATTCTGCTCATGCTACGAACGGACTAATTGAAATCCGCAGCGCTCCGTCTACATGTGCCCGAGCGACCAAATTGCGCATGAAAAACGTGTCCTACTCCTGACCTCCGCCCAGGTCATACTTCGGCCGCATTTGTGGCTATTCATGCTATGCCTCGTTGCTTACCTCTACTTCACTCTACCCAACACAGACTACGGTGAGCTGCTGGATCACTCTGTGGCCAACAGTATTGCTACGGGGTATGGACAAGAGTGCGCGTCGGGGAAACGCTCAAGACGTCGTTTGCCAGGGCCGAAATTCGCGCTGGCTGGATTACTCAGAGCATCACTTGTGTCACGTTTCGTGCAGAACCGACAGGTAAAGAGAAGAAAACTCACCTTACGACTTGGGCTCGTGATGGTTCGTGATACTGTAACAATTCGTGATGAATATCTGCGACGCAGAATGTGCATGGTTGGTGCTTACTAACCTGTCCAATAGAAACCTTCCATTCTCCCAGCAAAGGCAATCATTGTAAGCGCACACCAGCCGTCTTCTGCCTCTTCCCTTGCGCTTGTCCCACGTTCGAGAAGCCGGCCTCGTCGGAGATGTTGAGAATGCCCTTTGATGCATTTTTCTTCTCGTCTTCAATTTTCTTGAGCTTCTTCTCGGTCTTTTGCTTGCCTGAGCCCTTGCCATGGAATGCGTGGCTCAGGTGTTTGAAGGCCTCCTTTTGATTCATCTCGCGTCCAAATTCATCGTGGTACTGCAACTTGACGTCTGGCCTGTATTCCTTGTTGAACTTGTCAGCCAACAGACGCGCGATAAATTGCTCCCTTTGCTCGTTCTGTTGGCGAGCAAGCGCATCGCGCTCTCGGTTGCTCATTTTATCGAAGCGACCACTGCGACGATCAGCTTCACGCTGTTCCTTGGCTTTGCGATCATATTCATCGATCAGGTGCTGCTTGTCTGCTAGGAATTGGGCCCGCCGTCGCTCCCTCTCGGCCTTCTGGTCCGCATCGGCATTGTCGATCAATCCGCGCTTGCGCAGCATGGCCAGTGAGGCGCCAATACCTTGTCCGATCATGTTCTCCTCTTCTTCGAGACCAGTCGTCGTGAGGTCAACAGGTCTGGAAGCCTCGGAATTCTCTCGTTGCGCGCGTTCTTGAGCCTCTTCGGCGTCGGCATAAGACTCCATCTTAACGTCGCCATCATCGTCAGCTTCTTGGTCATGAGTGACCTCGTCCGGCGTTCGGGCTTTGCGTGAACGTTCCTCCTGCAGCTCCTCCGGCCTCTTCAGGTTGGCCACGAATTCAGATGTCTCGTCAATGACGAGACCGCCTTCCTCCTGATCAGGCTCATCGATAGGCATCTCCTCTCGCATTCGTCGGGCGATCTCTGTGGCATCGGTCTTCTTTCTCTTCTTCAGAGCTTCTCTACGGGTAGCAGCAAGCCTTGCCTGAAGATCGTCGTCATCGTCGAAATCGAATGCTCGCTTCTTTGCGCTGGAAGACGCGCCCTGTGGTTGATCACCATCGACATCCATTGAGTCTTCCGGCTGCTCTGTTGATGTGGGAGGCACGACGTCATCCTCATCAACGGCTTTCTGTCGTGTCTTTTTCTCCCTCTTGCTCTTCTTGGGCTTCTTGACTTTAATTGTGGATGGGTCAACGTAATCGGAGGTCGGGGCGTCGTCCTTGAGAATGTCAAGGCTGATTTTCACTCCCTTGCTTGTACCGCCAGATTCCTCCGCTGCAACTTTACGTCGAGCCTCGATGCTGACGCCGCTTCCATCAAGCGTGAAACGCTTTTGTTGCCTCCCGTCGATGGTTTCGTCGTACTTGGACAACAAGTTTTGTGTGCCATCTTGCTCAGTTGGATCGTAATCGGGACGCTTCTTCAACAGTCGTAGCTTTTCTTCCAGCTTCTCCTTCGCCTTCAGATCCGCATTCTCTAGTTCGTCGTCCTCGCTGTCATCGCCAATTTCTTGATCCTTGAGAGTGAGCACTTGCTCGCCGGTGAGTTCGTCAAACTCAGTAGCCTCGTGGCCGACCTTTACACCAGCAAGATCACGCGCAGTGTACTCGGCCTGCTGTTCCCGCGCCGCCAGCTCCTCTTCCAGTTTCCGTGCTTTCTCGATCTTCTTCTGTCGCTTTTTCTGTTGCAGCAACCAGGTTCTCGTATCCACTTCTTCGCCATCGTCCTCTCCCAACCCTTTGCCCTCCAATTTGGCAAATCGAGCAGCCTGATCACGAGCCTTCTTCATGGCATCCTTCCGCTTCTGCCGCTCTTGTTTCTCCCTCTGCTCTGCCTCATGCTTCTCCCAGTTCTTACCTGCTGCTGCAGCGCGCTTCTCGAGGGTGCTCAAGTCATCGCTGTCTTCAGCATCGCTGCCACTGTCCTCACCGCTCTTGAACTGTGGTCCGTCGCCGCCAGGCACTGGCAACGGCGCTATGCCCAGCGAGATACGGACCTTGTTCATCTGCTCGATATCAGCTGCTGACGCCATCTTTGCTGTTACTGTCAGTCAGTGATTGCGCGTTCGAAGGCGGCCAGCAAGATGTTCAGGTAAAGCACAGATGCGCGTCGGCGAAGTCGTCGCCAAGCCCGATCTGACTCGCGACTGCTCAAAAACTTTCCGCAGCTTCTTCCACTTTCTCTTCTCTCTCAACCACAACGATCTGTGTCCAGCGGTCCCGACGTACCTTCGGGCGCTGAGGTTGACTGCTGCGACAATTCAACGACCCATGGAACCTTCACACAATACAATGGAGCACGTCCGGTTGACAGATCTGAGAGCAAATGCGGCGCGCATCTTGAGCTCCTCGTGAGCTCGGTGCGTTGTCCGGGCGCTATATTCCAAAGCGTTTCTGAGCCCGTCGGGCCTTGAAAGTTGGGACAAACCATAGCTTGCCTACATCCTTACGGTCTTTGGCCATCTTGTGGCAGCATGCGAGACGAATGATGAAGCTGCTGCTGGCGCGGGAGGAGAACCTATGACCTGTACTTTCACCGGAGACTAAATGAGTCTGCTTCCTTCCTTCACTCACATCCTTGCTAAGTACAACAGAAACGACTTGGACAATACACACGACTGACTCGAACCCCCGAATTTCTGCCCCTCGCGTCCCGTACTGTCGATGCCGCATCCTCCAGCCTCCCACATTCTACCCTTCGGCGCCCTGTGGTCCTCGTCAACTATGTCCGAGCGCATCGTATCCTCGTCTCGCATACACTCAGCTTCGTTCAGACGGCTTGAAAGTGCCCTATCCGACAGTGCTGGGAGACTTCGCCTTCTTGGCATCGCTGTGCGTTCAAGCCCCGAGTTGATGCCTCGGTTTGCAGCACTTGTATATGCCGGGAACGATCCAGTAGAAGACGATGAACAGGAACAACAAGCCTCCAAGTGTGCAGCCAACAGAAATGCCGATAAGGTCGCCACGGTCTCCTTCCGCCCTCTGTCCCTGCTATTGGTAGATGCGCATTGAATTCATGTTCGCCGGCTCGTTGCTGGTATGGCTGTCTTGGAACACCGCTTGGGCTGCCGGTAGTTGTGGATCGCTTGATAAGTTGTGGTCGATGTGGAATGATGTCGCTTCTTCGATGCGCTGACAATATTGGTGGAATGCGATTTGATGGGCTGCGAATACATGTAGCTGGAAGCTGTGACAGCAGCAATATCAATGGCAACGTCTTGGTGCGAGAAGTTGCAAGCGCAAGTCGGGGCGCAGGCAAGGGACACCCTACTTTGTTGCTCGACAGCCAGGCATTCGCATCGTTACACGATCATGGAAAGAGCCAGCACGACTTGGGAGGAGCGCGACTGAGTTGCCGGAAACCAGGAAGAGCTAAAGCGCTCGTTAGGGTCAAACACTGATCTCGTATTATAGCCCTTTCCAGGCCACTTCGCTCTGCGTGATGATTGGTGAGTCATATTCATGCCGGATGCCAAAATACTAAATGCCGAATTGGCCTACATTTAGCCACGCGGATCCCTTGAGCAGTATATGAGCCTGTCAGCCGCAGCCTTGCATTTTGTCCAAGACTTCAGTCGAACCTGACCTTCTACCAGCGTCGCGCAGCACCATGTCGCATTCGGGCACATCACTCGCGGATGGCATCATCCTAGACCTTGGTGACGGTCTTACCGTTCGCGAACATGTCAGTTGAGCGAAATTGTCTTCCGGCCAAAAATGCCAACGCAGATCACAGCGATTAAGTGATGCGAAATCGGCGTCGCATCACGCCAACAACCAAAAGCTTTGGCTTCAGCTCAGAGACCGTTTCGTACGCGCTTGAGCATTCATGTTTGTAATTTATTTCCTCGTCGATTGACTATAGCTAGCCTCACCCTTATACTGAAGAGAATGCTACATTCTGGATCAAGCACTGCCTAAGCGAAAAGAACTGCGTGCGTTCCGGCGACTGGACATACGAGAATGGTGCTTCGGGCCCATTGATGTGCACGCACTACGCAATTGCCATCAACGATGAGGCATGTGGCTCAATTGGTCTAGATTTTGGATCAGGTATGTTATTCGACCTGCGAGAAGGCTCCAGCAGCTCACCAGCTTGTAGACGTCTACTTTCACACAGCTGAAATAGGGTATTGGTTATCAGAAGAACATTGGGGCAAGGGCGTGATGAGCCGAGTTGTAAGGACCGAGGACCTGAAGTATGTCGCGAGACTGATGTAACACAGGTACCGGCATTCGTCGGATGGTCGTGGAAGACATTCGGAATCCTCGCCCGTATCAACGCCGAAGTTGTCGAGGGCAACCTTGCCTCAGCCAAGTTGTTACAAAAAAGCGGCTTGGAACTCGAAGGCCGTCGTGAGAGGCAGATTTGCAAAGGTGGCGTGTTCAAGAACGCTCTCATGTTTGGCGCCTTGCGTCCATAACTTGGGGATCAACAGAGCAAGTTGGCCTCGGCATTTTCAACATCACTTGAAGAGAGCGACCAAGTGCTGTGATCCCGGGTATATGCATAATACTCTGCACACTAGCACGACATCTCGTTCGCTTTCCCCTCAGTCTAGGTGTGCCATCGGCTACTTACAGTCTGTGGTCAATAGAGGAGCAATGGCCTTGGTACAAGCACACCAGTCGCGATCCCGCTTTCTGTTGCCGCTGCAGTCCGCGTGCTCCCAAGACGCGACAAGCTGGGATATAGCATCGCTCCCCAGCCACCTTTCTCTGCACTAGGAAGACAACGATGGCAGGCCACATCATCGCTGGTTGACACAAGCGTAGCGCAGCAATGCAATTCTTGTCACACGCTTGTAAAGCTGCACGCACGTGTGCTGAACTTTGACACAGTAGACCTATACCTCAAGCACAGATCGCCTCATATCAACGCATTGTTCTTGCACCGCCGAGGCACACCGGAGTCAGAGAGTCTCTCACTCTCCATTGTCAGGCCATGCCGTGCCCCTTCAATACCTGCACTGAAGATTGCTCGTCTTTGCTGAGCCGCTGGATCGTTTGCCAGAACAGCTCTCGCTCGCCAATCGCCGACCTCAAACAGCTACCAGCTCCAGCATATCCACCTATCGTCAGGATTTAAGACGAAGGATTGGAGCTGACAGCAGGCGCAAACATCTGTCACAGCGGCAGTGGTGCTCGAAGGTCGTCCTGATATGCTGTGCTCGTGCTCCGTGCTGGACCGAGCGCAAGTATCTTCTGAGTCCTGACAATATGGCGCTATCTCTGAGCGTCGTAATATTTCGTCCACGTCTGCCGTAGTTTCAGGACCTTCGCTTCGAGATGCGACTCGTCGCAAGCAGGCTAGCGATTCGCGCAACGCACACGAAAACGCAAAGTCTGATGCGGCGCGAAGAGGGCGCTCGCTCAACTTTTCGCTACCAAAGGTGACATGTTTTGCTTGACGAACAACACCCTGCTGTACACGCCGCGGTATACAACCACAGCAATGGCGGCGTTGTGCTGAAACGTGAGGTCGGACGGCAGGACAATCAATGGTTGGCCACGTTGCCGCCCGAACTCGCTTCCCGCTTACGTGGCCCCAACCGAACGGATTGCCATCGCCGACGATGTACGAGGTTCAACATGACAAGCGACAGCAAGCGTGAGTAGGCGTGGATGATGCTGTCAAGGCTTTCACGTGCTGCCCAGAAGTCTTGTGTGCGACCAAGACATGGACTAGCGGTTGCCCAGAAGGGCGAGAACGCAAGGCTGCCAACTGCCAACTAAAATTTCGTCAGCGGTGGAGAACCCGCACGTTGAGACTGGCACTTCGCACGGCAACGATACGGCATCAGGAACAGTATGCACAAATCCGGGCCCTAACCTGCAGTAGCGGTGAAAAAAAGAATTTCTCTTCCACGTCGGAATGGTGCAGGTACGGCAAAAGAGCCGTCTGCGTCCAGCGAATCGCGGAGCTGGAGTCGTCAAACATTTCGCCCAGTCACAGAGGAACACGGCTGTGCCTGTCTGCCGCAGTTTCTACATCCCCTGTCCAATCTGACCCGCTGCTGCATGAACCTGTAGGGCTGGCTGCTGATTGATCGGGGCCGCGGCTGTCAAGGGGCAAAGCCTGTTCCTCGTGCGTGCTGCACTCGTCAGTTGTCGAGGGGACCCGATCATGCTCGTTCTGCTCGGTGGGGACCATAGTGTTCCCTTGAGATTAAAAGAGTTCGCAGCGACGCGCGGTTGAAGATCTTTCGCTGAAGATCTTTCGCTCCTCCCCCTTGTCCACACAATCTCTATACCAGCGACTTCTACCTGCGCATTTGGTCGCATCACTGCTGTGCAGTACCACTCTTTTACTGCAAGCTTCGATACACTCCCTTAGACTGCCGATTTACCCAATTTTTGGTCGGCCCTTGGACCAATTGAACTACCAGCGCAAAGTTGAGCTTCGCAAGCCGGATCACTTCACCTTGACCTACCCAGCGTCGCAAACATGAAGAACACTGCGATTGCATCTTTCGCTCTCTTTGCTTCGGCTGCCGTCGCAGACTATGGCTACAGCAGCTCGTCATCAATGGGTAGCGCCCATGTTGTGGTGAGTCCTCCAAAGTTCAGAATCATCGTGCCAAGCCTGACCACTTCACTTCCAGAACAACTGCAACTACCCAGTCAAGTTGTGCAACGTCCCATCGGCCGGTGGTGGCTACGAGGAGGAGGATACTTCCCTCGCTCCGGGCGCCTCGTGGTCGCAGCCTTGGACTCCGCTGTCCAATGGCAATGGTTGGTCGATCAAGCTGTCCAAGACTGACAACCTCGACAACATCCTGCAGGTATGGCACGAATATAAATTATTAACAAGCTCTGGATGCTAACAGAGCGCTCAAAGTACGAGTATACAACCCATTCTGATGGCATCATCTGGTACGATTTGAGTTGCGTGAATGGCAATCCATGGGATAAGGACTGGGAAATCACCGCGAACGGCACAGAGTGCGCTCCCAAGCAACAAGCATACCGTTACTCCACCGATGATGCCTATGGCATGCAATCATGTGGCCAAGATGCTGTCATCACCGTGACACTGTGCACCGGAACTTCCGCCGACAACGGTGAGACTGCGAGCAACGGCACAGCACCAGCCGCATCTTCCTATGCCGCAGCTCCCTCGTCAGCATCATCTGCTCCAGCATACGAAGCCCCATCAGCAGCGTCGCCACCAAACTACCAGGAGCCATCTTCAAGCTCAAGCTCTAAACCTGCTGCCGCTCCTACGCCTTACGGCTACAACTGGAACAACAAGGATGCTTCGAAGTCTGCTGCCCAAGCGACCCCAACAACTTTGGCGACTTCTGTCACCGCTGTCTACACCAAGAACGAAGCTGGCGGCGTGACCATCACCGAGATCGAGACAGCGTACGCTACCGCAGTGGCCACCGTCTACAACCGCCACCGCAGGCACGAACACGAGCACGCTCATGGCCACCGCGCATAAGCAGCGCAACACTACCGCTGCAAGCAACAAAACACATCGGCAACCCCAACGATTCTTCACTTCTCGTCATCCGCTAGCAAGTCACTTCACTCATTCGTGACGAGCAGCGTTCAACTTATTTTTGGCATGCTTCTTTGTGGATAGACTTCGATTTTTTGGGAAACAAAGCACAGAACGGTTTGGAGTATTTGCCGCCCCGGAGTGGTGGGTTTTGGAGAAGCTGTACATATGATGATATGAGCGGGGATCGTGCGCAACTGGTGTTGCTGCCGTCGCTCATTTCTCAGACGTCGGCTATGATCATGAGTGACGCAGACCATGTGACAGAACATTTCGCTGGACGACGACGTCCGTCCAGCAGAACTTGGCAATACAGATAGGCCGATACATATATTGCGATGCAAACATTTTCTCATGTTCTCTTGTATTTCACGATCTTCAAGGATAACTCGTTGCATCCTCGATTGGGACTAGGACAGCTATTGACCCCGGACTCCAGATGCGTGCAGTTCATTTTGCGCCGACACGTTCGAACTTGTGTTACTGAGGTGAATTGCAAGCCATCACTCGCCATTGCCTACGTTGGCATTTTGGAACATAGGTTAAGCTGCGCATCTGACTTGAATACTTTCCGATTCTATTCTTCTATATGGTTGATCGCTCGTAGATTCCGTGGGTATATCAATGGTCCATCTTTGAAACAGCGCGCGGGTGAAGACATGGTATTTTCTTCCACGCATTGATCCAAAGCCTGCAAGCAGGACTTGCGCTTGATCTCCGATGCGATTTCGCAGTTGGCACGAGTTGTGAGCAAGAACGCTACGCGTTCGCTGATGAGTGAATAAAGTGTCCGCGAGATTGTGAACGATGTTGCGTCAAGCATTATCGGGCGCCTCCCAGGACCTCACATGACTGTTATCGCCTTCAGTTAAATTGACTGCGGCGATGCGGAAATGCCTTATCTACGCTTGGCGAAGGCCGAGCATGACCCAGGAGTGCGGTCAGACGCCGAAACCCCCCCTGTCAACTTTTGTGCAGATGAAAGCTTTGATCACGAGAGCTTCGTAGGCCTTCCAGAAGGGCAGTCTCCGCAATTGGCGACAATGCATAGGAGGTCATATGCACGCTGTTGTACCAGACTACACAAGAGGAGGGCCGATTTGATCGCTGAGGAACGAAGCAGGCGATGTGCTACCGCTCCTCTGCTGGGGATGTGATTTCCTTATCCGGTGTGGAGCTCTTCACAACAGCTTGAGATGTCCGGTGACCTCGTCGATCTTGCCTACCACGCGCATTAGCATTAGTTATGGAAATTGCGTAGTCTAGATACGCGGTGACTGCAGCGGTGGATGCAACATGGGATGCTGTCCGAAGTGACTCACTCTTTGGAGCAGGACCGATGCCCAGCACAGTGGCCGATCCGCTGGCAATCTGCGTGCGGCCAGCGTCGTGAATGACCTTTGCGCAGAGACCGAGACTAACAGCAGTAGCTTGCAGCATGAGCATCTCGTCTTCGCTGTCTACTTTGAGCGCTACTTTGGCTTGGCCGAGGTGCTCCCACCGCTTCAGCAACGGATGGTTCGGATCACTGCGCAGGAAGGCTTTGTAACACGCGAGCGTCGCATGCCCGCATTGTGCCGCTATTTTGCCTGCGCATTCGATCAGCTCGCTGACGACGTTTGCGCGTGTGTCGCACGCGACTCTCATCAGACCACGATGTCATGTGTAGTTGCAATACTTCGGTACTGCCACAGCTGCCACGCGCGACAAGGCAGGCACGCGGCACTTGAGCCAACCCCATGCACGTAGGCGAAACTCAATCGTGTGTGCCGACTCACCTTTGGTCATGCCCAGATCTGTCCTCACGACGAGGACGAGTTTGCATTCTTCTTTGCTCCCATCGAACGCCTGCAGCTCGCCCAGGTCGTGGGCGGACTCGTCGGAGTCTGACGCGGAATCGTCGTTGTCCAAGGCCGCTCCCGATGTGGCGGGGCGGGCGGGCGACCGGCCGAATAAGCCAATCGAGCGGGCGCTGCCCACAAAGTAGCCGGTGGTGAAGGCGATGATGGCTGCAGCGATCGCGTAGCTGGCAGCTGACGGCTGCGGGCGATCCAGCGGAGGCTGCGACATGGCGAAGGCGAGCGTGTCGGCGGCGAGGGAGCTGCTGCTGCTGGACGGAGATCGCGTGGTAGGCGGTGGAATGGCTTGTCGGACGAGGGTTGTTGTTGCAAAATTCAGTCGCGTGACGGGCATGCGCTAGGCGCGATCGGGCGCCGACCCGCTGCCGCTCGACGAGTATAAAGGCGGCCAGGCGGCCAATCTCGCAAGATCTCCTCACAACTTTCGAACTCAAGCTGCATCGATGCCAGCTGTGCCTTGATCTGACGTCGAAACGACAGAGACGCTGCGGCGGGCAGCTGTGGAGCGAGCGACGTTCAAATAGAGGATACCATCACAAGGATTCGCCGCTTGTCACCCCGGATGCTTGGCGAGGCTATGGCCCAGTCGGGCTAGCTGGCTTTGTTTCGCTGCTGCTCATCAATCTGCTGTAGCACGCCATCGATGGTCGAGGCGTCAAGGCGTGCTGCTGAGACGTCTTGGACGCACACGATTATATAAGGCATTGTCCGCGAATTCATAATCTTTCTTTCCCCCACAACTCGCCCCATCGCAGCGTAGCAGTTTGTTGGTTGTTGTTCGTTGCCGTTTGGTGCAGCTCATATCCGCATTCCCCTTCCAAACTCAATCACAACCTCGCAGCCCTTTGGCTGCCGACGACTGCACGCAACAATGGACCCCGTGCAGCGTCTTCGCAACCTGCCAGACACGCCGCCCACATCGCCGCCTGTCGGCTTCGCGGGACAGAATGGCTTCAGCACGCCTCTGTTCCCCTCACAACCCAACATTCTCTACATCATGGCCGACCAGCTGGCCGCTCCCCAACTCAAAATCTACAACGAGAAATCGCAGATCAAGACCCCACACCTCGACAAACTGGCCGAGAAGTCAGTTGTGTTCGATTCTGCCTACTGTAATTCACCCCTGTGCGCGCCATCACGTATGGCCATGATCACTGGACAGCTACCTTCCAAAATTGGTGCTTACGACAACGCTTCACCGATTACCGAGGACACGCCGACATACGCGCACTACTTGCGGAATGCCGGGTATGAGTGCGTGCTTGGCGGTAAGATGCACTTCATCGGTGACCAGCTGCACGGCTATGAGTATCGCCTCACCGCCGATATCTATCCGGCTGATCTTGGCTGGTCGGTCAACTGGGACGAGCCCGACACTCGCCTGGAATGGTACCATAACAGCTCTTCCATCCTGCAAGCAGGACCATGTGTGCGCAGCAACCAGCTGGACTACGATGAAGAGGTCATGTACAAGGCCAAGCAGTTCTTGTACGACCATGTCCGCAAGCCACCGAACAGCCGGCCATTCTGTTTGACGGTCTCTCTCACTCATCCTCACGATCCGTACACCATCGAGCACAAGTACTGGGACATGTATGAGGATGTCGACATCGATATGCCAGACGTCCAGCTTCCCAAGGATCAGCTCGACCCGCACAGCAAACGCTTGCAGCACGTCTGCGATCTTGAAGACTACGACTTCACGCCCGAGCAGATCAAGCGTGCCAAGCGCGCCTATTACGGATCTGTCAGCTACGTCGATGATAATATCGGAAAGTTGATGCAGACCCTGAAGGATTGTGGTCTTGCCGACAATACCATTGTCATCTTCTCCGGTGACCACGGCGACATGCTTGGCGAGAGAGGTCTGTGGTACAAGATGTCCTACTTCGAGTCATCTGTCCGCGTGCCCATGCTCTTCAGCTACCCCAAGCAGTGGGCGCCTCACCGCGTTCCACAAAGCGTCAGCACTCTGGATATCCTGCCCACGTTGGTCGATATCGTGGGTTCGAAACTGGTGCCTGGCTTGCCAATGGATGGTGTCTCGATCGTGCCTCATCTGAAGGGCAAGTCCACGCATGACAACGTCTTTGCCGAGTACATGGGTGAAGGAACCATCGCTCCGATGATGATGATTCGACGTGGTGCCTGGAAGTACATCACTTGTCCTGCAGACCCAGATCAGCTGTACAACTTGGCAGAAGATCCAAAGGAATTGGTCAACCTCGCCACTTCCACCGACGAGGCTACCAAGAAGGTGTACGATGACTTTGTCGCGGAAGCCAAAGCCAAGTGGGATATGGAAGCCATCACGGCGGATGTGATTAAACGCCAGCGCCAGCGTCGGTTCTGCTTCTCGGCCCTCAAGCAAGGCAAGTGGACCAGCTGGGACTATAGCGTGCCCGACAACAGCCAAGACAAGTATATCCGCAGCCACATGGACCTGGATGATCTTGAACGTAGAGCGCGGTACCCAATCGTGGACGCATACGGCAAGATCAAGGTTCTTGGAAGCACCGATAAGAAGAATGGCGTGCTGACAATGCCTCATCAAGCTGGAGCTGTCGGACAGTAGGTTCTTGTGACGGTCTTTTGACTTTGGAGCTTGCGACGGCTGCACCACGGGAGCTGAAGCTTTGCTTAACAGCTGCAGGCGTGAGGAAGTGTTTCAGCTGTAGCTATGGGTGGTTGCACATGGCAACATTTGTTTACGACGGAAATGCCTGGGCGAATTTTTTGCAGCGTACTGCATGGCGTTTGGGGCGCAAGGTGTGGCATCTTGAAACGATGCATTTTGATGATGAAGCGTCTTGGCCCTCTTGGGTTACTACAGCTGCGACGAAAGGGATGGTTGAAGGTGGTCTGTGTTGCGGCGAGAATTGTATACAGTAGTAGCGCTCCCACCGCAAGCAAGGTGTTTTGTAGCGTGCGAAATATCAAGGCAATGCGAAAATTTGCTGCACTGAACCGAAGTGAACGGTCGTTGTGTCACGAATGATGTCGCACGCGATCTTGCATATTCCCAGCCGTGTCTTGGTGCTGCCTGTTACCTGCTGGTTGCCGAGCTGCAGTGCTATGCAGGCGGGCTTGCAGTACGCCATGCGCCCATTGTTTGCTCGCCGTGCCGGCTACAACTCCGGCGGACAGAATTCTGCCGTGCCCCAAGAATTGGCACATCGCAATTCGATCGTCATGACTATGGGAAGACGTCGAAGCAGCGGGAAGGAGTGGCCGTGAGGACATGCAGATGGATGGCTTCTCGTGGATCCGAGTTGTGAGCGGGGTACTTGGTGACAGCAGACACGCTACAGCTGCGGTTCATGCTGAATACGAGTGGGAAATGCCAGATGCGGCTGTAGCTGAGCCGCATAGAGTTCGATATGGAGGATTCTTGCATGTACCTTGACGAAGTCCAAAAGTAGGCATATCGCCTGCTCAGCTGCGCTGCCAACGAGTCATCCCACTGCGATCTGTGCTTTGGGAAAAGGCAAGCAGAACGCTAACCTAATGAAATTCAGTGCGGAGAGTGTGATTGACGAGTGTGGAGAAGGAGCCGGTCGTCATCTTCAGTACCACACTTGTGCAGATGCTGAGATGACCGGGAGCAACTGCTCTATTGCGGGTGGTATCTATGGGCGCTGAGCGGTTCAGACACGTTGGACAGGTGACAGGTGAAACGGTCATGTCGTGTGAGCTTGTTGATGAGAGATTCTCTCTCCAGACTGTGACTGTGGCCCCACCGCTGGGCGGGCGAGTAAGGGCTGTTCGCAGCGGTAGAGCGGTTGTACAGTCATCCGAATACTCGACATCGCGAGATGTACGCGCGGGCCACGCAGCGCCCAGCAGACAAGACGCCACGATGGTGTTGATCGGCAACTCAAATTTGGCGGCGGCGAGCTTGGGCTGCTTCTGCATCTTGGGCGAGCTGGGGCCGCGAGCTTGTGCGTCTGGGGGCTCGTATTGCGCGCGTGGAGCAGCGATGAAACTGGGTCAACACGAACAGAGCGTCAGTCGTAGAGCAGGGCGGCGGGAGAGGCCATATGGTCGTCGCCATCAGCGCTAGTACAGCCTCTGGTTTTGCAGAGCTCGACGGTGTCGCCAGGCGTCGAGAGCCGCATTGTGCATGCTGCAGCTACCTGCCGCTAGCCTTCAACGCGAACCTTGTGCGCCCGCCATCCGACTTTGTGCGATGCGGCGCGCGGTCGAGGACGTCATGATGGACTGCTCGACTGTGGGCAGAGTGTCGCTCATCTCTGGCGCTCAAAATGCCATCAGCGGCTCTCGGTTAAGCGGTGGCCGTTGGCCGGGCGAACGTGCGCGGCGCCGCAGCCGGGACTGCGATCAACAGCAGGTACATTGCCCGACGGTCAGCGCGAGATTGGGAACCTGAGACACGCACAACGACGGCGGGAATGGGACAGCGGCAGCAGTGGAGCGGGTGCGCGGTGGCGGTGGGCTGTCTGCTGTCGCATGGAAGCTCTGCGGTTGGAGTGGGAGCTCCAGCAGTGGCCGACGCAGACGCAGGAGCAGCAGCAGGAGGAGGGAGGCTGGATCGTCCACCCCTCGTCTGCTGGCCATTCACAGCGCCGCCCGGCCTGCTGCATCACCGTGCTAGACCGTCCACGAGGAGAGTCAATCGGTTGCTTGGGAGGCCCGTTGTGCCCGTCCCTGGCCATAGCTCACGCCGCACCAACCTCTCTCCCAAGCGCAGCGCGCCAATGCGAGGACCCGCCTTTGTGTCAATGGGATTAAATACCTCTTACATTCCAGTCTCCATTCTCTCACAACAAACCCACAGTCTCCTCCGCTTGCATAACAGCCCCGACTCGCGACTGTCTATTGATTCTTCATAGACTTTCACTCGCTGTCTATCGCCACCACCCTTCGCAAGGACTACTACTCGCTACCGTCTTACGCCACCGCTTCGCTGTATCTATCCCAGAAGCTCTAATATCTTAATACCTCGACACCATGCGTTACTCTATCGCCCCAGTCGCGCTTGCCGCTTTGGCTGCGGCCAACCCAGTGCCTCAGGGAGTCACTGAGAACATCACCCCATCGACCTCTGCTCCAGCTGGCTGCTCTCCAGACTACCCAGGTACTTTCCAGATCCAAGTCGTCAATGTCACCACCCCTGCCATGGCGAAGAGACAGCAGCAGGGTGGCTCCGGCACTTTGATCCTCACCCTCCAGGGTGGTGTTCTCAAGGACGCTCAAGGCCGCACTGGCTACATCGCCGACAACCGTCAATTCCAGTTCGACGGCCCAGCTCAGACTGGTGCCATCTACACAGCCGGCTGGTCCGTTTGCCAGAACGGCTCGCTCGCCATTGGCAGCGATGTTGTCTTCCAGCAGTGCTTGAGCGGAACCTTCTACAACCTTTACGACGAGAGCGACGCTGCCCAGTGCAGCCCGGTCTACATTGAGGCTATCAACGGTGGTGGCTCTGCTGCTCAGGTTCAGTCAGATGGACAGCCAACTGCCCAGCCAGTCAACCAGATTGCTGATGGCCAGCCACAAGCCGTGACTCAAATTGCCGATGGACAGGTAAGTTCCCATCGTTCTCTTCCAACAAGACCATGCCACTGACGCCCGAATCGATCCAAGCACCCACGGGCTCCCCTGTTACTCAAATCGGAGATGGTCAGGTAAGATACCCAATATCGACGTGAACGCAGTGCATGAGCTGACCTCCCCCGCGATCCAAGCACCGACGGGCGCTCCTGTGAGCCAAATCGCCGACGGACAGGTGAGTTCTGCGATGCTTATGGCCCAGCTGGAGGTCTTGCATGCTAACATGATCGTAGATCCAAGCGGCCACTTCTGGTTCTCCCGTCTCCCAGATTGCTGACGGTCAAGTAAGTAATAGAACGCATCTGTTGCATTAATCATGCGCTGACCCCCTCGCTGGTGCAAGCACCGACTGGAGCCCCAGTTACCCAAATCGCCGACGGTCAAGTGAGTACCAACTTTGGTCGTTATCCCCAACTCTTACTAACAAGACTTTAGGTGCAAGCTCCAACGGGCTCTCCTGTTACCCAAATTGCCGATGGACAAATCCAGGCTCCTCAGCAAACTGGTTCCCCAGTTACCCAAATCGCTGATGGACAGGTGAGTTGACAAGAGACGACTTCGACAACCGGCATGTGCTAACCAACAGTAGGTGCAAGCTCCAACCAACGGCTCTGTTGCCTCTCCAACTGTTGTTGCTTACACTGGCGCTGCTGCTCTCCCAACCATGCGCAGCGAGCTCTTCGGTCTCGCCGCCGGTGTCCTTGCCGTGGCCATGCTCTAAGCAACGAATGATTAGGAACAGAACTACGACAAGAACGTTTGTTCACACTGTTGAGCATTATCGTTGGCCGTCATTTCTGCCGGACGACCACGAATGGCTCCTCGAAAGTTTGATTTTAAATTCGAATGTGCATATGAACACAATCCTTGATACAGCTGCGGATTACGGAACGATTGGAACGGTCTTGGGAATGAAAGCGTGGGATACGCCATGGTCTATTGGTAATGTTTGATATAAGCTATTGGCATTGAATGGTTTCGATGGGCCAGGCTTTTGGGAGGAGTAGGCCATGGGTTACTTTTCGCATGAGCGGCTGTTATTGAATTCTTGCATAGCATGGTGATTGAAAGAGACGTTTACGACGATTCATACATTTGTGCCTATTTTCTCATCACATCGCCCATCTCAGTGTGACTGTTGCAGCACGCGACTCAACCACTTTGGGGCATCACGTGCTGCCCCGCTCTCAATTCTGTCACTCTTGCTCAACGTTTCGGGCTTCCAATAGCTCACCCGCTCGCGCAGCTCGACACTGTACGCGCGGCACACCCTTCCACTCTTTCCTTAGCGCTGCATGCTATCGCGATGTGCCTCTCCACAATTCTCCCATTGGTCCCAGCTTCCGGGCTTTCCAGTTGAGAGAATTGTGCATGACTAGTCTGCAGATGAGGCTCTCTGCGCATGATCACAGCCTGATGTCCATATTTCCACCCACCGATTCATTGCAAGATGACGACTCCGTGATGATGAAGTCGCGCCGCAGCGTTTCCGGGGTTCATCGCCGTGTAGGCCTGAACCAAGTGACGTTCAGCTCGGATGACGTGGCCGCAGAGTTCAGTGCCGAGGGCTGCACGAACTTTATCCAGCCTACACCAACACGATCTTTCCGCACCATGCTGGCATGCTGAGGTGATGAGAAAAATAAGTCAGCACGCTACTATTGAACTATCAAAACTCATGTTTCATATCGCAGGTTGGCGGTGAAGTCAAGACAAGAACCAGCCCGAAAAAGTATATATTCCTAGTACGTCTTGACTTCTGGCCCGAGCACACATGGCAATTTCCTTGGATCTGCTTGTCGTGCAGAGACTCAGGAGCTTGAGATGTTGGCATTGGCATGCCGCGGGCTTGGAACCTGGAGGCATGACCTGAGAGTTGAACATCCACGAAGCGTGACTTCCTGCCACGAGCGCATCGTTCGACCGCTCCGGTGGACAGGCCGCGGGATATCCTTGGTACAGTCTTCTCAAGCGAGATGGCGGAAGGGGTGATCCTTGAGGGGTCGGGGCTGTGCCCATTTGGATATTTTGCGTAAGTAGGCGCAGTCGTACGCCGAAAGCATGGGTCTTCATCACCCCGTGGGACTGAGATACAGCCCAATAAGCTCTCTTCGGCGGCTTGCTACGAGTGATAAGATTTATCAGCGTATTCGCAGGCATCACCCCTTCCGCAATCTCGCTTGAGAAGACTGTATAGCAAGCCCTGCGACCCCTGCATCGTGCGAGTCTTCGGAGAATGGACCGGCGACTCCAGTTTCTCTCCAGGAACATGGGTATGTAAGCAGACGAGTGGGGTGACGCCCACGAGTGAAGCGACGCCTGCGCCGTGAGACGACACCTGCCGCGATGAAGGAGGTATGGCGCAGCATCTTGAGTGAGTGAAGATTGGATGTACACCCAGATTCCAAGATGGCTCATGCCCAGCTGGAAGCGAGAGGCAGAAAAGCGTCAGCATTGCCGAAAGACTCAAGCAGATCACGCAGCATGTTCAGGAGTTGAGGCCACGAGAAGAACTTCAACGTGAGTGTGGCCATTGAATGAAACAGCAGTAGGCCGCCAACACATGCTCCATTGCCAGGGCGTAGTAGTTGTCACGACCGAGACAGCGCCGTGAGCAGAGCCAGCGACATTCCGGGGAGAAGGAGCGAAAGAGTTGGCATGAAGCACAGCTGTTGAGCACGCCGATAGAAAAGATTAAGCTTTGCTACTCCGGAGACTGGATCTTCGAAAGCTGAAAGATCAGCCAAGCCACCCCTTCAGCAGTTTTTAGGTCCTTGTCGAAGACGTGGCAATGACAATGCAGCGACTCAGAAGCAGCGACTCCTCGGTCAGACTCCAGTGCTCCGGTAAACACTTGGAGACTTGGTGCCTTGACAAGAAACCTCAACTTAGAGACATGAAAGAGGGGGTCCGGTGGGCAGGTGCGGTCGGGCTTCGTGCCTTCCTCCTCGTGCCTTCCCTACACCTCTCCGGGCGGAAGCCTCTCAGGCAGCCTGCGCGCTTCCTCATTTACTTCCTCTTCCTCTCAGCTCTGTCCTCAACAACACAGCATCAGAAGTCGGTCACTCTATCATGGCACGTGTCAAGGACCGACTCATGGGTGGACGGAAGAGCATCCAGTCCAAACTGAGCTTCGTCGTCCAGCCAGCACCAGCGGCACTTCAACCAGCACCAGCGGCACTCCGACCAGCAGCCAACTTCTCCCAACGTAAGTATAGCAGTCGACTCTTCGGCAGATTGACATTAAAGCTCACTTTGTTAGGAGACGTTATCGTCATTGACTCTGATTGCGAGGGAGACCGTGAGCTCCAACGTCGCCATGCTGCTCCAAATGACCTCCAACGTCGCCAGGCTGCTCCGGCTACCCTCTCTCTCTCCCCCCCTCTCTCTCTTGGAAAGGCCTTATGCTAATAATGCTCCCAGAAATTGTCATAGTCGATCTTGACGACACCGCCGATGAAGAGGACGAAGAGCCCGTGAAACGTCTTCGCCCATCACGCAAGCCTGTCGCCTCGCTCACCGTCAATCAAGATGATGGGAGTCAAGGTGAGAGGCCTCCATCAAAGAAGCGCGCTATCCAGCGTGTAGAGCCCGACAATGAAGCATTCATTACCGCTCAGAAGGGCGGTCTGGATCCTGACCTCGGCGACGACCCTTTGGAAATGGTGATTATCGCTCCAGAGCCAGAACAGTATCGTGCTGTGGATTATGAACACGATTGGCTTCCAGCCGACTTCGCAGAATTAGTGCTATATTCACGGACTACTTGGCAGTGGACGTTCCGCGTGACTGGCGCTGTTGACAAGATGCTAAAGAAGTACATGACACCCGAGAGGTACGCTACTGGGTTCTGTAGACGACTGAGAGCAAATTCTCCCCAACTCTACCAGATGCTCGACTTCTGCGTTGCTACAGGCCAACCATGGAAGCTCTCAGACGTAGTCGCCAGACTACCAGATGCTCTCGACAAGCAGACATGTGGACAAGTGATCGGGAACTACCTCATCAGCCTCGAAAACACAAGCAAGAATCACTCGACTGCCGGCTACTTTGGCGGCACGTGGGGCCTGCAGAGTAGCATCTACGCACGTGCTAGCAAGCACTCTCAGCCAGCGTATCGACAGTCAGATCCTGACAAAGAGCTTTACAAGGCGTGGGACAGTGTCGTCTCAACCGATATCAAGGCACGCCTGAGAATGATTTGCGTGCATACTCGGGCAGATATCGCTCGCTACGGCACCATCGGAGTGCTCCTTAACGAGACTCTAGGCATTGGCCTGTTCTGTAGTGGCTAGCACAGGCGTGCAACCCACTCTATCCAGTGCATACCGCCGGCCTTGATCCAGAAACGGAGAGAGTGGGAAAACCTCCGGATTGCATCATCCTACGAGGATATCCTCTAAGCTACTATGCATTGCCGACCAACGAATGTGACCGATCTACTGCTTGTACGTAGAGCCATCTACGCATCCATCCTAGGCAGCTCTGCTAAAAGTGTTACTGCAGGAACGCAATTATCTTGGACTCGGCTCGCCACTTGTCGTGCAGGCCGAAGTGGGCATAGACATATTGAGGCGACTTCCGGAACCTCCATCCACAAGCATCGTTTGGGCACTTACTTGTTGTCACCAAATTGCTCAATCTAGCGGTCGGCACACTCTTTGTCCTTCTCGAGTTTTGGCCCGAGTTTGTCTGTAGCCAGTCGCTCTTCTTCTGCAGAGTAGATCATTGGACTTTGGTCCTCCGGCAGGGCGTTGAAGTTGTACATCAGAGGGCTTTTAAGGTCTATAGTAACACCATTCACCACGTTCCACATGGTTTGAGCGATCACAGCTCGACGGTCTTGCAGGACTGAGTGTTTCAGGTCGTAGTGTGGAGTGAGCTGAATGAATACGCTCTTTTCTTCGCCATGGACGTTGATGAAGGACCTCACCAAGCTGATCTTGGATGCGTCTGGAAGGCCTTCGTGGTCGTAGTCTGGTCCCAAGAGAGCGAGATTGTTGGTGTGGTATCCGTCCGATTTCTCCAGTGTCAGCTGCACATATTTGTCGTTCCCGTCGAATTCCATGAGATCTCGGATCGGTCGCCACTGCTTTGGCTTGATGCAAATATCGACAATTTGGTGATGTACAGGGCTGGGTAGTCGCCTCCGTGGCCCTCGTCGTTTGTGATCATATTCTTGTCAACGCGCTGGAGGAAGGATGTCGTGGTGTGATTATCGTTGAGGCGCATACGCATCAGCGGCGAGCCCATGCCCAGATTGGCGCGCTCCTATTGTCATCGTCAGCAGAAATTGACAACGTCTGGCTCGTTGACAACGTCTGGATCGTTCTGGAGTTGCCTCACTTACCAGTATCGGCACCGTCATATTGGTGGGTTGATAGCCCATTGAGCTCCGGAGCACTTCCTCGTATAATGCCGTGCTCGGAAGAGCCTCGTGCGCCTTCTATTGCTCGATGAGTGCCGGCGGCACGCATTGGACGTAGTGCTCCACACGTCTGTGCTAGCCACCACAGAACAAGGCAACATCCAATGTTTTATCAAGAAGGAGAGGCAGGGCACCGTAACGAGCAAGAACCACTCGTGGATGAGTATCAATGATGCCCACGTGTGCCTTCATGTCGAGATCCGCATCGTCCCAGATCCGGTACAGTGTCGTCTGTGCCGATGCCGCTCGGTGGCTTTTAGACATGTGCTCCCGCACACGTTCGTATATGCTCCGCTTGCGGCCCCGTAAGCGGTGTCCTTGGCGAAGTTACTCTTGTCCTTGAGGTAGATTAGATAGTGGCCAATAACATTCTCCGAGAGCCGCCGGTCCAGTGCATTGGGCAAATGAGCGACTACGGCCTTCGCATCAGCTCTGGCGGCCTTCTGTCGCTCGATGAACTCCTTTTGCGAAAGTCTACTCAACGACCGCGCAACGTCGGCCGCGTAGACCGCTTCTCGTAGCGCATTCCTAGCGAAGCTAACTGGATGGCCGCTGGAGTCGAAGTACTCGGCCAGGTGGAAGGCACGAATGTCCCGCTCACTGTTGGGCTTCTCCAGAATTCCCTCATATTCTTCTTGGAGAAGCGGCAGCAAACTTTGTCCACACGCCAATGCTCTGGACAACGACGGGATTCCTTTGTTCACGGGCGAAAGGTGTCCAAGTTGAACAGTCCAAAATGTGCGTACACTGTTGACGGCGACGTCATGAATTGCCATTGACAGGCGTCGTTTGGACACTTGCGATGTCCGTGTCGCATGAGCCAACAATCGGCTGACTCTTGGTTCAGCTCCTTTCGTGTCTTGGTAGCCAAGTCTGTCTTCAAGCGCTGCGCCTCGTCCGAGTACAGCATTGGCTCCTGGTTCTCGGCAGTGGTCCAGAAGTTGTACACGAGAGAGAGCAGGGGTGTCATTGCCGTGGCCTTCGGAGCCAGGCGCCATGTTCTTGGTGACGCGTGGCAGGTAGCCCGTCGCGCTCTGATCATCACAAAGATACATTCGCATGAGTGGCGAGCCCAGGTATAGGGAACTGCATCTGATCTGCGAGACGATACTCAAGCCTCGGAATCGCCGGAAAGCACACTTCTCTCTGGAGAATCAATAGCTTCGTAGCTCACGAGATGGGCTAAGCGCAGAAATGTGCCATGGAAAACAGTTGGAAATGAGATCGTCATCAGCGTTGGGAGTTCCCTCAGGTCAGACTCTAGTGCTCCGACGAAAAGTCGAAGACTGATGCCCAGACAGAGGCCTCTATTACAGAGACATGAGAGGGGCGGCTGCTTTGGCATCGGCCGCGCGATACCTAGCCTTGCAGTAGAGCATCGAAGGGAAAGAAGACACTAAGCCTGGCGGTAGAACGTTGAAAGAGGACATTAAGCCTTGCAGCAGAGCATCAGTGAAAGAGGTGACCCGGTCGCGTTCATGACGACGGGTGTCGCGGTGTTGTTGTTGTGGTTGGAGGTGCAAGTGCCAAGCACGCACCTTCGCGCTAACTAGCGCGTTTGCAACCAATGCGCGCCTGCTCTTCGGCTTATGTTCTGGAACCACTGTGGAACAGAACTTGACCGACATCATGTCTTGCCGCAAGGCTTGACACATTCCTCCAGTATCTTGCCGCAAGGCTTGATGCGCTTCTACCTCAGTCTCCGGCCGCAAGGCCTGATGCGCTTCTACCTACCTCAGTATCCGGCCGCAAGGCCTGATATGCTTCTCACTCCAGTATCTGGCCGCAAGGCCCGATGCGCATCTTCTCTAGTATCCGGCCGCAAGGCTTGATGCGCTTCTACTCCAGTATCCGGCCGCAAGGCTTGATGCGCTTCTACTTCAGTATCCGGCCGCAAGGCTTGACACCTTAGGTGCCGCTCCGGCGGTGCCCCCTTCTATGTCCTCCTAGAGGACCTCTGGGTGGGCATCAGTACGGTGGGAATCGCCCCGCTGTGCTGGAGTCCGTCCATCTCGGCCTTGAACAACAGCTTTGCCTTGCCGCCCTGTCACGAGGTTCGAGCATTCTGATGTATCATCGCGTCTCGTAGAATCGTTTCTGGTGGAGCTCGTTCCGGCGAGGCGCTCAAGTGGAAGACGGGAGATCTCGACAACGACTGAAGAACAGTGACCATCTGGCGCGGACGAAATGACTCTCCTTGTCGAGGGTTGTTTCCATGGCACCTTGTGTGAGTGGTAAATAGGTCCGCTGCCCGTAGTAGAGCGTTCTGAAGAGCTCAGACGTGGCTCTCATTTCTCTCAAACGTGCTTTCCCTGCTTGAGCTAACGAATGATCGGCCAGACTCCATCGGCTGTAATGCTGTGCTTCTTCCTCCATTGTAGAGGCCTGCAAGGCATATGTTGGACGAGTTGGACATCGAGTTCCATCGAGTTCCAGACTCGATTGGCAGAGGTATCCTTCGGCCAGACTCCTCTAGACAGAGTGGCTATAGTGCTGGGACGCTTAAGCTGTCTGTATAGACATTGTGCTTGTCTACAGTGTACATACGAAGGCATTGGCCACTTCGATAGCGTCTGTTGGGACTGGCCAGTCATCTCTGGACACAAACATGCACTGGTCAGTTCTTCCTCTCTGTCCAGTGTCCGTCAAGCTTAGAGTGGGCCTGGGTCAAAAGCTATCATCATGCAGTGTCTAAATTCCTTTCGTGAACGCCCTCATGATTTGTTCTTCCACAGCAGACTTCATGTTTGCCCGCACAGGTAGCAGAATGCTTGTGAAGGCCCTTGAGTGACCCGGCTGCTTGAGTATCTCTGTTGAGATGGGCATTGTGGCTGTGGTGCGTTATTTCAGCCCTCAGCAAAACACTTCCCATATGTGGCTTCGGTGTGCGGCGAAGCGAAAGCGGGGCTCAAGATCTACGCTGCAAATCGTTGAAACGGGAGATCTTGAGAATGCAGTTGAGGTATAAGACTCTCGAACTCATTTGGAGAGAAAATTCGATATAACTTGGTAAAAGAATAGGACAATGATCTCGTGTCTCGAGCTCACTGAGGTAAAAGAGTACTACTGAGCAAGCTCGAAAAGGTCAAAAAGATGGCCGTCGACTATTACGTCGCGGTGGTAGGACACCAATGGTGATAATGGTCCTGATTTGTTGTTAGTACAAAGTCGAATTTCTACTGGAGACGTTGGTGCTCACCCTAAGGGGGTCGAACCCCTGCAAGTTTGTTAGCAGGACGATCGACTGCAACTGAGATCGGTGAGACAAACTCGGCCTTGGCGTTTTTAGACGTTGCCGTCGTATTAGCACCACGCTCTAACCAACTGAGCTAAGGAACCGTGGTGGTTGATGGCAGCAGAAAATCAATGTCAGATATGAGGCTCCAAAAACTTTCCCGCCCGAGCCGGCTTGGCGTTGACGGAGGATCACGGCGGAAATAGACGCAAATAGCTATGCTGGCCATGATGATATTGCCTTTGCATCCGTTGATCAGATTGCCATCACGGCTAGTTGTGAAAATACATCTCGGAGCAGAAAGAAGGGTTGCTTTTCGATACTGCCAGTTCCGGCATTTCTCCGAGGCTCTTGACTCCACCTTCCATATGGTCGCCCTGTTCATTGACGCAAGTCCACTACGCACTCGGGACCTTCAATGTTCCTACACTGCCAAAACAACGGACTATTATCCAGGATCTAGGCTACTTGCGGACAGCAAAACGGAAACTACAAAATATTCACACTACCTCTCCGCATAATCTTGAACCTGCACCAGCCTGGCTGATTGAGATGCAATGCCTCGAGTGCGCTCGACAAGGCGGAGATACAAGAGAGCCCAGAGGATTCAATGTCTCCAGAGAAGAACATCGAGAGCTCAAAGTCCTAATTTCCGCTCTACTTTTCGGCGATGGTCTACTCGCATAGAAGTTCCCAGCTACGCTGCAACAGGCAGAGATACGAGTATCTGAATATTACGCAGTGTTGATTTTCGATACTTGTTTCGCTTGCCTGTCACAGCTAGGCCTCTATTCTCTTGAACCTTCAACAAACGGGGCCTGCGAGTTTCTGGCCCTCAAGATGTAAAAGATGGAAAACCTCGGTGTGGACAGCACGGCGCACGTTCTCATTCAGATGGCAAGAATTCACCTATCAGATGCTTCACATAGCGATATATTAATGCAACCAGAATCCAGTGTCACAGCGTCCTCACTTCATGTGCTTGTCATTCACGTTCACATGTAAAGAGGCTCAGCAGTTGAACAGACGAGTAGGACAAAAACTGAACAATCAGATCATGGCATCTTCGAACCGACTGCTCATCCTCGATAGATCGGCGGTCTTGATCTATGACAATGGCCTAGGTGCATGCTTCAAGGCAAAGATAAGTCAAGATGTTGGTCGCCATACCCATACTTTTGGCCTTTCTGGCCATCCGCGCGGACTTGGTCCACGCGGCTCCTCGAAAGCTATCCGAAGTCTTCGACGTGAACATGGCAGGTTTCGAGCCGTCGAATGGCAATCCCAATCAAGGCTCCTGGCACGGCTCATGTCTACGTCCTCTCAACAACCCCCAGTTTCCCGGAAACACAAAACCACTCTTCGATCCTGCCGCCGACTTCAACAGTCGCGACAATATCCTCAACAACATCTGGTATCAGATATACCAAATGACCTATCAAGCTCGTGTTGCACTCGGGAACACTAATCTCAAAACTTATCCGGAAGCGCAGAAACTCATATGGTCATTCTGGGCTATCTGGTGGACTGATATTTGGAGCGAGACGAATCCGAATGGATCGGTGCAGCCGCGAGGACAGATTGGGATGAAGTTGAAGGCGATACGAGGTACATGATTCGACCCAAATGTTATCGAAATCAATCTTGACATTAGCGACCAGATCGATACAAGAAGCTACACGAATTGTTCGAGCCTCCGCAGTCAGCGTCGCCAATGAGCAGGCGGGACATGCCCAAGCTCTCTTGCGATTCGACATACTTTGAGTTGCAAGATCGGAATGATCCCGCGCTTGACAAGAACGGAAAAGAGATCATTGATCCTGAAACGGATGAGCCTTACAATCTCAAGGACTGGGAGGCCGAGCATGGTCGAATTTTTGGTATATGCCTGTCATGGCCTCTCACGCGGTTTCATGCTGATTGAGAGCAGAAGATATGTGGTATTTGTGGTACGACATCGGCACCGACGTAAGCATTCCAGCATAGTCTCCGACACAATTCTGCTGACACGGGCACGCAGAAAGGATATCTCGTCCTATCAAGGAAGGACTACCCCCCTGAAGCACCAAACAAGCCATGGCAGTGGGCACTCGACAAAGATACCGGCGAGCCATCATACTGCGCACAAGGAACAGAAAAGGGAACAGAGCGAATGGGTGCTGTCTTCGTTCCCATCGAAGCCTACGAAGCTTCATCCGACTCTGGTAGCTCAGACGAAGACGAAGATCACGGTGCCGATGCCTGGACACAATCGAATCACATCATTTTGTGCCCACAAAGCTTCAACGCTGGGCGGCCAGACGACTTCCTCGAACCAGAATACGATGACTCCACGCTCGATGATATGGAGATCACGGCGCTGACATTGTACCATGAACTCTGGCATCACCTCTATCCAGGTCGATGGGCTCCGGACTATAAGGCTATGCCGGCAGTACGGGATGCCAACAACAAAGTGTCCCCATTGTAAGTTACTTTAGAATCCACTTAGGCGATTAAGACCGCACTGCCTCTTTGGATGTCGCTAACAGAGTACAGATGGCCAGCCCACAAAGCAGGCTACAGAACCGACTACGAGCACGACATCAGCGGTGCGTTAGAAAGCATGCAGCTCGCACAATACGAGCGAGCCATACCCGAGACGTTGAACATCAACGAGTTCAAGACCTGGAGGTGTCCCGAGTGCTATGCTTGGTTTGGACGGGCGTATTACTTGACTGTCAAAGCGGAACAGGATTGGTCAACAGGGTTGCTCAGACCTCACGGGAGTCCTTTCGTGGGTCCGACAGAGAATGCACCAAACGACAAACATGCCGTGGCGAACATTTCTGCACACTCTTTTGGGACGATCGAAGCGCCGTATGAGGGCTGGGATTTCGACAAGGAAGATGAGCTTCTGGAGGATGGTGAAATCTGAGGTGATGGTGCTGTTTGTAATGGACAAGATCGAGGAGAACGGGCTACTGCATCGGGCGCGCTGCGATTCGCATTCATGCGGTCTCACAACAGGCTTCGCAACGTAATTTCTCGCGCCCAATGCTGTTGCTGAGCCCTGCAGTATCTCTTGCATCCGCAGTCCTTCGATCCAAGTACCAGCAATTCCCGTTGCGCCATCCCGACAAGATTTTCCTTCCTTCATGTTCCCGAAACGCCATCAATGCCCGAACTCTGCTCAGCGAGCTCTACTCAAACCTTCCCGCCCGCCTCTTTCCACTTCTTGATCCTCTTCCTCAGATCCCCTTCACTCCTCTGCATATAGTTAATCTTCATATCCCTCGCCATCTTCCCATAATCCTCTCCATACTTCCTCACCAACTCTTCAATAAACTGCACCTCTCCCTCCGGTTGTCGTCTCTTATGCTTCGCCGCGGGTCTTGAAGCCTGTTCCTCCAGCGCTCTCACAGTATCTGTTTTCGCAGGAACAGAACCCTTCGTGCCCGTATTCGCATGCTGATTGCGGAGGTTGAAAACCTGGTCTTCCGGCGCTTCCTCCTCCTCACTATCGCTATCGAATTCGGCGAGAGGGTCGTTCAACGGATTCTGTTTAGGTAAGTCCTGTTCGATGATGCGGAGAATGGCGCCAGTCTCGGGATCACGTTCGATTTTGGCTTCGGCGAGGTCGATTTGTTGTTTCTTTCGCGAACTGGTGCTCGTGATATTCAGAGGGTCGATTTCGTCTATTCCCTGCCACTCTTCCTCATCGCCTCCTGATTGGCGTTGCTTGAGGTCGGACAATTTCTTTTCTGTGCCTCCAGTGGATTTGTTGAGCTTCACAGCCAGACCCAGCTTTTTGTAGTTTTGCGCGAGTGTGAGAGATTTGTCCCAGTTGGCGGCGATAATGGGGTTGTTCAGGACGCGCTTCTTCGATTTTGGCTTTTGGCGGACTTTGGATACGCCCGAGCGGTTTTTGCGTTTCTGCAATTCTCGACCCATGATTGCTGTGGTTGATGTGATTGAGCTTCGAACTGCAAGTGCGCAGTTGAAGATTTCTGGAGTAGCGAGACAGGGTCCGCAGACTCGGCTCGCGGCGGAACCTCGTGTCGAGGCTGCGATAGCCTCCTTATCGCAACGACTCCCGAATTACGGAGCTGTGTCTTCGCTCACTGGGGACACGAGGCATTGAGACATCCAGTCAACCTAAGATGGCCAGAAGAAGCTACAGAAACGTTGCTCTCGCCATTGTGGCATTGCTGGCATATACTGTCTATGCTGAGGTCACACGAGAGAAAGCCATCGATGTCTCAGCATTGAGCACGCAAGAAATTGAAGAGCAGCTCCAGGTCAGCCCTTGTCACCAAATGAACTCTGCAGCAATCAGTCACTCATTCATGTACAGCAATGCTCTGTAATCCAGCAAATTACCGCTCACAATGCTGAGCACCATCCGCCGACTTCGTCATGGCTCTCGAGAGCCTTCGCCGTCCTCTTTCCATTCGAATCCCCCGCCTTGAACGCCCTTATGGGAACGCTCTACATCTCCGGTCCACCAAATTTCTTGCTAGCACTATGCCCACCGAACATCGACCCGTCAAGCTTGAACATCATGGTAGCATTCGCAGTAGGAGGTCTGCTGGGTGACACCCTCTTTCACCTGCTCCCAGAGATCTTCTTGGGTGAGGTGCCAGAGGGAGAAGTTCGAGCTGTCCTAGTCGAGCCAAATAAGAATCTTCTTCTCGGTGTGGCAATCATGGTCGGCTTCGTCACTTTCGTGGGTATGGATAAGGGACTGCGAATTGCTACAGGCGGAGCAGGTCATACCCACGACCACTCCAGCCACAACCACGAACAAAGTAACGGACAAGCTGTAGCAAGCGCAACAGGGGTCGCAAAGCCCAACGAAAAGGAACTCAAGAAGCGAGGCGGCAATCGAGACAAATCACTCGCAGCAGCGCCGAAGGAAGATGCTCCGAAGAAGGAAGTCAAGCTCTCCGCCTACCTCAACATCATCGCCGACTTTACACACAACATAACCGACGGCCTTGCCATGTCTAGTTCATTCTACGCGAGCCCTACCATCGGAGCAACCACCACTCTTGCTGTCTTCTGTCACGAGATCCCGCACGAAGTTGGTGACTTTGCACTCCTGATTCAGGGCGGAATGAGCAAGAAACTTGCCATGGGCCTCCAATTCGTCACAGCATTGGGTGCAGTCCTCGGGACATTAATTGGAATCGCAGTCCAAGAATGTGGCGGCAATGCTGCTTCTGTTGTTCACGAAGCTGGTGTGGGCAACACAGGACTCTGGGGCACCAGTCTGCAGTGGGGAGACATGTTGCTACCATTCACCGCAGGGACATTTTTGTATGTGGGCACTGTAGGTGTGATTCCTGAGATGCTGGAGACGGGGCCAAATGTTGGCAAAGAGTTGAGGACAACGGCGTTGCAGTTTTTGGCCATGGCCGCGGGGGCGGGTATCATGTTGGGGATCTCGTGGGACTAAGTGGAAGTGGGTTGAAGTTGTGAAGAGAAAAGTGGGGGTTTGCAATATATCTAGAACAGTGATCTTGGCGATCAGTAGCCCTCTTTGGACATCGTCGAGCAATTCATCCTTATTGAGAAAGAGCTTATGGTGTTGAAGGCTTTCGCAGGCGAGTCCAAGCAACGGTAAAGATCGCCAGAGCGACCACTAAGTGAAGTAGATGAGATCGTAGCTGAACAACAGAAGCCACCGTTGTTGCGGGAGGCTGCTCTCTTGTCTGCCGGCGGTGCACACATCCAGACGAGTACTCTCGTCTTCACCTCCTGCAAGTGTACGCCACCAATTGTTGGAACTGGCATTTGCCTTCATGGCATTCGCACGCCTCGCATTTCCCGCCAAGTTGGGATGATGAGTTCTACGGCTAAATCTCAGATGAGTGATCCAATGTCGATATACCTGATGCGCGACTCAGTCAATACGGACCTAGCCTTAACATATCTTGGTTGGTGCTCGCGCAAAAGAGAAACGATCGTGTATATGGTTGTAGGTGCAAGGCGAGCCCTTGGCATTCGGCAATTGTTGTTATAGGATCCTAGTTCAATCGTTCCGGGCTTCGGCAGCCACGCACGAAACTCTGGGCATATTGTTCTCTTTTGGGGTAATGTACACGAAACTTTGCGAGGAAACTCCCCGCACGGAGGTTGAAGGGGATCGAAAATGTTGCGAATGCGTACTGTGCCGACGACCACGTATTGAGAAGTGGAGTCTTGAGTGCTGGTCGAAGTTACACGGACCTGGATTGGTTGTCCATCGTGCTGGCGCAATATTGGATTGCAAGATCCAGTGCGTCGGAAGGTGTTTTCTGCCTCCTCTAGCGCGGACATCGCTGGTGAGTTGGACCTCGACAGCAGTGCAATGCATGAACAAGGACTACATTGGGTTAGTGACTTTAGTTAGTGTCTTTCCCATCACCTGCAATTGCTGCGATCTTGGTCAACGAGTGATGTTGAGATTGCCGTAAGCATGAAACGCATCCATATTTTCCGTCCTGTGCCTCAATTTCCCTTATGGAAGTTTGTGACAAGGGACGACGGGCAGATTCTGACCGGGAGATGCAGGTCTGTCAAACCGGTACAGTTCACCGCAGCCGTTGGCAAGTTCTGTGATGTGCGTGCCCTCCGCAAACATGCAGACAATGTGATGAGGACAACATCCAGAAGTGATCTAAAGTGATCTACAGTGGTGAGAACCGAATTGAAGACTGGGGCACCCTGGTCGATACGCCGATAAAACCGCTCTCCATTAGTCGCTGTTATTGGCCACTCGAAGCTACCCTAAAGGGCGTCGATCAGAGTCTATAGGGTGTTAGCTTAACTGAATTTGGAAGCTGGCATCTGCCTCTTACTCTTCATAAGTAAGAACAGCTAGCGTGCTGGAAGACAAGGGTGCCCCAGTCTTCAATTCGGCTCTCACCACTGTAGAAGGACCACATTGCCGATTCCGATGAAGTTCAAACTGGCGCGCAGACGGACGTTGGTTGGTGTTGGTGACCGAGAGCTTAAAGGCGGCAGCAGCAAATCACACCGGGCGATGATGAAGGAGGCCACGCGCTAGCGCTGCAAGCTGTGCGGCGGAGGCAGCGTCCTTGTTCCTGCAGATCCCCTGCGTGAGACATTGGACCGCATTCGCACAGGGCGGCAACAGGCCTGGCGCGCGTGGTCGGTCTCGGAGCAGCCAGCAGGGAGGATTTGATGCGCTGGGGATGGGAGTGCAATGACTTCCCTGCCAGAGCCGCATGAGGGAGCGCCCTTTTGAGAAGCTAACTACTGCTCCTGCCGCCGGCCGCCACACAAACGGGCACTGGAGCACGCGCGGGCGACATGAATTGTTTGGCTCTGATGACGACGGCCTCCAGCTGAGATCCTTGCTAGCCCTCCGCCGACACTCGTCTGAGTTGCGGGAGCTGAGAGCGACGCCGCCCACTGCATGCGCGGTCGCTGCTGGGTCCAGTCGCCTGCAGCTGGTCGCCTGTCGTGCACCTCCTCTGCGGAAGGCTATTGGGGCTGCAGACTGGCGGCACGGCCATAATATACGACTTCAAGACATAAGCGCACGCCCTGCCCGCCATGTCTGGCCCGCTGCCTCCAGTGCAGACGCGCTGGCTGCCCGACGATGAGAAGCCGCTGCCTCAGCTCCCGAGTCCGACGTTGAGCAACATCGATATGGTGCTGCCCATCCACAGCAATGGGGGGGCCGCCGTTACGTCCCCACCACGCGCGATGCAACGCCCACCGAGTCCGAGCTACTTGCGCGACACGAATCAGGAGCACAACTACCGTGCGGGGGCCATGGGCAAGAAAGAAAAGTTGGGCTTGATGAGTCGCAAGATGATGCTGCTCAGGAGTCGGACAGGCAGCAACGGAGGCGTGGTTCGTGCTGCTTCGTCGCAGTCGCAGACATCAATCGATTTCGTGCCCTCGTCACCCGTGCTGCAGGATGTGGGCAACCTCGCACCCGAGCAATCGGGAGCGGAATTCCTGCAGCTGCCCGAGAAGGAGCGACGCAGAGCCAGCGGTAGTTCATCCAGCGGCCTCTCTGGCATGACGGCATTCCTCGAAAAGTATGGAAAGGCCAGCGACGAGGATACGCTGTACGACAGCAGCGAGCATGTCACTCCCGCGAGGACCGACAGACGGACGAGCGTCGATGTGGGGGGCAGACCCAGCTTGGAGGAAGACCCAGAGGAAATGAGGCGACGGCAACAACAGGAAGAGTACGAGTCGGCCATTCTGAGCAAGCGGGCGGAGGAGATTCTTGCCAATGCCAAAAAGCGACTCAATGTCATGGAGGGCAACTTGCGGGGCGCTCGAGACCTCGTGCAGCCATTGACTGCTGCCAATCTGAAGCGAGCCACTTCAATGTCGGGGGCAATATACGGCAATGGGCGGACGCTGCGGTACGACTACGATGATGAACAGACCCAGTCTTCACCACGCAGACTGCACAGCCAACACTCTTCACCGCAGATGAACCACGACTACCAAAATTCTGACCGCACTGGGGCTGCTCCGCTACCAGATCGACCTTACACATCCTTGGATATTCGACCACAATATATGGCAACACCCCCAATGAACCTACGGAATCCGCTTCGATCTGCCCAACAGACGCACGAACGCAATTTGCGTTCTACTCGGAGTCACGATCAGCTCATGACTAACGGTAGCTACAGCGCTGGTCGATCCTTCTACAGTGGGCCATCTCCAATCCCGGACCACCTTGAGCCCTTGACCGAGGACGAAGAGCGACACGTGCAGCAAACGATCTCGCATACACCTTCTTCTAGTATAAATAATGGCCTTGGCATATATCGACCATCTTCTCGGACTTCAGAACTGCGAGACCAAATGTCGAGCTTGAAAGGGAAAATATCTACGCTTAAAGAGCGCGCTCGCGAAGACAGCCTTCGACGAAACAGTCAATCGAATCTCCGACATCAATCTCCGTTCAACAATGCAGCGACTACGCCTCCAGAGATGTTCTATACACCTCCGGCGACAGATTACCCCATTAACCAACATGCTAGTGCAGGCAACAGTCCCGCCTTGCAGACATTCGACACCTTCACCGGGAGCCGCAACGCCTTTGCTGAACAAGAATACGAACGCGCGAGACGGCGGAAACGAGCGACCAGCAAGACGATCGAAAGCAAGACTCACATACCGTTACAACTGCAAGGTCATCGAAGAACCGCCAGCGGAACTGCCATCGTAGAATCAGCAAAGAATCGCTATTCTCACCACCAGCACAACAACAGCAGCAGCAGTCAAGTGAGTCAGAATGGTGGAATGGTGATAGATCTACCCTCGGCACATATGGTCGAGCACGAGTATCTGCAGGTTCCGCAACCAAATTCCTCAAGTGACGAGAGTCCACAGTCTTCATCCGACGAAGCATTTCCACGATCGGATGAGGAATACGAGCAATACGAGCCTTCGGAAGCGGACGCGAGTGTCTACGAAGACGCAAAGGAGCAGATGAATGTCGTCGCACATGAAGACCGCGAAGATGCGTTTGACTATGAACACTTCTTCCTTCATAGCGCGATGGGCAACTATAGCACTGATCGAAGAGACTCCCAGTCCAGTGTGGAGTCAGAAGATTCGGTCGAGACGGCAAGAGGTCCTGCATTGGTAGGATATGATGAAGATGACGAGTTTGATCAAATGGCTGGCGATCTACCACCGACTCCGCAAACGCCGGAGAGATTGAGAGAAATTGAGCGAAACCTACACAAACGATCACGCTCGACGGGAAGTGCGACTACCATGCACACCTTCGCAACTGCACATGAGGAGGCGCAAGATGATGACGAGGAGGGAGATGAATATGAGGAGGACGAAGAAGCACCAGAGGAGCCCGGAACGGAGCCAGTATCACCGATGGAGGAGCCCGTGCAGTACAATGGCACCTACTCGTCAGGACAGCGCTCGGTCTCACCACTCGAACCACCCGTCGAGCACCATCCAAGAACACACGTCAGAGCAGAATCGTACACCCCACAAGCCTCGCACGCAACATACCACACCGCCGGCAGATATCAACGAAATGTGCAGTCAGCCCAAGCGATTGTTCATCCCGACACCTTATCCGAACGTGCAGACTCGGGTGTGAGTATTACAAGCCGCAACGACCACCGACGCCAGCAACCGCCTACTTCCATGTTCTACAAACATGGTGGCAAACTTTCCAATGCAAGCGCGATCAGCACACCGCCATTGTCTCCTCACGACGCGCTGACCAAGATGGATCCCACGACGATTGCGGTGCAGGCGTTGCTTGACCCGAACGGCAGACAGCTCGGCTTGAGGAATAAAGCTGTCTTGTTCGGCGTGGTAGAGAGTCTCCGCAAGATTGTTCGACAAATGCAAGAAGAAGACGATGCTACTTTTGCAAGTCGGATGTTGCGCAACACACTTGATGAGGCGAAGAGGACATTGGATGGCTTATGAGGATGAGGAAGACGGAGAATGCGCCGACCTGACGAGGTTTGTTGTGCTCTGCAGGTGGCGTCGACGCATGCCATTCTTTCTTACCTTTCGCATTTCTCGCATTTCTCCCAACATCTGGAGACTTCGGCTCTTCTGCATCAGCGTTCGAGCGGATTCGATCTTTTGCCTCATGAGAGACACCTTCACTTTTTTCGCGATTTGATTTTGGATTTGGATTGGAATATACCCCTGAACGATAACTAACTTATCGGATGCGTTTGCGGAGAGGGCTGCAAATATAAAATAGTGTCTATATACATAGCTGTCTGACATCAAATGTATAATTACTTGCTTTGTATGACACATCTCGACGGGATTCGATGATTTTGGGGCTGAGCCGCTTCGACAGCATCAGAAGCTCACGTCTGCATTTCCTAGAGAGGTTCGATGCAAGAAGATTCTATCGGATTACAGCGTACAGAGCAGTATCTGATATGTGCTAGGTCTATGGACAGTGGCAATGGGCCTTGTTGGAAGTGAATTCGAGCTTTGTCACATGCTTCTGATGATTCACTCTTCGCCTAGGGTTAGGGTTGCATCGTCGAATGAGGACGACGGGAATCGGTGCCAGCGAGAGTGACCAGACACGACGTCAATTCAAACATCTCTACACGTCTATTCGGTTGCTTGTTCGTTGAACAAAATGCCATAGAGGTCACAGATCCCATTCAATTGTCTGCTGACGGCACAGGAAAGCAAACAAGTCGGAAGCCTCGAACATATTCATTGGAAACTCACGCATTTCAAGAGGCCAAGGGGCACGACCAATGCCTACGACACAGACATGACAATGTTGCAACGACCATGTCGCTGCACTGCAGCATGAATGTAAGTGCGGTAGACGGGACAGAGTACAGCACCGTTCCCCATCCGCAGACAGAGCGAATGTAAGCATACTTCACTTTCAGATGACCATGTGCCAAAGACATTCTCACAAAGCACGAACCAGCACAACAGAAAGCAGCAGCAGCGTCGATAGTAAAATTTCATCGTTAACACACTGTCTGAATGTCTTTTTCAGAAAAGATTCTCATTGACCAAAAAACAATTTCCCATTCCCATGCCTCATGATGACGAGCCGACCGGTACGAAAACCCATTCCTGCAAAAAAGAACCACCAACGCCTCGCCAGAACAGAGATGCACATCGTCTTGTCGTCTTCGCCTCGGAGACGCTTTTATCACACATCAACAACAACAATGGGCCGGGGGTGACCGGCGCTCAAAAAGGAGACAATCAATCGTTCGTAAGATTGCGGCTGTCGGTTCATGAAGCTTTGTGCCCTCGTACAGTTCCCACACTTCCAACACGACCACTGGTTTTCCGCACTGCACTCTTGCTTTCTGTGCTGCGGCGGACAGGTGAAGAGCGCTTGCCCACGCTGAGTGTGCCGACTCCACTGCCACTCCGAGCGGGTGTTCGCGGTGGCTTGCTGGGACTCGTGACTCCGGTCAACTCGTCGCCAGATCCAGGGCGATTCTCGCCATCGCTCGTGTCGGAAGGCGCTTCCCACTTTGTCGTTGTGGTTGTCGTAGTGGTACAAGAGACGGCTCTTCGCTTTGCGCTGCTGCGATTCGCCGGGGAGTGGCTAGCCTTGCGGGACAGCATTCGAAGTGCGTACTCCTCTTCGGTCTCGTTAGATCCTCGTGTCCGGCTCGTGCTGACAGATTCTGATTCTGCTTTGAGATTCAAAGGCTGGTTCTCGGTCATGATTCTACGACCACCGTAAACCTTGTTCGTCTTTCGAGGCTGCCCTGGAGTTGGTGCTGGCAGGTTCTCGTCTGCTACGCCAACACTGCTTTTCATGTGATCGGTGTAGGCTGATGCGGGAGCTCCCTCGTTGTTGGTGATTTCGCCCAGTGCCCTGCGTGGGCTCGTCTGATGGCGGTCAGCATTCGGAGGTGTGAAAGTCTGGCCATTGCTGGCAAGTCTTCGGCTGTTCGATTGCTGTAATCTTGTGGGAGTCGCTGGCTGCATCGAAGCCATAATCTTCTCGCGCATACTGTCCTCGAACCACCATTCTCGGAAAGTGCCTTGGTTCAAGTGGAGCCAGTGCTGTTGAGGACCAACGACCATACCGGGTCGCATGAAACGCATGAATGCTATTACTTCGTTTGCTGTGAAGCCATATCGGTAGATCAGGTATGCGCCGATCAGGCAGCCGGTACGGCCGAGACCAGCTTTGCAATGCACTGCAATACCCTTGCCCTTTTCGTTGATCATTTGGTGCGCAAGACTGATGAACTTCTTGACCAGGTTCAGCGGCGGGCAAGTTCCGTCGTCAAAGATCATGTCGAGGTGCTTGATTCCGAGCGCAGTGAAATAGCTGGGCGAGTACAGCTCCGAGTTGAGTCGTACCACGAGCCCGATGCCGCGCTCCGCGAAGTGGGTGAGCACATTCTTGAATGGCGTTGGAAGAGTCGGATCGCGTTTCACTGCCGACACTGATCGCGGAAGCTGAGCGTACAGAGGCTCGCTGGGCTGGAAGATATGTGTGGGCTGATGTTGTGGTGATGCGAAGGCGAGGAAGTCAGGTGAAACCCAGTTGAAATCACCCATGTCGACTCGCTCGTACTTCTCATACTCTTCCAAGCTGAATTCCTTCAGGCCCACGAGATTCTCTTCCTTCGCTTTCCAGACACCATAGACAATATCCTGGATGGTGAGCGAGTAGTCGGCCTGGCTGTATCCTGCATCGCGGAATGGCATGCATGGAGGGTCCATTTGCGCAATGGGCGCAAGCGCGAGATGTGGAGGCCAGTTCTGGATCAGGACCATGTAAGTTGCAAGGATGCATGCCGCATTGGCACGACCTATGCATTGATCAGCATACGGCCTCTCGCTCATCACGTTTTTCAACACTCACTTCTCGAATCAGCGTGACTCCAGAATACCACGGGTCGATTCTCGTTGTCGGGGTGTCCAAGCACTTCGTGAAGCTGAACGGCAAAGCGGTACAGATGACCGATGTGGAGCGGGCCAAAGTCGGCGTGGAAGGCATTGTAGAGCAGCGTGTGGTCGATGGAGAAGTAGAATGGCGGGTGCTGCGGGGAGGCTGCAGCAGACTGTGGCCCTGCTTGTGCTCGTGATGATCTGGACTTGTGTGGCGACCGGCTCTGTTTTGCTGGGTATGGAAACGGCGTGCTCTCGTCGGGCGTGTGCGTGTATGATGCGAGGTACAGACGATCTGTGAAGAGCAGCGCGGACATGTTAGCGATATGCATTTCGATGCAACGAGAGTGGGCGTAGCATCGGATGAGAGCGTACCTTGGATGTATTCAATCACCTGCCCGAACGAAGTCACGGCAGCCGCTTCCTGGACGCTGGAGCGAGACTGGTGCGGCATGGCTGCTGTGGTGAGGAAGTCGCGTGGTGGTCCGTCGCGCCTTCTTCGCGGCAGTCGCTACCAGACTGTTATCGATGCGCCTGGTCGTCGAGCTGCAGGCACGCGAGCAATGGGCGGGAGCGTGGGTGCGGCGGTGGTGGTGGTAGCAATGCGGGAGCAGAAAGGGTGGTGAGTCGAGCAATCGCCGCAGCAGCGCACAGCCTTCTCCCGAGCAAGCAGCAAAGACTATCGTGACGACGGGCGCATGGGGGAGGAGTGGTGGTGGTGTGGTGTTGGTGGGCGATGTTGTGGTGGAATGGCCTTATGGTTGTCCAGCAGCTTGTTATGAGAGGTCTGTGCCCGGTGCTTGATGTCAAAACATCCTCCACCCAGCAACGCTTCGCTTCGCTTCCACCTTCCCGCGGCACGCCTGTGCACGTGCAGGCACCGTTTTCGCGTTGCACCCCCATCACTCAAACATCATCCGCTGCACGCTGCAACGCCTTCGATTGTGCCTTGATTTTAGACACTCTCCTGCCGCCAGCCTACTCTTCTTTCTCTTTCCCGTACACTCACTCCACTGCCCCGTCAAGTGGTTTCGGGAGTCCGCAGACCGTCTCTCCGCCCCCTCCCACCCCTGTCCCACACGTGTGGCAACCACCGCTAGCACCCGACTAGTTAGTTTGGTCGTGAAGACAACAAGGGTCAAGCGTCCTCGCACAGCATCTGTCAAGACATTTGCTGGCTCCAGTCACCTCATCTCGCGCGATAAAGCAGCACAAGTGCACGTGCATCCACCATGCTGATACGCCGTGGCAAAGCAGAAGGCTGGCTCCAGCTCGATACCAAAGCTCTCAAGACATGGGCTGAGGCCAGTGGTATCACATTCAAGAACGCCTCGCCGACTGCTGTGCCAGGGCGTGGGACGGGCTTGCTCGCGGACAGAGACCTCAAGACTGAGTCATCACTTCCGACAGAAATTTTGACCATTGACGAGGAACTCGTGCTCTCTGGTGAGGCTGTCAGACGACATGCACAATTCGACAAGGACTTCAGAGAAGTGCTTGAGAGCTTAGGTGATTTCGGAAGAGTAGGTGCATCTCGTTTCCCTCGTGCATTTCCTGTATCGATGACCTAGCGCAGCGCAATCTTATGGGTCATGCGGTATGTCTGCGGTGTGAGTCGTTCGAATATCAGCAGCGGATGCTGATGTTCGAGTGCAGACGCCTCGAGGTGCTATCCTGTCTTTCCTTCTTTTCCAAGCTTCTCTCTCCTGTCCTCATCTTGAAGAGCGTGTTGGCGTGCATTGTGCTTTCACAGAGTGAGTCCCCATTCGAAGCATACTCTTCTTTGAGCACACCTTTTCTTGGAGCACCTCGAATCTTGCGTAGCGAACTGAGCCATACTCGAACCAACTTCCAGCCCTATCAAACAAAAAAGTAGTTGCACCCGCAATTTGTGGCTGACACATATTAGCTACGTAAAATCACTACCTAGCGAACTCCTCCCGACCTTTTGGACTCCGGATGAGCTCCAATTGCTGATTGGCACAACTCTCGCTCCCGCAGTATCATCGAAGCTCAAATCGCTTCACCGGGAGTATGACTTACTATGTGAAGCAGCGTCAAACACTCGTTGGTATAATATCGTGTCGCCTCATCTCTCCTTCGATGACTGGCTACAAGTCGACGCGATGTTTCGCTCCCGAGCACTGGACTTTTACGGCTCTTGCATGATTCCCGGCATGGACCTTGCTAGCCACGCCGCTCACGAGAGAACAAACGCCTTCTATGATCGAGCAGATGGGAAGTATCACCTGTACCTGATGAAAGATAAGGAGCTTAAGGCTGGCGAAGAAGTGTGTATCACATATGGGGATGAGAAAGGGGCATGTGAGAGTGAGTTCTTCATAACTAACTATTTGAAGAGGATACGGACGTGCTAAACGTAACGTTCCACCTATAGTGCTCTTCTCCTACGGCTTCCTCGACGATCACATGGACACAGCAGAGACCTTATTCCTCAGCCTGAACATCCCCGAAGATGACATCTCTCGATCCGCAAAGATGAAGATCGCCAATTGTGCTCCCGGCTTCAAGCTCATCGACATCTCATCATCATTCGCCCCAAACATCAACGATCCCGCAAATTCCACACAAGACCTAAATGAAGACGACCCATCATCCTCAGGCACAATAGACTGGACCGGCGACTTCATCTATCTCCTCTGCGTGACCCCCTCCGACGGCCTCGAATTTCAGCTCGCCCAAACCATCGACACGACTTCCGAGCCCGAGCTCCAGGCCACCTTCAACGGAACCGAACTTCCCGAAGGCGCCATCTCGCTACGCCGTCTCCTCGCAGCAAGCGACAAGTGGGACGTCTACTGTCTCCGCGCAATCGTGATCCTGCAGCAAAGAGTCTTTGAGCAGATGCAAGTCCTCTACAGCTCGCAAGAGGATATGGAGAGTGTACCGCACGGCGAGGGAACGGACGTAAGAGATGTGTGTTATGAGCAAGCGATGAAATTGAGACGATTGGAATTTGAGCTTTTGGAGAAGGCCTACGAGGATTTTGAGAAGCAGGTGAGTTCAAGAGAGGATCTTGCAGGAGAGTGGCACATTCTAACAAACGTGAAAACAGAAAATTGAATTGGCAGAAACGCCAGCTGTCAAGAAATTTTTGGCCGAGGTGAATGGGAATGTCGGGGCAGAGGACGACGCGATAGGTTCGTCAGAGTCAGTTCCAGTCGAAGAATTTGCTTGAGAAAAAGCGCGCTTCGACAGAACGGATACGTGTATGCACCAACGAGCGTGATACTCTCAAATCAGTCCAGTCCGTCGTCGATAGTCCACCGCTAGTTGCATCTTCACCTCCTCACGACCGTCCATTCTTCCAAATTGACAACGGTCATCGAGCATGCTTATCGAGACGGGTGTTTCACAGATCCGCCATGGCGAAGCGCTCATCTCGAACCAACCTGAAGATGTGGATGCTGAACCCGGATATTTCAGGAAAGCTTTGCGCCAAATCTGGCAAGTAGCGTCTAGGGCCCAGCGGAAGTTTGCATAAGAGAGCTGCCGCGCGCAAACGGAAACGGGTGTGGACGAGTGGTAAGAATCCTTCTAGGGCTGTCGGTCTGCTTTGAGTGTTTTAGTACTGATAGCTTGTGCAGTTTGCAGCTTCTTCGTTGCGTCGCTGCAGCGCCTTGCAGGAAGGCACCTGCAGCTTGCTAGTGGCCATTAAAGCATGGAGGCTGGAAGCTGTATTGTTTGAGGCGTTGCTGTACAGATGGTAGGGGCTGTACCCCGCGATCTGCTTCAGAGGAGGAGTTTGGCCTCTGTGTCTTGCGGACTTCTCATCGAGCCGGAGGAGTAGCGGTCAGTGCTGCATGCAATCCTGGAGAGCGTCGACTTTGAATTGCAAGCCGTTTGGCATATCATCCCTGCCAGTTCGCTTCGTGCTTCGCATGCTGCATCTGGTACCAAAAAGAGCGGCAACAAAGCCACAGAAATTAATCGAGCCGTGTAGCAGTTAGCGAGGCGTGAGCTGGTCAAAGGATCTAGACAGGTCTGCTTGACGACCAGGTTGTTGGCGCCTTTCAAAGAGCACCAGAGCGCGGTCCCAGGCATGTCGTTATGTCGTTGAAAGCACATGGAGGAGTCGATGCAGTCGGGGATACATCCCGTCCAGTTGGGAACCAATGGAGCGAGCTCCGATTGTTGAAACGGTTCTCCCGTTCCCCACAAATGCGCACGTTGGGGACCACTTCTCCAGAATCCAGGGACATTAGACCGTGTGAACGTGCATGTTGCGCCAATTCTTCCTCGTCCTTATTGCAGGGCAGTCGTGGTCTATACGAGAGGAGCAACTCCACGTCAGGGAAACAAGGGTGCTTCTACCAAGCCTAAGATGGCATTTGCCGAACCGCATTGTATGCTGCTCTTGCCTCTGCATCGTCTGCTAGGTCAGATTCTACGCGGCGGCCGAGATTGACACATCCTGTCCTCTGTACACCTGCAGTTGCCGTGGTAGTGTAAAGGCAGACAGCAATGTGCCTTTACAGTCGATGAACAGAATGACAGCATACGCAATGCCATGAAGTCACGTCGCGTGAGACAAGACAACCGTAGCATGAACTGACGAATCAGCGTAGTAGTCAACTACGATATGGCTTTGCGCCCCGCTCGTTGTACGGCTCGAGCCAGCCCCGACTGCTTAGGCTCGTAGCCAGAGTTCCAGCTCATCTCGCGATCCAAATGAAGTCACAGCTCGACGCGGAACAGCAGAGGACTGTCGTCGATGTGGTTCTGCTTACGCTTGTTGAGACGCCGATGTTTAGCAGCGCGACTTTGCGCCTGAAGGAAGCATCCGGCACCACCAAGCGACTGGGTGGGCCGGATAGTGCTGCCAACCTGCCATAGAGCGTCGTTCTCAAGGATCGGGACTTTCGGTCGTCTGGAAAGTTCAGGGCTTGCCATTCGCCATGCCTGCGCTACCCTTGGCTGATCTCCCCACAACCGACAGCATAATCGAAGCCAACAGCCGCTCATCACCCAATCACGTAGCTGGAAAGTGCAGCTAGAGGAGCTGTTTCGAGAACCGACTCCGCAAAATGATCGTGTGAGGTGCCTCGTGCAGCAAGTCCGTCCCCATGCATTCCCTAGACAAGACGACGTTGTGCTTGCGTCGTGCTGCCGCTCGCGCCATACGCTTTTTCGCTTGACCACTTTCCCGTCTTACACTGTCATTAACATTGACTCCATCTCGAAGGGCTTGGGAGGTCGAAAAGCAATGCTTTGGCTCGCATTAGACTCTGGTCTCAGCACTGCATGCGCGTGACGACGCATCCCTCGGATTTTCCCCACTTGTTTGGAGCACCAGCGTATCCGGCTGCGGCCTTTACCACCCTACTGCACTTTATTCTTTTCCCAGCCCGGTCGAGGAGGTAATCTAGGCGGTGGACTGCTGCCTCCACACTCTCGCCCATCATGCCAGGCATTCTCCCAATGAAGGTGATCAAGGTTGGCTTGAACGCGCAGACGAGGATAGCACAAGCTTGCGACAGGTAGGCAGCGCCGTTGACACCACTCGACACCCCTTCTGAGCCACGTTCTTACAAGCGCAGATGTCGAAGCAAGAAGATCCGCTGCGATGGTATCCGGCCGTGCTGCTCGCAGTGCGCCAACGTTGGATTCGAGTGCAAGACGAGCGACAAGCTGAGTAGGAGAGCGTTTCCGCGAGGATATACGGAGTCATTGGAAGAGAGAGTGCGTGGTTTGGAGCAGGAAGTCAGGGAGCTGAAGGATCTACTGGACGAGAAGGATGAGAAGATTGATATGCTGTCGCGGCTGCACTCGCAGTCGTCACATCAGTTGCAGCTGCCGTCACCGCAAAGACCGCAGTCAGCAACGACGGAAGCAACTCCGGTCGCGAAGATCGATTCGCCACCCAAGGACGATATTTTCCAGGTCCAACAATCACCTTACCTATTGGACGATGAGCGATCGGATTCATACTTTGCTGGGACTTCCAGCGGGAGGACTTTCATCGAAGCGTTCAAACATCGCGTCCAGGAAACCGGCCGCTCGACACACGACATTGACGTGTCGCTGTTACTGGCGAGCAGCGTGCCCAAGACTTCAGACGTCAACTCTCCTGCATCGACAGTCAGCTTCAAGGCACCCGCTCGCATGGTATCGGATCAAATGATCAACATCTTCTTCCAAGAATGGGCGCCACTATTTCCTGTGCTACACCGACCCACATTCTTGACACTGTACGGACGTTATGTCGCAGATCCAGATGATGTGACCGACAAGGCTGAGATCGCTCAGCTCAATCTAGTGTTTGGCATTGCTGCGCTGTCAACGGGCACTCGGTCGTCACCGGATCTGGACAACTTCGAAGCGCAATGGAAAGCTGCTCTCGACGGGATCATCCAAGACAATACGATGGCCACATTACAGGCCTTGATTCTTGCACAATTATACTGCGTACAGAAAGGAGACCTGACTCGCGTACTAACATACAAAGGTCTCTCGACTGTGTTGTGTGCTCGACTTGGTCTACACCAGTCTCAGAAGCGATTCGCTCTAGGCACGTTGACCTGCGAGACGAGGAAGAAGGTGTTTTGGACACTGTACACCATCGACAGTTTCACTGCCGTGCTTCTCGGACTGCCGAAACAACTGAAGGACGACGATGCTCACTGTGAGATGCCCGTGGACGCCGATGATGAATACGTTACCGAACGTGGCTTCCAACCAACTTTACCTGGAGAGTCCACCAAGGTTTCAAGCGCTTTGGCACTCTTCCAAGCTTCGCGAATTCTCTCCAAAGTTCTCGAGGAGGTCTTTCCCGCAAAGACTTCGTACGAACTCTCATTGAAGAAACTCTCCGAGCTGTCGGATGAGCTGGAGAACTGGAGCGCACAGCTCCCACAGCATCTCCGCCTTCAATTTGCCCAAGATAAGCCCAGCACGGGCACGATTAGCAGTCGCTCACCACTGTTGTCGTTGACCTACCACTACATCCGGTCATTGATCCAGCGCCCGGTCATCGGCGCTTCGCTTGGTGCACGATCTCAATCGTCTATGCTTACCATGGCTAGCTCATGCAAGCATATGATCCAGATTGTCCAGTTGCTGGATGAGAGAGGTCTTGGCTTTTCCTTTTGCCTTAATCGTGACGAGTTGTTGGTCATCTCCGGATTCGGACTTCTCTTCCAAGGACTGGGACTTGAAACGAATTCGAAAATCCTCAAAGACAACAGCAAGATGCTGGCCGCTGTCATTGGCGTATTGAAGAAGACATCTGCACCATGCGCCACGGAATTCGAGCGTGTCGCCAACTCCTTTGTACCAGCTACCAACAGTAGCAAATCGAAATCCCCTTCCCTCTCGCGACACAACTCGGACGGCCAACTCTCTACCAACAGCTCTGGGTCGCAAAGCTCCACGCGAAAGCAACTCAAAGCTATTGCATCTCGGTTCACATCGAATAGTCCCAACAAGAACTCGAAGCCCGTTGCAACGGACAGCAGGTATGTATCTTTGCGGTGCAACTAAATCAGTGATGGATGCGCGACTAACACACCACAGGAGGGCCACTGTCCACCAAATCAATTTACATCCCTACAGTCAGCAAACTAGCAGCATGCCATCACTGCAACCTCAGACTTCATACAGTCCGACGTTAACATCACGATCCGAGCCAGCGCGAAGTCCTGTGAACTTGTACAGCCGGCCACAATCCACAGCGATCACGAACGCGCCTGTTCGACCTTCAGCACCTCCTCAACTGAAACCCAAGCCTAATGCTGTCAAGAAGAAGCTTCCAAATCTGGACTATTTGTCCTTCGGCAACGAGCCTGAGACGACAACAACGCCGCCCAATGTTCGCAGTACTCAGCCAGTCAAGACTGAGCCAGGCCCGACAGATTGGGAAAAGCTTCTTGGATCGCTCGACAACGGGGATATGAACATTCACGACAGTGTGTACGGAGGCGCACCGCTCGAAGCGCTCATGGACACGCCCAATCTCAACTCAGCTTCCACCCCAGCTCTTGTCGGTGGAGAGACACCCATCGCTTGGTCCCAAGATCTGTGGGCTTTATGTCAGACTGATACAAATACCACGAGTACCTCAAGTAACCCAGGATTGACACCCGTCAATAATGCGCCGGCCAGTATTCTGTCTTTCTCGAGTGCTGATGATGGCCTGAGTGGAAGCGAAGATTTTGGCACGGGCAACAGCCCAAATGATGATTGGACGCTTACCTCTGGCGAGACATTTCGAGGATTCGTGGTGCCGGCCGATGACGCTTTTGGCAGCACAGAATGGATCAGTTTGTGAAACTCTTATGGCCTGCAACTGTAAAATATGATGACGGTGTGAAGAAGGATGTCCTGGTGGGCTTGTTCGAAGCCGCTCTTGGATGAAATTTGACCAGTCCGGAGAAAAGAGAGTGCTGGGCTTTTCTTGGGTGGAACGTATTCTTGCATGATTTGCTCTCTTGTTGACGATGATACCACTTGCTGCTATGTTGAGCTATGCTGTGAGCTGCCAATGAAGTTTCTTCTGGAGCGATATGATTAGAATGGAAGCGAAATGCAAAATGTCCATGTCACGACAAGAAGTGAAAACGCTGATAACTCTTTGTTGAGAATGTCTATCTTCTCTTCAGTATTGCCAGCTCTTCGGATCTCGGGAGTTCAAGGCAGGTACGACTGCGCGTATGTGGCACGTCGATGTGTTGACGGGGCCATGGGTCTGGATCTGCAGTGAACTGTGACGAAGTGGAGCACGTGTGAGGAATTTGGTGGATTGCTGGTGTGTTTGTACGCATGGGGGTGGCAGCCACTACGTCATATCTCGCGTGGAGGCGTCAGGCGCGTGAATGATGAATGCAATCACGAACGAGGCAGCAATATATAATTATTGCTCTGCGAGAATCAGTTTCGATCAAATACGTTTGACTCCAAACAACGACTCGCAACCATCAGCAAGCATCAAGCATCAGCACGACACAATAACATCATGTCTGACCAAAACACCAGCACTCTTCAATCGGCCTATGAGGTTAGCATACATATCGCTCTGTGCCTGCTGAACGCGATTACTGACAACCATTCAGAAGGTCACAGGCGCTGCACAGAGTGCCCTCGGATCTCTAACAGGTAGCACAGCCGACAAAGCTCAAGGCGAGCGTAAGTGCCTCAACTACTTAATCCACTACCACGGTTCATCCTAACATCTTCTTCCTTTTCCAGAAAAGAAAGACGTCGCCGATGCCCGCCACGAGGCATCAAAGGCTGGCGCAACTGTAGCTGGCCACTCCGTTTCTGCATCGGGTGTTACCCCCAACGACCCCAACCGCCAGCAAGGCAGCTGGAACCAAACAATCGGATCTGGCAAAGAGTTCGTCGGCGGAGCTTTAGGCCTCGAAGGCCTGAAAAAGGAAGGCCAGCAGCAGAATGAAGAGGGCAAAGCTCAAGAGGCAGCCGGGCAGCTCAACGATCTGGGCTCTGGCGTGGCTAATCGTGTGGCTGGAACTGTCGGTGGCGCTGTTGCTGGCTTGACTGGCGATAGGGAAGAGCAGGCCAGACGTGCAGATCAGCACGATGAAGGAAAGACGCTGCAAAGGGGTGTGGAGAGTGAGTTGCAGAAGCAGGCCGATGCGGAGAGGAAGTAGACTGGAAGCCTGATGGCTGCGATTTTGATTGACGAGACTGAGCATGATTTATGATACCCAGTGCCGAGTGACTGCAGCAGTCATGTAGTAGCAGAACGAGATTATGTATGTGTACTTCTCTCATTGTGCAGCGCTTCGGAATATCTTCGTGTTGGCCACGATTTTGGTAACGCTGTCCGCGTGCTCCGTAACGCGTTAAGGAATGGAGTCCTCGATGCTCTGCACCCGTGGCCGATATCTTCTCATTCACTCTGGAGCTTTCTAGCTGAGATTCTCTACGTCAGGTCTGGAGGTGGCTTGGTGTAAGTCCGGGCCGATCGGCGGTGCACGTTTGCCCATGGTCGTGGCACGGTCAATTTGGTCTGGCCACCGTGCTGGACTGGCTGATCCATTTCAACATCCACACCGACACCGACACGTGCGTTCCATGGTGTGAATGGGGGGCGATATATCTGCACTGCCGGGATTGGGAAAGAGCAGGTGAAGGGAAGATGGGAGGAATGATACCGGCCAGCGAAGCGACCCCAAATTGGGAGACGGACCGAGCGAATGCGTTACTCCGCTTGCGATGGACGACGATATAGCATCATTTGCCGGACTTTGCTTCCTGCGCGTCTGACCAGCGGACCAAACCCGAGACCTCTGCCCCGAGCATATCCTCCCGCGACGCCCTCCACACCACCATGGCCTTCCTGCGCGACATTCTCTTTCACGATGCGACCACCGGCACAACACAATCGTAAGGTCCGCCTGTGACATCTCCGTCTAAACGCCGAGGGAATCATCGCGCACATCCTGGCCCGCCATCTCCATCAGTAATCGTGCCGAGCGTCACCTATATCGTCCCGCCGTATCCTGCGATCGCACGACCTACGCGTAGGCACGCTCACCATGGACGGACGCACGTCGCACCCGGGCACGCCGAACGATGGCTCTCGCACACCCGCGCGGTCGGCATTAGGCGAAGCGCTGTCGAAGACGCCCGTGAGGAGAGATTCGTTCGATCGTGAATTTCCTGTGCTCGACAGCACCCCGCGACGCTTTTCCACAGGTGCGGCGAGAGTACCACCGCCTGCGCCGCAAGTTTTTGCTGCGCAAAGTGTAGCCGAGGAAATGCTCGAGGAGAAGCGTTCGCGAACGCCAAAAGAGCAGGAGCAAATCAAGGACGCAATGGCAAGGTTCAAGCTCTGTTCAGATACGCCTTCGATGGCACGCCTGGCGGCGTTGACAAGTCCTTGCTTTTTCCACAAGCGTTTCGGAGACGCAGTGAATATTGAGAAAGTTCTGGAAGAGGTGAAGGGAGACGATCAGTTGTCGCATTCTCGCCTCATGCAGACTGCAGCCAGTGTCCGAGAAGTGTCAAGACAACTACAACGACGACCCCTCAAGCGTGCAGTACGAAATGTCATGATTGTCACGAAAGCCAGAGACAACACCCTCATAACATTGACAAGAGAGCTGGCGCAATTTTTGCTTGCAACTCCGAGATATGGTAAAGAAGTCGGAGTCAATGTTTGGATCGATTCGAAGTTGCGAAGGTCGAAAAGATTTGATATGGACTCTCTGCTCGCACAAGATCCACGATTCAAGGATATGTTACACTTCTGGACGCCTTCGGTTTGTCTCGAAAAGCCAGAATTGTTCGATTTGGTCCTGACACTTGGAGGCGATGGCACGGTTCTCTACACGTCCTGGCTATTTCAGCGTATTGTGCCACCTGTACTGGCCTTCTCACTAGGGTCATTGGGCTTCCTGACCAACTTCGATTTCAAGCAATACAAAGATCAACTCAATCGCGTCATGGGGCAAGATGGGATGAGAGTCAACTTAAGGATGCGCTTCACGTGTACAGTCTACCGTTCTGCAGCATCACCAGTACTGCGATCTTCTGGCGCCTCGACAACCAGCGTCTCGACAGCTACGAGTGCATACGACGCGGTCGAAGATGCAAAATCTCAATCGGCTAAGATCGAGGGCGAAACGCATGAGGTGCTCAACGAGTTGGTTATTGACCGCGGTCCGAGCTCCTACATCTCAAGTCTTGATCTATATGCCAACGAAAGTCTACTCACCAGGATCAGCGCGGATGGCATCATTCTGAGCACACCGACTGGCAGCACAGCGTATTCTCTAAGCGCAGGCGGCAGCTTAGTGCACCCAGACATTCCGGCGATCCTTCTGACGCCCATCTGCCCGCATACTCTGTCCTTCCGACCTATGCTACTCAACGATGATATGGCCTTGAAAGTCGCCATACCATCGACCGGCCGAGGCGGCGCTTTCGTTTCATTTGACGGCAAAGGTCGTGTTGAGCTTGGTCGCGGCGACGAAGTTGTAGTTCGGGCTTCGCAGTACCCCTTTCCCACCGTCATGGGCCAGCCACTGGAATGGTTCGACAGTATTTCCAGAACATTGCGCTGGAACACTCGAGCTGCAGAGCAGAAAGGCTGGACTGGCGACGATGAAGGCGACGCGGAAGAGAAGCAGGGTGAGCGAGAACCCGAATTCGACATTGACTTTGACGAAGACGACGAGACCGTCTCTGCCAACGATTCTGGATATGGCAATTCCGAGGCAGGGAGAAATGGCAGAGAGGAGAAGAGGTGGAGTTGACACGAATTGCTTACTGAATGACATGCGTAGAGAGAATCTAGACGCTACAGATCGTACTATCCTTGTCTAGACTTAGACACGATGTGATGATTGGATGACTCCTGGTGGGACTGTTAGACCGATGCTGTGTTTTAGCCATATTGCATGGCGGGGAGGTAGTGCGCGCGGTGGAGAACATCACTGCCACAAGTCTGCGTCAACATCTGGGGACAACGAGGACGACGCGTCTTCAGGAGATGGAGGCGGACCCTCTGATCTCATTCTATGTAAATACTCCTGATTGCGAGTGCAACGAACAGCGATGGTGTCGGTGGTGTCTATGGGATATATAACGGCCGAACAACATGTGGATTAGTGAGCCGCACGAGCGGCCGCAAACAGCATGAAATTTTATTCTTACAATCACGACATACCTCGAGTCGCAGGATTGCATGTGAAAGAGCGCAGAGTTCTAAGAATATGTCGTTGAACGACCCAGCGCAAATCCCTGCAGTCGATCCCGAAACTCTGTTCGGTGAAGTTTGCGTGGCACCTCGTGGGCGAGCCAAGCAATCGACTCACATGTTGTCGTTGGGAGATGTTTGTTCTCCTCTCTTCAGTCATCAACGCCCCACCGTGGGCAACTGGCTTCAGATACCGTGAGCGCAGCAATTTTCGCTCTGATCTGCTGCGCCGCGATAGTCGCGAAATGATATTGGGCTCTCACCGCGAGTCTGCTCACTGATAGCGCAGAGGCCAGAGGAATAGCGACCACGGCCAAATGGCTTTGCTGCGTCTTGCCCGCCAGGGCTTGCACTTGCCATCCGACGACGCCTCTACTTCGGCGCTTCAAGTAACCTTATGTTCGAGAACGCCACAGACCACTTTCTTCTCGCGCCAGCCGCCGGATGCCATCTGCTGCTGAGCGGATGAACTGCTGCGTATCGCTGCTGCCGATTCAATCGCACGCGTTTTTTCTGACGCTGACTCTCGGACGACATCCCACTGCCTGCTGGCGCGTTCGATAACGCGGCTTGCCCGGGCGATGGCGATGGGCGACTCCACTCTCTGCTGAGAAACCCAAGCATCCGTCCTGTCCTGCCGGGGGCTCGGGTCTGCGATCGCTGGGGGAGCTGCTGTTGCACGTGCTGCTGCTGCGAGACGCTTGTCGCTGTCGTGTCGTGCTTCGATGCTCGGTGGGTCAACTGATAAGTGTACTTGCTCGATGCGTAGCTGGTTATGGGTCCTGGCGAGTGCCCTCTTTCCTTTCTGGAATTGCGTTGCGACCGCCAGATACGCTGCCGTGGTTGTCTTGTCCTCTTCAACACACCCTCGCTCTGCTCTCTATTCTTTTCTGATAAGCACGGCAGGCAATTTTCCTCTCGCATCCCGACATTCTCTGCAACATTTATCGTCTGTCTTATTCTTGCCACACGGTTTTTTGTAATCACTCACAAGCACAGAATCTTTGAAGCTGAGTTCTCACGCCACTGCTCGGAAACTCGTCTCCATTGCTCAGCAGCATCGAAGATCTCTGTCGATTGTTCACACTCGCTCAAGATACCAACGCGACATCTCTGCACTTTCGCTCGTTCCATCATACCAGTTCTTACAAGCTCGAACAACAAGATCCTAAATTTGGCAACTAACTCTGGACGACGACATTCCTTTGTTCCAAACTGGCAGACCGGCTAGAATACCACCGCCCTGGTTCAACCACTCTGACGGATCCGGCCCGGTTGGAACGGGAGTTCGTTGTTTGTGAACGCATCTGTTATCGGCAGCTTGGCCGGCCGACTTCAACATGAGTACTCCCGTGGAAGAGTTTGAAAATCCCTTTGGGGATAACAAACTCATGACGGAGTCTCCAAAACAGACACCCACCTCAAGTGGCGCTGTGACTGGCAGCAATGGGGGCACACCCACAGATCGTCCAGGCCCTTCGAAGGGCAAGAAGAAAGTTGGCTTTTCAGGCAATACCGAATCTGGAGGGGATCGGAGCCAACGAACGAGCTGGGTCGAGACTTCTCCCAGTGGTGCTACATCTCCCATTAACATGAACACTACCTATGGCGAATCACCTGACGCAAGCGGGCTAAGTACACCCACGCATACACACACGAGGAGCAACAGTGGCGATCAGTTGCTTTCTGGCGTGAGCAAATCCCACCTACCGGAGCTCTCCCAGCAACAGACTGAGCAGATCCGAAGCGGGCTTGTACAAAGTCTCAACGTGCCCAGACCCCGTCCGGCACTTCGAAGAGCACGTAGTCCGACAAGAGCAGATGATCCGATCTCCCACATTGAAGGTCAGTACGATGATGAGCAGAGATCGAAGTTACAGCAAGCCAGTAGGAAAGCCTATGAAGAAGCCAAACGGCTCGAGACTACTGAGCGCATGCACTCGGAACCAAACTCTCGACATGCTTCGCCAGCCAGGCGGAGGAGGATGTCGAAAAACTCGCCCGAAGAGATACCTCTTCAGGACTTCAACGAGGACGACGATATCTATTCTGATGACGAGAGGGATCTTAACGGCCTCGAGAGACAGCGAAGAGCTGCAGAAGAGGAAGCATTCAAGCTAGTCCGAAGGCACACCTTTGGACGAGGAAGATTGCAACATTCGCACGAAGAGTCTGAGTCTGGTGGTGCCTCTGGAGCTGTAACGCCTGGTAATGTCACACCTACAGAGGAGCGCGACTATATGGAAGACTATCAACCTCGACCGCCCAAGTACCGTGGTGGAATTCTCGGCAGCTTGCTGAAGTTGTATGGCGAAGCATCTCCCCACGATGGCCGTCACATGCGGTCTGCATCAGGCACTATACCTAGAGGGCGGGGTCGGCGGTGGAGCGATGATTTCAGCCAGAATACAAGTGCCGCAACAACACCCCAGCATTCGCCTCCCGAGTCGGGTGCCAGCACTCCCAACCCTGCTAAATCACATTGGTATTCCTCCAGAAGCAGCAAGAATCATTCAACTTCGTCATTAGCTCAGCTCGTTGGGTCTTCGGCAAGCTTTGGCTCGCCCGCTGTTTCTGGTTTTGGCGAGCAAGTGAATCAGAAGCTGCGAGAGCATCAAGAACGAAGTAAACGACCAGGTATTGGCAAGCGCGGTCTTTCCGGAGGTGTCTTCAATCGATTGTCCAAGCAGAGACAAGCAGAACAATTTCGAATCACGAACCACATCGCCGAAACGATCGCGAGACAGAAGTATTTGATGAAACTTTGCAAAGCTCTCATGGAATATGGAGCGCCCACACACCGCTTGGAAGAGTACATGCGCATGAGTGCTCGGACACTCGAAACCGATGCGCAATTTCTCTACATACCTGGGAGCATGATCATGTCATTTGAGGATAGAGATACTCATACTAGCGAGGTCAAGTTGGTCAAAGTGCCTCCAGGGTTAGATCTCGGAAAGCTGCGTGACGTCCATGAAGTATACAAGGAAGTGATTCACGATAAACTCGGCGTGGAAGAAGCTACCAAAAGACTCAAGGAGATTACGGGACGCAAGGCCAAGTTCAATCGTCTGATTCGGATTCCTGTCTACGGGCTTGCAGCCGTGTGCGTGGGACCATTCGCCTTTGGAGCTCGACTCATCGATCTGCCAATCGCTTTCATTCTTGGAAGCATACTTGGGATCCTCCAGCTCTACGTTGCACCGCAATCGGAACTGTACGCCAATGTCTTCGAGATCACCGCAGCGGTCGTTACGTCCTTCCTCGCCCGCGCATTTGGAAGCATCAACGGCGGTGACCTCTTCTGCTTCTCAGCCTTGGCTCAATCATCAATCGCATTAATCCTTCCAGGATACACAGTCCTCTGCGCCTCCCTCGAGCTCCAGTCTCGTTCAATCGTAGCAGGTAGTGTCCGCATGGTCTACGCAATCATCTATTCCCTCTTCCTCGGCTTTGGCATCACAGTCGGTACGGCAATTTACGGCATGATAGACAAGAACGCGACCTCGGAAACCGAATGTCGCAAGCCCATCGAGGAACACTGGTTCTTCTTCTTCGTCCCCGGCTTCACAATGTGTCTCATCATCATCAATCAAGCCAAATGGAAACAGGCCCCGATGATGATGATCATAGCATTCACTGGCTACGTCGTCAACTTCTTCTCATCCAAACGTTTCGCAGGAAATACCCAAGTCTCCAATACCCTTGGCGCTCTGGCCATTGGCGTTATGGCGAATCTGTACAGTCGCATCGGCGGCCGAGTAGAGAACATGGCACTGGATCTCTGGGAACACCAACTCCGTCCACGCTACAAAGCTGTACGAAAACGTGTCTTTCGTCTCGAATCCCGGAAGAGACATCCTAAGACGATGGAGGAAGGTTCTTATCATGAACGTAAGAGCAGCGCCGATGCGGAATCGTTCTTTCAAGCTGCGCCGAGAAGACTCGGATACTCCCTCGCTGCTGCGGCCATGTTGCCTGCGATTTTCGTGCAGGTTCCTTCGGGGCTTGCGGTGAATGGTTCGTTGGTTAGTGGAATTGCGAGTGCGAATCAGATTACGGGGAATGCGACGAACGGGACGCAGGTAGTCAGTTCGGGGGCAATTGCTTCGACGAGTTTGCAGGGGTTGAATTCGATTGCTTTTACAGTGGGATACTCGGTGATCCAGGTGGCGATCGGGATCACAGTGGGTTTGTTCTTGAGTGCCATTGTGGTGTATCCGCTTGGCAAGAGGAGGAGTGGGTTGTTCAGCTTCTAGTCTTCTCTGATGAAGACGTGGCTGCTTTGGGAGGTATGTATAGGAGGTCATGGGTCTTGGTGTTCATTGGGTTGGGTAAGTACTTGTGAATTGGGACATGGCAGGAGCGGAGGCATTGGGTCGGATTGATTGGGAGCGTTCGGGCGTGGAATCGGAGATACCCAGATAGATCGTTGTTTCACTTGTAAGATAGATGAGGCCGTAATGTGTACAATATTCGCAAAGCTGCTTTCGGTCTCTGTGCTGGTCAATTCTTGCTTGTTCGCGCGCTCTTTCCTTGCTGGTCACGGTCTTGCCTCAAGCGTCCTCGCTCTTACTGTGCAATGCTGAAGACTCTGTCACCGCAGTGCCCAATGCTCAACGGCTCTGTAGTCGGGGAGGCTGGTGTAGTCTTCTTCCGATCTGAGACCTACCTGTACATTGTCGCGTTATGCTTTGTCACCACATGCACTTACCAAGACATCTCTGCCTTCCGCACCAGCACCGTTCCTGCCGCACCGTGCACTCCGACTCGGTAATGGTAGCCCGAAGAAGTGGCCGACTGCGCGCTTGGACACAGGCACCAGACTGTGCACCAGGGATCTTCATGAACCCGGCTGGCTTGGAATAATTTTTGTGTCGGTATGCCAAATGTGCCGACGCCGGACTACTTGATCATCGCGGCCGCAATCCCAACCTCTAAGGAAACCACTTTTTATTCGGCTCGATGAAGGTCCTGGTCTGTGTAGGAAGTGCAATCAGTGCGCTCGAGGCAAGCGAAATGCTGTGGCGTCTATGCACTCGTCAGAAACGACGTCTAAACGAAGCAAGAGACGTGATGAGCAGGACGCGCCCAGCCTGCTCCGAGGATCGTTCGACCTCCAGCCACAAAGATCAGCGAGACAAGCATTCTGTGCACACTGGGCGGTGGCTGAACTCTGTGGCCTGAGAGTTTCTCTCATCTCGATGCCTGACAGGCGGCGACCAGCCTCATGTATCGAGCACAGAACATCTCGATATGGTGGGCAGAGAAGCCAGCTCCGCAAATTGACCGAACTGCTCTGCGCAGGTTTCGAGGCCGTGGTTCCACTTTTTGCAGACGATGATGCCGGTTCTCGCGGCGAATGAGGCAAGCAGCGCCACAGCATGACGCCTCTTTTTTCTTGGATGTAGTCGCTCGACAGGGTTTGGCATTTGTCGAGCCGACGCACGCGTAGCGGGTGCAGATCATACATCATCGGGTCATGAGCGCGGTGTGTAGCTGACGCAGCTGACTGCCTGTTATCTTGTGCCCAGCGTCGATGCATGTTCGTGCAGTGGGTGCAGAGGGCGGCTGAGAACAGGCAAACAAATTGTGATGGTGGCGGAGGAGGGTATCAGCCTCAAACCCAGCGTCATCTTTCGATGGGGAAAAGCTATCACATCGTGCTGAGTTTCGTAGTCTGCGTGGCTCGGTGGCTGGTTCCGAGGAGCGCAGCAAGCAGTCGAGCGTGTGCCTTGTGGGTGGGTCAGTGTGTGAGACGTGCCGGTGCTGGCCAAGTGCCCTGTGCTCTTGTGCACCAAGAAGTGTGAATAAGTGCGCTGGTGTTACGTCAGAAGTGACGAGCAAGTATATTGTCGCCAGCAGCGCCTGACTTGTGTTTCTCTTTCTCCCCCATTCACCACAAACACCACAGCAAACACCCTGCGACGACAAGCTCTAGAAGCCTTCCCACTTCGTCCTCAGTACCTTCACCACTACCACACCAAACCACCGTCACCATGCCTTTCACCGGAAGGTAAGCTACCCACCGCAAGCTCTCGCGTCGGATGCGCGCGGCTTCCGGACGCGCCAGCGACTACAGTTCTACGACTTGAGAGCGCACAATGCTAACAGCAACCTCACAGCGACATCATCAAGATCATCTTCGCCATCCTCCTCCCACCTCTTGGAGTCTTCCTCGAGCGTGGCTGCGGCGCTGACCTCCTCATCAACTTGCTCTTGACCATTCTCGGCTACATTCCCGGCATCATCCACGCTCTGTAAGCTGACACTCCCCACTGTCCCTCTCACTTCTCACAGCCACACTAACATGTGAAACCACAGGTACATCATCCTTAAGTATTAAGTGCATTGCGGAAGCCGGAGACACAGAGACACGCGCACGAGTCAGCTTTGAAACATGCAAAACCAACAGCAACAAGCTTGACGAGCTTGCCTGACGAGCGACGACGATGCGTGATGGCGCTATGATACGATGAGAAACACTACCACCCACCTACCGAGATACCCCATATCTGCGACTTTGCGAAGGCCGACGGCAGCAGTGAAGCGAGAAGGAACAAAGACTTACGTCTACTACCACTACTGGTCATGAAAATGCGCTTGCTGCACTGAGCACCGGGCATTAGAGGCGTAATGAAGGCACGAGCATACCGATCTTATTGAGCGTTTTCCTTAGGAGAGTAATTTGTACAGGTTGATCATGGTCTGAATCATTTCACTCTCCCTACCGCCACATTTCCCACTGCATCAATCGTTCCCACGAATGTTCATCGTCACTGAAATGTGAATGGAGGCGATCAGTTGAAATTGGATATCGTTTCGCATGGCTCATCTACACTCTAATCGCAGCCCATTGGCTTGTCCCTAATATTTCACTTTTAACCCTCTTCGCAATGCTATCGTAAGCACAGAGCAATCGTTTCCATAGTGCCCCTTCTCGCAATTCTACTCGCGCAGCGCCTTCTCCGCAAACTTGGGAAGCACAAACGCAGCCTCGTGCACCTTCTTGCTGTAGTATCTGAACAACTCATCCTCCTTCTCGTCGGAAATCGTGCGCAGAGGCTTGGTGACATCGCGGTTCGCGTCTTTGGTGCAGACCATGAAACCAATTTGGCCGCTAGGATAGGTCGGGATCGTGGTCCATCCGTACTCGGCGACAGGGAAAACGGACTTGCAGTCCTTCTTGAGCTGCTGAATGATGTTCAAGTGCAACCATGGGTTCTCAGCTAGAAGTGTCGCAAAAGAAGTTAGTAAACAATTTCTCGGACACCTCTTCGTCATGGTGTCGAATAGGAGAGGGGCTTACAACCTTGGGTACTGATCACCCCTCCCTCTCGCAAAGCATCGTGCAAGAGCTGGAAGTAAGGCTTCTGGAACAAGGCCTCTGCTGGCCCATCTGGATCCGACGAATCCGTAATAATCACATCGAACTCGTTCTTGTAGTCATCCAAAAACTTGAATCCATCTCCGACGTGTGTCTTGCACTTGGGGTGGTTGAACCCCACTGACATGCCTGGCAAGTACTTCTTGCTCAATCGAATCACGGCCTCATCGATGTCGCATAGTATCGCCTCTTCCACGCTCTCGTGCTTTACCACCTCACGCAAGACACCTCCATCTCCACCGCCAATGACGAGGACTTTCTTTGGGTTTGGGTGCGAGAAGAGTGCGAGGTGGGCAATCATTTCCTGGTAGGAGAATTCGTCGCGTTCGGTGCATTGGATTACATTGTCGAGCACGAGGACCATGCCGTAGTCGGAAGATTCGAAGATGAGGACATCCTGGTATTTGGACTTCTCGTGGTGCACGACTTGGTTGACTTTGAGGGTCATGGCCTGACCAGGCCACATTTTGTTGATTTCGCGGAACCAGCCATCTTTGATGGTGGGGTGGGTGATTTCGGACATGGTGGTGATAAGATTTCGATGAAGGGCGGTCGGTTGGAAGTTGATCGATTGCGGTGGAAGCGACAGTGGAAGTCGATGTTTAAGGTGAAGCAGGTTTGTGATGCGTTGGCAGCTGCGGTGCATAATTTTTCTTCACATGTTTCGTTTCAAGGAAGCTTGCGCGCGCTGCCTGCCCCGCCATTGCCCGCGCCCGCTGCAGGGACAGGCATTGGGCTGCCTACATACTTTACTCCTCCCACACCACTTTCATCAACTTCGTTATCAGCAGCAGGTGTTGCCATCATGCTTCTCGGGATCCCGATTTAATCCTCAGCATTAGAACCAAGTCGAGGTACAGTAAACAGTGCTACATTTGCATCTTCTCTACCCTCGCAAGGCTACTATACTCTCACAGCTTGACGAAACCAATTTCACCAAGTGCAGGCGCAGACCGCTCAAAATCTTCGATAATCGTCGCGAACATTCTCGGCATTCCACGCACAGTATTTTCTGAGGAAACAATGGTCCACCTTAGCGCGTGCATTTCGAACTCCTCTTCCACGGGGTTGAATTTGAGCTTGCCCATTAGACGCTCAAAGGTCGTCTCTGCTTTCCTCGCTCCCTTCCCGGCGGCCTCTTTGACCTCTCCCCAAACGATGTTGCCAGCTTTCTTCGCCGCCGCTTTGCCGCCGAGGAAGTCGCCGCCCAGGTGCGTGAGTGCCCCCGAAAGAGCTCCTTGAGCGGCGGCCTGGCCCAAACCATCTGTCAGATCTTTATCCGGATCCCAAAAGGACTTTTCGATACCATTATCGGCGATCTGGTTCACCTCGTTGGAGATGGCGCTCATGAGAGCCTCTCCGCCCGTCTTGATGGCTAGATTGAGGCTATCCGTGAGCGTGGCGCTCGCTGCCGGAGAGAGGGAACGCGCTCCAACTTGGGTCAGATTCCAGACGCCTTTGGCGCCCCATAGGAATTCTCCGGCGGCTCCTGTGATAAAGCCGACGGCGGCAGAGACTGCGACTTCGCAGAAGAAGCCTTTCCAGAATTTGCCGTGGTCGATGTTCTCGTTTGAGGCGTCCATGTGGTCGATGGAGTAGAAGATTGCTGTGCTTCCTGCTGATATGAGTGCGCCCACGGCCCTGAAAAAATTAGTCAAGCCTATTTTTTTTGTTTCCCATGGTTTGTCGCAAAAGTAAGGTACTTACCCAGCAGCTAGAGCAGCGCCAAGTGGGCTTGCGACTCCGGCAGTGGCGACTGTGACTGCTATCGCGGCTCCGATCAGTACGGCACCCAGGATTATGCCACCTATGGCATCCCAGCTCCAGTGGCCCGTAGGATCTACATGGTTGACAGGATCATTGTTTTCAAACACATAGCGATTCAATCCATCTCTCTTCCCCAAACCAGAAATATCCGTGACTGTATCAGGGGTAATGAATCTTCCGATGACCGGATCGTACCACCTCCCTCCGAAACAGATCAGTCCACTGTCAGTGTCTTGCACTTTCCCTTCGAAACCTGGTCCATTCTCTTCACTCCTCACGAGAGATTTGCCGTAATCAGAGAAGTTTTGTTTCGTCACAGTGGCCTTGTCGCAGTCGTAACTATGCGTCACAGTGCCTTTATGATCGAGCAAATACGCCTTCAAGTGCTTGCTTCCATCTGACTGTGTCTTTAATTGAGCGACAGGCCCTTCTGGGCCAAGAAGTGTCACGCCTGTCGTCTCCGCACCATCTTTGGCAATATCGACTCGATACTCTTGACCCAGTGTTATCTGTTTCGATCCATCAGGTTTTTGGCAAAGAATATTATTGCCATCGGGATCTTGTAAGAAGGAAGTGATTGTGCCTGCTTTGAGGTCTTTCATTTGTGACAATCTGCTTCCTCCTGCGTATGTGAGTGCATGCTCAACATCGCCCAGCTTCCGGCTGGTGAGACGCCCTGCGCCATCGAATTTCGCTTCGTACACAGTGCTTCCGTTTCTTGTTCCCGTGATTGATGATGGGGCATAAGCTAACTGCATATCGCCGAGGCTAGTGATATTCCCAGAGGCATCGTAGGCATAGTTGAAAGTCGCGTCAGCGTGCTGCGAAGCCGCCAGGCGCTGCTTGTCATAAGTATACGCCACCACTTCCTGGGTTAGAACATCAGTGATGCTCGCAATCTGGTCTTTCTCATTGACTGTATAAGTCATCGACGCAAGGTCGCCCTTGCCGCGCATCGATCGCTTCATTGGCGTGTTAAGCTCATCGTGCTCCGAGTTAAAGGTTATGCTGCCTGCCGACAAAAATGCTCCCGACGAGAGCTGGGAAGATTGGACACTCCCTTGGGGGTTGTAGGTTGCGTAAGACGATGTGACGTTGACTGTCTTGCCGTCGGCAGAGACAATCCTAGCTTCCGCGAGCAGGTCTCCCATGTAAGAGGACTGCAATTTGCTACCGTCCGGCGGAACCTTTTCGATAAGACGATCTTGCCAGTCGTAACGATAGCTGAAGCTGTATGTGCCGGTGCCCGAAATGGAGATCTGACTCGACGACAATCTGGCACGCTGATCATAGGTGAAGTCGTACTGCGATTCGACATCGGTCGATGAAGGCTTTGATATTGTTACGCGTGAAAGCGTGCTGGTACCGTTCGCAGCAGACGAAAAGGTTCTTGTCGTAGTTCGTAAGTCGCTTCCAATGCTCTGAAGAATGCGGCCCTTGGCGTCGTATTCTAATCTGTTCGTCTCACCCATGACATTCTTGGTCGTGAGGAGTCGCCCCCTTTCATCATACGTGAAGACCACTGCCTTTCCGGCAGCACTTCCCATGGTGTTCTGGTATTTGTTATTGATGCTGAGTAATTGACCAGTCGCATTGTACTCCCGGGCTTCCACGTTCCCAGAAGAGTCTGTCATTGCTGTGATACGTCCGACCACGTCATAATCGATGGAAGTTGACAACCCCGATTCATCTATCGTGCCGATCAACTGCGGCTGACCAGCCACATTCCGGAATGTGTTTAGAGTCTTAGCGATCTCCTTGTCGCTCGTCTCGACTCCTTTCTCGTCACAGTATTTCGTGATCGATGTAGACTTTGTGCCCCCATCGACATAGCTATGTTGCATGAGCGTCGCAGACTTGGCAGCGGCGCTTCGTGGACGGTATTGCAACACCGGACGCCGGAGTGCATCATAAGCCGATAGTATGCACTTCTCAACCGGAGGAGACCAGTCAAAGCCATCTTCTATATTAGATGGAAGATGCCAGGGCGTACTACGCACGAGATTGCTTCCTCCGCTTTCGAAGGTATAATACATCCAGACAGGCTCGAAGGAGCCACTTTGTTTGCGAGAGACACGAACGCGGCCGGTGCAGTCTATGGCTTCGCATAGAGTTGTGCTGCTCTTGTCGTCTGCTGAACTGTACTTAGTCACAAACCTGGTCAGCAGATTCTTTCCGGACCTTGTTTTCATTCGTTTGTACTCCGTGCGGCTCTGGCAAACCAACCGAGCCTGCGACAATGTCTGAGCGAGATCTGCGCTGGCTGCTGTCGGATAATTGGTTCTCGTTGGGTACGTGATTGTCGAATCTGTTGGGTCGGTCGTAATGACCATGCTCTGTGCTCTGCGGCCGAAGGCGTCGTGAGTCAGAGCTTGGAGCACACCAGTCGAAGATCGTCCAGCTGAAGTCTGCATATCGTAGGCGTTGCTTGCAGATAGCGTCGTCAGACTCAGTCCGGGAGCCTCTTGCGTTGTCTGCACAGCACAATTGGGATAATCAGTACTATACTTGACGTTGGTTGTAAGGCCGACAGCGTCAGAAGCCTTGATTCTGTTGCCAAAAGCGTCATGCTCGTATGTTTCGCCGATGAACTTGTTGTGGTCAGAAGACCAGTGTACCGTCTCTCGAACGAAGGGTGCCGCCTTGTCATATGTGATTTTGGTCAGAGTAATGTCGCCAGCCTCAAACACATCAAAGCTTTTGTTTTGGACATTTGTCGTGATCTTCTTCCTCACCGGCATTCCCTTAGCAGTGCCAATATCAGCATAGGAAAACAATTTCCACAACTGGTTCGATCTCGTCTTCAATGTTGCGTCTGATTCCCAAGATTCCTCACTGATCATGTTTCCGTTATCGTCATGTGTCCAATTCATTCCTGACGATATCTTCCACGGCTTCCCGTTGTCGTACTGAAACAACTCTTTGGCCGACTGAAGAACCCTTCGGGTATCCCACTCATTCACGTTCAGTGACTTCACATCAAAGTCCAGCCTCTCCCTCTGGATAATTGTGCCACTACTCAGCAAAGCGGAGATATCATCTGGAGATGCATCACCATTTGCCTGGGTCGACAACTTTGGTGTCTTTGTAGCAATAGTTGTCGTCTGAAACTTGATCTTAGACAGTGGCCAGACCTGGTGGAATTGCTCCTCCAACAGAACGCCTGAAGAGACGTCAAGCATGGTGGTCTTCTCGAAGCCCTGCCAACCACGACCTTCGAGGTTGATTTTCGCATTGCTATAAGACCGGACGATTTCTTGTCTCCACGGCAGATTATTGATCAGTGGTTCGTTCGAGGAAACTGTACGGGTTACCACGAGGCTCTGCGATGCAATGACGTCTCGTACGGCTTGGTCTGTGGGCATGGAGATGTCATGCCATTGTCTAGCCGATTTGTACGCTCGCTGGTCAGACATGGGCATGTACGAGACGTCCACCTTCAGTCCAAGGGGGTTCGTCGTGGAAGTGAGCAAGTCAGGCACCCCACTGGCATTGTAGACCGGACAGGCCGACCAGCTGCCATTGACATTGGTAGTCAGCAGCCATCCAGCCTGAATGAACGTACGGGTCAGTGGTGTTTGCGCTTTTCATGACGTACGATACTCACCTTGCCTGTGCCATCAATATCGACTGATGCAAGATCTATCTCTTGGTCTGGAGAGTGATGCAACGTGCCTGCCGGCGCAATCAACACCGAGGATCTGCTAGCTCCTGGCGATGGGTACAGCTCCTTGACTTGGCCGTCAGAACTGCCAGACGCAACGAGACAGACCCAGTCGTGCGAGTAGCTCTGCTGAAATGCACAAACTATGGACGGGAACCTCGATCCGTCAAGGCTAGTCGCGTAGAATCTGCAAGGGTTTCTTGGCTGTTCACCACTTCGAAATGTTCGCTGTTGTCGAATAGCATTCCCCCGTTCTGTGAAGGCACCTTGCCCGTTATTGAGAAAGCTGCGGAAAACAAAATCGACGTGGAGGCGATCGACACTGTTTATCTGTTGGCAGATGAGCAAGTCTGTTACTCCGTCTCCATTGATGTCGGTGGTGAGGACGGTCAAGCTCCTCGCCTCCTCGTGCGTAAATTGTCCGATTGTGGAAGGCTCCTCTGTTGTGGGCATGAACACTCCTCTCTTGGCAGGATCAGGAGATATACGAAACGCCCGGGCCCTGAGCTCAGCTCCCCGATTTGTCTTTTCAGTGTAGACGCGAATCAATCCCTGAAGGCCGTTGTGATCAATGTCCGAGATGAGCCACTCTTTGCTCTCGGTCCATGCCATGGTCGTCACTGTTTCTACAGGTGCATCGAGCGTTGCAATTCCCGTGACATGGTCGTATAGGGCCCAAAATACCCGGAAGGCGATGCGATTGCTGTGCTTGTAGATCTGTACAATATCGACTCGGCCATTTCCATCACAATCGAGGGCCAAGAACTTACAATCGGACTGCCACGCCTTTCCTGTGTAAACGTTGACAAAATCTTTGAAGCCTGTGCCAATCGATTGCGATAGTGAAAAGCTGAGCATATCCCCGGTTGTCCTGTAAGGCATAATTATGTCTGTTCGACCGTCTCCATTCAGATCGGCACGCAACATCGTGAAGTTATCGCCGGAAAGCGCTCCACGTGGCCCATAGGGGAGTTTGGAGATACTTGATCGGCCCGACATGGATGTTTCTGACCAGTTAATCGTGGGAGACCCTGCGGGAGGAGGCGTGCTCGGAGTTGCAAGCCAGGTTTTGAGAGACATCACACCCGTGGCCGAGTCGTGACGCACAGCGACTAGATCACATAGCGTGCGCCCCGAGACATTCACTGGCAAAACGGCAGCGATTTTGTCGACGCTTGGCAAAGAGATCGCTGCAGTCTTGTCCGGCACAAATAGCTGCTCTGGCTTCATAAGCGCATAGTTCACTCCGTAGTCAAATGTTGTTGGTGTGAGGCTGCTCCCATCAACGCCTATCTCAGCGACTGCTGTCAACAGGGAGACCCCAGAAGACGCCGAGTGAGTATATGTGAAGATGTAACTCTTCATCGTCTGGATCTTCGTTCCGCCCGCGTCGAGTAGATCGAAGTCTACACGTTTCAGGAGACAGCCAGACGTGCTTTGATCATGCCCATTAGTGATGACGACGAAATCCTCTCGAGTTTGATAAACAAAATTCGCGCGCCAGCGGCCACTGTAAGTCGCCTTGTCGTTCGATGTGAATCGAATGCTCTCCAGATAGTTGACACCTTGTTCCAGAGACCCGAGCTGTGGAAGGGGATTCTTGTTGTAAGCAAAGGTTTGATAATTGCCAAATACATCGATGCTTTTCTCCAAAAACCATTCGCGGACTTCAGTAGCTGCTGCCACTTTGGCGGTCCTTTGGGCTTGCTGAGTTGCGCCATAAATTTGACGTCGACCGCTTCGATCTGTGGCCACGAAACCTTCCGTCTCGTGCGCTGCCACGACTTGGACGTCTTGACCGATTTGAGTGGTGTACGTTGCCCCTGGGCTGTGATACTCGCCCGCAATATTCAACAGCGCCTGGCCATTTAAAGCGAGCTGTTCTGTGCGTCGATCGACATCGAGCGTTGGGCGTTCGGCCCCCTTGGCGACCGTTGCCGGGATACGTCTGACAGAGGAGTAGGTCGATAATACCCAACCGAGACCTAGCACACCATTGCCGCCACTCTGGATATACTCCAGAGATATCGAGGGCTCATTGCCCATACCAACACCTTTGGGAACATCGAGGGGGAGGGAATAGCGCGAGACGCCATTGCTATCAGTCCAGTGTCGCCCGAACGGCCTGTCGATAGAGATCTCGTCGGCCATGATGTCTGGCAGTTCAACAACACAATTTGCTCGTGATGCGTCCAGGAAAGGCCACTACTTCATCGATCAATCATGGGGCTTTCTCAGACCCGGCACAGTAATAACGAGTAGCTTGCTCGCCATACCGTTCTCACCGCAACTAGGTGAATGTGGCTAGCTGAGGTACTTCAACAAGGCCAGGATGCCGGCGTTGCCTCGAAGCTTCCAAGCTGGGCAATGCGCGCAGAGAATCGTCGCCACAATGCAACAGCGACAGCTGTGATAGTGCCCGTAACAAGGCAAAGCATCTCAGCCAGCCACAGAGAAGCGGCTCAGCTAGCCATAGACAAGGAGCTCAGCTAGCCACAGAGAAGTAGCTGAGCTAGCCACAGAGAAGTAGCTGAGCTAGCCATAGACAGGTGGCTGAGCTAGCCATAGACAAGTAGCCAAGCTAGCCATATTCAAATAGCTCAGCTAGCCACAGGGAGGATGCCCAGCTTTCCATGCGTCTGCGGGCGTTATCTCCTCTCTTGAAGCGGTACAAAGCGTGCTGTGTCCGACCGCCAATCTGCAAGAACGACAGCTATTGCCTTGGCTGCGATAGCGTCGAGATGTGGCTACAATAGCGTCTGAGATGAGGGGAAATCCCATTTGGTGTGAGCGTGCGTGCTGCCGCAGACGGTGAGCTCGAAAATGTCACGAGCGTGTCGTGCGGCGTGTATTCTAGTGTCCATGTGGCGAGCTGAAGGGGACAAGCGGCCGTCGGCGAGGCGTGCCAAGTCCACGGATCTGCCCTGCTCGTCTCCTGCCTTTTCTTCTGCACGGCAACGACGCAGGTAGCGACTTCACCCCGCATCGTCCTGGAGGACCGCCCGTGAGTCTAGCGTGGCACATGCCGTCCGAATGCGCCTAGGCACGTACACGTATTCCCCCCAGGCTGACGCCGCTCTAGCTTGCATCTTGCGCATCAAACCCGGCGTGGCGCACAGCTGTAGAAGCCACGGATCAAGCTGGCGGGCGGCTCGAATGCAGAGACGAGTGATGATGAGGCATGCAGTGCGTTGCTATTTATCTAAGAGTATGGGGAGCCATGTTCTGCAGCACCGTGCTCGCTGCGAAGCTCCAGGACTGCCTCGACGTACTGTAAACACTCTATTGGTCACACTTGCACCATGTCCGATCCTCAATCCCCCATGGCCCCTGTGCTGGCCTGGATAGTCGACGGCGGCTTGGAACTATGGGCATTCTCTGAAGCGTCCCCTGAAGACGGCAGCTTCACTATGACAAGCGCCTCAGTAGGCGATCAATCCTTTACGGGACCAATAGGGACGGTCGCGTACGACGAGGAGAGCAAGATTTTGCACCTCTTAGCAACCAGAAAAGTAGACGATGACGTTCAGGAACTCTGTCATACCGTCATCAGCAAGCACGGCAACATCACGGCGAAGCACGCAGTGCTTCCTGACGGCGAAAGCAGCTACCTGCCCGCTGATACCGGTTTTCTGTTACACAATAGAGCATGGGTTATTGCAGCCTGCGTACATCCAACAACCTTGGACGGTGATGATGATGATGAAGATATAGCGTGGCCCTGCGTTTTTTTCAACGCTACTCAAGACGGCGACGTGACCTGGAAACGATACAGAATCAACGACGTGGAAGTGTCATACTCCAGACCCAGCTGGATGAAAATTTTCTCCGTTGGTGGAAGAGGCGATGATTCCTACATTTATACAGCATTTCCTGGAACAGACGACCAGTCCACTATACGCCTGGCAGGCATACCAACCTCACAATTCAATCAGCTTTCCACAGACAGCGGCAGCCAATGGACGATCCAAGAAATCCCGGGGATTGAAACGTGCTGCGCTCCTCACATTGTAGTGACAAGCGGACCGAAGACACACTTCATCCATGTTTTCTACGTTTGGGATAGCGCAGTGTCGTACTTCACACTCGAAGCGAATGAGGATGGTTGGATTCACATGCCCAACTCAATCACTACTGATACGATAGCTTTTCCGGACTGTCCTGCCAACGACCAAGTCAAAACACACACTATCGTCAGTGCGGTGGAGCACAACGGCATGATCTGGATTGTCTCGACACAGACTGCGAACTCAATTGTATCCGTGTCAGCAAAACTTGATGGCGGCAAAATAGGCGAATGGCAAACACAGGCCGAAGGTCTTGGCCTTGGTGGATTGGGCGTGCCAGAACCAGAGACTTGCGCATATTCTACGCTCAGTATTCCCCATGACATGTTCGATTTCGCCGACTCGGAGCGTCAGCTGGCACGTCGCCCCAAATGAGGCATTTGTAATGGAATCATCATTTCATAATAACACGTAGAAGCTTGCGACACTAGCGAAGTTCACATCGTGCTTCCTCAGTCATGTAAAGTCCAGCTCCACAGACTAGACGAATATCACTTCACTCCCCATACCCCATTAAGAGATCGCTCAGCACTAGAGATTTGTTCGCCTCACCGCCCCCACTCCGGACCAAGACAAAGGTTCAAATTCAACGTCACATTGCCCGTATCAGCACAGCTGTGGCCCTTCCCCTCGTAACCCACAGCACTACCGCAAATATCAAAGTTCTCGTCGGCATCCCCGAGAGCAGTGGTGACCTATTCCGTCAGTCAAAATTCGAGCTTCGACCGTACAAGAGCGCAGCAGACTGACATTGAAGTGGTCTTTCGCGTACGGCTCCCCATCGAGACTGTTGATCGACCATGATATTTGTCCTTGGTCCAGAGAGTAGTATAGAACAACCTTGGGTGTAGCGGTCGTCCAGTAGTTGTTGGATGCCGTGATGCCGAGGGAGTCTGTTGAGAATCGCTATCTTAGTCTCTGTTGCTTTCTCGAATGGCGCCGGTGAGCGGAAGAGTAGACTTACTTCCTTTCCCGTTGATTCCCGTCTGATAGCTATAGTTGATAACGAAACTATCAGCTTCCATACTTCCAAGCGATGCTGATCAATGGGGATCATAGCAGAAAACTCACGCAACCTGACGACTCAATTCCATCGTCTGCTCACCCTCCACAAAAAAAGTCCCATTCATGATCGTGATCCAGTGAGAGAAGGAGCAGAAATTATTGACTTGCACGACGGAATTTGCAGCTGCTAACGTCGCGAGCAGACTTGCTGCGAACAAGGACCGCATGGCGACAAATGTGTGAGATGAAAGTGAGTGAGTGTACTGTGATGAGAAAGCGAATGTACTTGGTGATTCTGCACAGAGTGCAAGATGAGTTGAAAGGCCGGCAAAGGAGACGTAGTGGGCCCCTTTTTGAACATGCGCTCTGCGAATACCCGTGATGCCCTGTGGCACATAGAAGCCGGCTTGCAGATATTGAGCGTGTACGACCACTCGTACAGAGGACATTGTGTCGGGAGCCTGCTTGATTTAGTTCACGGTACGCATGTTTTGACAGTTGCTTGTGATTGCTGTGTGCATAGTCGTGGCGCACTGCGCAAGGGCGACTACGCACCTTGCGCGTAGTAAATTGTGAACTTCGCCAGGCTAGGCGGAAGTACATCCGCGTCATGAGGCCTCCTCGTGAAGCTCGCAGGCCTGCTGAAAGATGGCAAGCGATGTCGTAGTCCACTTTGAAACAGTAGACTCGTGTTCTGAACGACAAGCTTGTTAGTGCTTTGGGGAAACAATGGTGATCGACAGGCGCACTGCAAAAGAAACCAGAACATTCGATAAAGCATGCTATGCACTCTTGTCTTGCTCTCGTGGGACTCCAAGTCCTGCATCGAAGCGACAGTGAGGCAGTATGTGCGCCACGTCGAGTGCACATGCGGCACTTCTGCGTGTCTGGAGGTGAGCCGTCGGCTCTGCCAGGACCACGTCGTTGGCGCAGCAGCCACGGTATCCATCTGCTCATGATCACGAACCTCAGCATGTCTTAGTTTCAGAATCGCTCGCGGATCACTGCCCTTGTCACAGCATCCGCTTTGTCCAGTGTGTATTCTTGGCCGTCCACGCTTTTCCTCAGGCTGCTTCTTCACCCAGCCTTCGCCTTCGCCGCAGTTTGTGAAGCCTCTGCAACCCATTAGTCACCAACAGCCAATCTCCTCGGCATTGCCAAACTCACCTCTCCTCGTAGCATCCTCCAACAAAGGCGTATCCACCGCCGCAGCAGGCAAATGCACATACCGCACAACACTGCCTCTAATAAAGACATTCTTGACGGAGCTCTGTCGCAACATGACCCTGTCAGCATGTACTCTCTCTTATGCTTGTTCCCATGACTTCATTCTCCCCTTCATCTTCCAGACGCCAATACCGATTACGAACGTACCAAATGCGGATACTTCAATTCCTCCAACACCGAAATATCATCCAGCTTGATATTCAAATACTGGTCCACGCTCTTCAGCGTCCCGCGAATCGAAATGTCATTCTTCAGTTCCACTGTGACTTCGTGGTTCACGAGTGTTTTGAAGAAGCTGAAGAACAGCATGATTGTCGATTTTGCTCGTCAACGGTTGCTGTCGGACGTGATCGCTGATTCGGATGTGCAGGTGATTCGATTGTTCGTATAAGTGGTTATCGAGCAGGAGGCGGCGCATAGAGAGACGAAGGCGGCATTGGTGAGTGAAGTCGCGAGTGTCGGTCGATCTGAGAAGCTCAGTCTAAGCTTCCAACTGAACGAACGGAAAGTGTCCCGCGACACGTGACGTGGTTTTGACGACGCACGTTCTTCCGAATGCGATTCTACTTTACGGGAGTTTGCAGGAAGAAGTGACAGGAAGCAAGTGACAAATGATGCTATAGTACTATAAGTCTACGGGGTATCAGAACAATTCGATAAAGTGAAACAATTCCTCTCCATCATTCTTTCTCCTCAAGTCAACGGCCCACCTCTTCCAACTTCTCATCCATACCTGTCGTCCATCGTACATCCTCACAAATCAAAACCTCAATCCACCACCTACTTTCGATCCTGTATAAAGCTCAACCTCTGCTTCAACGACCCTCTCCTCTCCCGCTTCGGCACATCCAATCCGCCTTTCCCGGCGTCCTCATCATCCTGCTGATTAGCACGGAAAAAGCTCCATCGACTCGAACTGCGATCTCTCCTTCTCGACTGACTAGCCGGACGAGCCTGTCTCTCACCACCAGCATCATCACCATTCGTCTCTCCCAACAATCCCTTTCCTTGTTTCGAAAGTCTTCTCTTCAAGAACGAACCCCTCCGACCCCTACTCTTCTCCTTATCCGGCTCATCTTCTTGCCAGTCTCCTTGTCCAGCGCCCGAATTCGCTTGCTGGTGCTGTTCTATTGCAGCTGCTGTCAGCGCCGCGTGCGCCGCGTCGATGGAATTTCTTGGCGTAACATCTTCTTCTTCGTAACGTTCTCGATGCGGGAAAAGGGTACCCAGTTCATGCGAAAAGGTAGCTTCGAAGCGGGGCACTAACTCTGCTCTTGTAGCGAGGTGCTCGGAGTTCTTGTACAGAGCGAGGCAGCGTCTGATGGCTAATGTATGGTCAAGCAGGGCGACTTGCAAGGCGCTTTGCATGGGCTCGAGTGGAGCGTCGTAGGAACGCGCGTAGAGTGAAGGCTCGAGGGATTGGTTATCTTGGCCATGACCTGCAGGGAGTAACCCACGGTATCGCGACACACTGGTGCCAGAATCGGGGTCAACTGAGCTCATCAAGTCTTCACTCAGTCGTGACATGGCACCCTTGTCCTGACCGCTCACGATACGCTTCTCCAAAGCCAGCAGTTCTTGTGTCTTGCGTGTCGTTCGCTCTACTGCAGCTTCGATCGGTAAGAGGGTGACGGTCTCGATCTTGACAATCTCGCTTCGTCGAAGGATCGTGGGGAACTCGTCCGCAGCAGTGTAGACAACTTTCTCTACAACCTGCTCGGTAATCGGAATGTCGTGTGCAGGATGTCTCGAAGTCATGGCAAATTTACGCGGGTTCGCTGTCAGATTGAAGTCTCGCACTGCCTGTGATACTTTGGTGCGCTGGTAGACCATGTGCTCAAGGTCTTTGTTGGGACTGACGGCATAGATCTGCAGGAACTGTCCTTCCACGGCAGGTTCAGCACCACCACGCAAGATCTGTGCTGATGGATAAAGTTGCTGCATGCGATCCTCGAACAGGGCCAATCTGTCGCTGGGGTAGCCTTCAAAGATAAACTGCTTGTCTCGAAGCGTAGGTGGGAAGCCGAGCCCTCGATATGCCACTCTGAAATATCTGGGGTTTGGACGATCGCCACGCGCAATGCGCTCGTGAACACCAGCAATGGCGCGTTGCGTGCGGGCCAACTTTGCGTAGTCGAAGACATTTGACTCGTAGTGAGTAGCCAGCTCCCGGTACGCCCCAAGCGCTCGCTTCCACGATTGGCCTTTCTCGTAATGCTGGCACATCTTAAAATACAGCGCCTCTTTGCGCTCGAAAGCAGTTTGCGCGGGCATTGGAGGATCTTCCAAGGCGGTCAGATGCATGTTGGGATCCCACTCATAGCGGTCCGCGTGCATTTGAAGCGCCAATCCTGCCTCAGTGGTGTTGCCAGCCGCGACCTGCATGCCCGATAATTGGTGCACGTAGCGTGTGTAGGCATCTTCGGATTGTACATCGCGCAGGAACTCCATCAGACGCAAGGTATCGACAAGGCGGCTGGCATCGTTGATACCCGCTTTGCTCGAGTGCACGCTGGCCAGCATTTCCAGTAACTCTTGGATCCTGCTAAACATGTCAACCACTGCACTGAAAAGTGCGCGCTCGCTCGTTTTTTCCAATGGCCGAAAGCGTTCGATCATCTCAGGTACAAAGGTCTTTTGCAGCATCGACTCGGTCACGTTCGTGTTTCTGCATAGCTTGTCCAGACAGTCGATCATGGCGGTCTGAATGAGCGACAAGTCTTGATCGATTTGCCAAGCTCCGATGATCATGGCACGCAATACTTCGATAGCGACTGCCCGCAGACTGGCGTGGACGCTGAGGCAAAGCTCGACGATCGGCGCGACCATCTCAGGCACGAACTGCACTTGGTAACCACCCATGCGCTGGTAGCCATACAATTGCTTCTCTTCCTCGTCCGTCTCCCATCCGATCGCTTCCCAACTCCGCTTGAGTAGATCAGCTCCGAGCTCACGAACGTCTCCTGCGATTTTCCAGACTGCTCGTCGCTTCTGCTCTGGGAAAGTTTCCATGGCCAGGATCGGGCTGCTCAAAGTTGCAAACAGTGTATCGAAGTATGTCCGCCACATTGTTGTATCAAACTCGAATGCCTCGCTGGCGTCAGGGGCATACACATCTGGCAGCCCATCAATCAAGATTTCCTCTATCCGTTCTAGCGCTGTGATGCTGTAGCGATGATGACTGACGAGCAAGCTCAGCCAGCTGCTCGGAAACGCCTGACATGACAAAATGCTCTGGCTGACTTCTAGGGCTTGCATTAGCACAGTAGGTATGTCCACAATGTTCGAATCAAAATAGAGCTTTCGATTGGAGGAAAGCGCCGCCGCCAAAAGCGCTGCGATTTCGAGCATCGCCTCGTCGACGTCAATGTCTTCGGTCGTCGGTTTCGTCGGAAAGGGATAAGAGGTGGGGAACAGCATGCTGAATACACGTTTTGAATGGCGCGGTTGCTCCTTCAAGACGCCGAAAGACTCAGCCAGTTTAGGCACATACTGGCAGCTTTCTTCGCCAAGGTGCTCCATTTGCGCTGCAACGACCGAGCAGCATAACCGGACTGAATCCCGCCATTGCTGATCAGGTTCTGGTACCCATCCCCAATAAGGTTCGAGCCAGCTGAAGGTGCTTGCTATGAGATTCGCCCTTGTTTCGGGCGTCTTGAAGATATCGAGGTGACTGTAATTGACCAAGAGAATTAGGCGATATAGCGTCATTTTGCCTTTTGCATGAGAGCAAGAACTCATGAGGTCAGTCGCTACTTCCAGGATGTCGTTTGATGACATGATTGGCGTCAGTTCTGGCAGCCATGTGTGGAAGCGCTGTATCAGTAGCGTTTGTGTGCCCAGCAAGACCGGCATAGGATTGCGCAGCAATGCCATGATCGCGACGAAGAACTTCTGCAATTCACGTCTAAGCTCACCCTGACGATCAGCCGGCAGGATGCTGTTGTGCTCTTCCTCATCCACGCTTCCAGGCGAGTGCTTCATCGAATCAATGATCAGCTTCAGCATCTGGTCACCAACCTTCAGAGCGGCACGGAGCTTCCGGGAAGACTCAGGATCCATGTTGCGGGCGACAAGTCGATGAAATGCGCGAACGAGTGCTTTGCTTGCTCGCGGCCAGTCGTGCCTTGTCATGGCATATTCCTCAATGATGTTACCCAGTTCAAAGCGCTTGTCCCGACCGATGCCGAGAATGACCACGAAGTTGTAAAAGACCAGGTCCTCGTACTCTTCAATTTCATCGTACTCGTGCAGAATCTCAAACATGACCCCAAAGACATCGTGCAGCAGTTTCACGATTTCGATCTCTGGCACGAACGGAAAGCGACCCAGGAGTTCCTTGAGTCCTTCGCCGTGGTAATTTCGCCAGTGCAATACGCCAAGTAATGTTGGGTCCTGTGAATACTCTGTGCTGCAGAGATATGTTCTCAATGCAATGGTGGCTGCCGCTGCCTGAGAGGGATCGCTTTTGTCGTGCCAGGGTGGCAGAGCCAAATACGCGCCCTTGCCGTTGATTATGCTGCTCGAGTATTCATCGTAGACGTACAAAGACATCTGATGCTCCCCATCACGCACGAAGGCATCGAACTCCCATAAAGGTAACCACGCGAGCGCGAAAGGGAAGTTGGGATAATCTGCAATGCTCATCACAACATGGCTGCCCGGAACTTCCTCTGCAGGTATGGCCAGTCTGATGGTCTGGTTCCAGCCTTCTCCACGCTCGATGCCAGTCGTGCGCCATGCGGTGTGACCTTCGTGGTTCGCAGACGTGAATATGCACCCTTCGAAGCGCTCCCCACTGGCTTTGCGAACCTCCAGAGTGAGCTGTAAATTTGAGAGGCTTGTTTGGGTACGTTGGTTGAGCGGCACGGCACCGTATTTGGAATGTGCGAGGGTGGAGCTGCGTTGTAAGCGTGGTTCGGTCAATGTGAGGTAGATGTCGCTTCGCTTTTCCGTCGGCACGCCAGAGAAACCGAGTTTAGGAGTCATCAGAACATTGTGTAGCAATGTCGGAGTGTCGCGAACAAGACCTGCTAAATCTGCTGTGGCGAACGCTTGCACAAACACATCCAGACGTTTGATCAGTCCAACACGAGAATAGCCACGACTTGCGCTGCGAGTTAGGTCACGTACGATCTCTAGCCAGTCCTCGTCCTCGTCGTGCTTGTCGTCAGCAACAGAAGAGTTGGGCGTCCAAAGTGAGACCGTCGTTTCTGTGCTCGTGCTGCCCTGAGCAAAGCGGGTCACATCGATGGCTCCGACGCCCACGCAGCGCCGCACAAGTTTCGTTTCGCCTGCCGTGTCCGAGCCAGCTTTCCCACCAGAAGTGCCAGTCCTGTCCGATCGCTGGGACTGCGATGTGCCGGGCCGGGAAGGCACATTGGAACCATTACGTCCGTGGTCGCTCTTTTTCCTCGTGCTGCCAAACACACTGAGTCGTCCCTTCGAACTTCCCTGAGAGCCACCATGCGCGTTGCTTGTCAAAGCGGGCTTCTGCGCGTGATTGATCCCTTGACCATAGACTGCAGACCTCACAGGTTCATCCCGCATCAACTTGAAGACGACGTACAAGGAGCGTGACGCTGCGCCTGTGCCAACATCCGCATTGCTCAAGTTCACGAATAGTGTCTGCGGCTGGTCCTCGGGGGCGGCAGAGGGCTCTTCTGGTAGAGGTACCGAGATGGCAAAGTTCTCACTCAGGGGCTGTGGCTTCTCACCATGCTCCTTAGTGAAGAGACTGACGTGAAGCGTTCCTGGATGTTCTGCATCAGCGACCAGGTTGCGCGCATCCACCAGAAGATGGTGTAGCATGTGCTTGTCTGTCACGGGCTTTGGAGGTCTGTCAAGTATGCTCATGTTCGCCTGCAGCTTGGTCATCTCAATGACGGAGTCGTCTGCAGTCAGGATCCGACCATTTTCTGTGGGACTTCGGACGATGACCTCTTCGCTCAGCATCTTGTTGCCAGCAACGAGATCCCACACCGTGTCTTCTCGCAGCACTACGAGCTCTTTCTGAGTCAAGACATCGTGCATGAGCTGACTCCTCGCAGTGTCCACTCTCTTCACGAGCTGCTCAACCTTTGCAAGCTGGGTATATCCTCGCGCCAGGAGCAGGTCGTGCAGACGTGCATCGTGCCATTCTCGCAAGCAGGATGCGATTTCGTCTATCAGAGGCTCGGTCGCTGACAGGCTGGACTCATCTCCCACGCGCAGGAGAGGGACGGGTGCCAGGGGCTTGGGCGCGCCAGGAGCTCGAGGTAGAGGCTCGTCCGACAGAAATATCGACTTCCGCTCTTTCCTCAGGCTGCGTGTGCTCTGCTTCTTGCTCAATCGCTGGCTCTTTCGACGCGCAGCCAATGCCTGACTCTTCCTCCGCTGGCGCGGGTCCTCAATGTTGTCTATCGCTTCATCTTCTTCGTTCCCATCGGGCAATTTCCCCTCGCCTAGGTATTCGCGGACTTCGACGCAGTTGGCAGGAAAGATTCCAGAGAAGACACGATGCTCCAGCTGCTGGCCGCGATCGCTGGTGAGGCCTGCCAGCAGCGACGGCGGCGCGACCAAATATCCTCGATACCACTCATTTCGCGAGCCGCCTTGTTCGATGACATAGATGTGGTCGCCAATCTGCAGGGGGAGATGGTACTTTTCACTCGCAGTGAAGGGAGCAGTAGCAATAGCAAACGCGACTTGGCGGGATGGTGAGCACGTGCAGATAGGCGTGGTGGAGGCATTGGAATGCAAGCTGATTCTTCTTACCTGAAGGAAGCGGCTTCCACGGCATCGCTCCAACGTAAATAAAGTGACTGGGCTGTAAATAGTGGCAGTGAGCTCATCGCGTCGTCTGGCGCATCTGGAGGGTGGTAAGCTGTGCTGGAGAGAAATGCTGCTGCTGCTGCCGCTGGTGAGCTGCTCGGCTCTCGTGCTGCTGGACGAGGCGGAGTCGAGGGCGCGCTGGGGACGATGCAATGAACGAGGGACTGCTATACCAACTGCACCAAGAATGCCCGCGCGCACGCGTCAATCTTAACGCACGAGGAGAGGGACGAGAGCTGCAGTAACTAGTGAAGGGACGTCTGTGCGCGCACAAGCTCCAACGGCGTGCGTGGCGAGCACATGAATCGTACTCCCGAGGCCATGGCCGCGCTCATTTGCTGTCTCGTCCCACGCTCGCGACGCCGACCCGCGACGCAAATTTGCGATATCGAGAGAGGAGGAGCAGCTGGTATCGTGCTGACTGGGAGCGCAGGCTTGCGGCCGGGAGCAGTGGCAGCGGCAGCACGTCAGTGTACAGCAGAAGCAGCGTGCGGAGGGAGATGAAACCAGACGCCGACACGTCTGTCCGCCGCCCGACGCGAGATGAAACGCGCCCACGTCCACGGCGCCCAGCACGCCCTCGTATATCCTTTCCCTGCACATCATCAACCTCACTCGCCTGCTTCTGCCTTCCGGCTGCACGACTGCCGTCCCCGTCTCCGATGCCTTGTCTCATCATGCCGGCTCTCTGCTGTGGCTCTGCCTCCCGGCCTGCGGCACCGTTTTGCCAACGTCACTGCAGCGGAGCGGAGAGCGGGCATGCCTTCCCTCCACACCTCCGTCGCTATAGAATACAGCAGTGACGCGTAGTGGAGAGACGTGCTGGCAAGACATCATCCCAATGACAGTACGACGATCCCATTCTGCTTACAACACGCACCACCCTCCTCCGTGCTCTGTTCGTGATGAGGCTCCGCCGCCGTCCCACTCTCCCCGCAGAACCATTGGCCTCTGGTGCAACGTCACATTGCTTGCTGCATTCACCCATCACTGCCGACGAATAAGCACTAGCTTTTTGTATGGTAGATATATTGCTGCCGCTGATGGCCAAGGCTTGTGAGTCTTGATCGTTCTTGTCACTGACCGCAGCCATGCGCCTCCTTCGCTATGCCCTGGCAGTTGCACATCTGCTGACTCTACCGACCTCTGCCCAGCGCGTCATCAGTCTTGTCGGCGACGACTGGACACTGTCAAATCCTCTATTGAACATCTCGTTGCCGGCAAAACTTCCCAGTCAAGCAACCCTCGATCTCTACGACAACCAGGTCATTGGCGATCCTCTCTTCGGCCGAAACAGCTATGCTCTTCGTTTCATCGTCTGGCAGAATTGGACATACATATCTGCTCCCATCTCCGGTCTCTCTTCCAACGCCAGTAGTACATGGCTACTCTTCAATGGTCTCGACACCTTCACCAGCATCTCCTTCTGCGGACAGCACGTTGCCAGCACGAATAATCAGTTTCGCCAGTACTGGTTCGATGTATCGAAATTCTTGACCAATTGCACAGAAGAAAACAGAATACTTAACATCAACTTCGGGTCGGCGGCGAACATCGCCGACGAGATCGCCAATCAGCCCGGACAGGAGACTTGGGCTGATGGAATTCAGCAACTGTACCAGTTCCCCAACAGATGGTTCGTTCGCAAAGAACAGAACGATTTTGGATGGGATTGGAGTGCCGGTAAGTGATGCCCAAATGCGATGCTTTCTCCGATGTCCCTGGCAGTCGGACAACCCAATATCTAGCGATTCAGCATTGGGCACACTCCGCTCACAGGGATGTGTACGAGCCGCAAGCTAACCCTTGCATCGCTGGATTATAGGCTTTGTCCCTGCAGGACCATGGCAGCCAGCATGGATTGTACAGCTGGAAGACACAGAAGTGCATATCCGCAACAGCTTGGTCGACATCTATCGCCGCGGTCAGCTAAATAACCTCCCACCTGACCAGAATCAGCCATGGGTCGTGAATGCGAGTTTGGACTACTTTGGCGATGTAAGTGTGCTTTTGTGGTATCAGCATCAGGGATACATACATCTACTAGATGGGACCTGCAACCCAAAAATTGCGCCAGACACATGCTTACGCTCCGCGCTACTCCAGGTGCCCGATTCAGCAAGTCTGAAATACAAGCTCACGACCATCGACAATGCTACAACTATTGCAAGCGGAGATCTTGCAGCTGTCAATGTTACCGACACTGCAGTGACTGGGTCCACCATCGTTCCGCAAGGAGATGTCGAACTGTGGTGGCCAGTCGGTATGGGCTCACAAACTCTCTACTACATCACCATCGAGCTTGTGTCGGGGACCGGGCAAAGACTGGCTTCAGTGAGTAAGCGAGTGGGCTTCAGAACCATTGTGCTCAATGGCAACCCTGTCAGCGAGGCGGAGATGGCCAAAGGCATTGCACCTGGCAACAACTGGCACTTCGAGATCAATGCCCAGCCGTTCTTTGCAAAAGGATCCAACTTCATTCCACCTGATGAGTTCTGGCCCCGAGTAACGCCACAGCGCATCTCCGATCTGTTTGACACTGCAATCGCTGGAAACCAGAACATGTTACGAATTTGGTCCAGCGGCGCGTACTCGCCAGACTTCATGTATGACCTTGCGGACGAGAAGGGATTGCTTCTGTGGTCCGAGTTCGAATTTGGCTGTGCACTCTATCCCGCGGACCCAGAGTTCCTTGAGAATGTCCGAGCTGAGGCAGAGTACCAAGTCCGGCGAGTCAATCATCATCCGTCTCTCACTTTCTGGGCTGGTGGCAACGAACTTGAGAATCTTGAGCTCCCAAATGCCAACCGCTCATCGCCCGAGGAATACCCCCGACTGGTCGGCGAGTATGAAGCACTTTTCCTGCACACCCTGTTGCCAGCGGTCTATGAGAACAGCAAGAGTATCAGCTATCAACCCAGTTCTACTTCCAATGGCTGGCTATCACTCAACCACAGTGCTCCTGCGAAGGAGATCATGATCCAGCGATACAACAACAAGACCAAAGGAGCCGTGTATGGAGAGACAGATTACTACAACTACAACTCTTCATTCCTCGGCAACACCACATCTTACCCTGTTGGCCGCTTTTCGAACGAGTTTGGCTACCACAGCATGCCTTCAATCCAAAGTTGGCGGCAGCAAATTTCCGAAAAAGACCTTCAATTTAACAGTACCACAATACTTTTGAGGAATCAACACAATCCAAATTCCGACCTCGACATTTACAACTTGACCAACTCACGCACAGGTCAAGGACAGATGACAACAGCGGTCGAAAATTGGTATCCCATACCCGAGAAGACGGATCCCATTGCGAACTTCTCCGCTTGGTGCCACGCAACACAGATCTTCCAAGCAGAATTCTATCGCTCCCAAATCGAATTCTACAGACGTGGCAGCGGTCTTCCCAATCGGTGCCTCGGCTCTCTGTATTGGCAGCTGGAAGACATCTGGGTCGCTCCTACCTGGGCAGGCGTGGAGTACGATGGTCGCTGGAAAGTTCTCCACTACGTCGCCAAAGATGCTTACTCCCATGTTATCATTGCGCCTTACTTTGATCGAGCGACGGGAAACCTCAGCGTCTGGACTACTTCCGACCTTTGGGAAGATGTCAGTGGATCGGCGACCTTTGCATGGTATAACTGGCAGGGCGAGAAGCTTGACGTCCAAATGGACGAGTCCAAAGATGTGACCATTGGCGCACTCAACAGTACCCAGGTCCTTCAAACCAATACCACTGAGATCTTGTCGTCTTCGGACCACAACAATGCAATTCTTCGAATGGAGATCCAAGTCGAGGGACGATTGCCAACTTCCAACATGACGGAGACGTTCACTCACTCCAGCTTTTTCACTCCTGGTGCCTTGAAAGATGCACAGCTCGTCGATCCAGGCTTACAGCTTTCCTATGATGAATCTTCAAAGAAGTTCTCTGTGACGGCGACACAAGGTGTTGCAGCTTGGGTGTGGCTCGACTACCCTTCTGGAGCGGTCGTTCATTTTGAGAGCAATGGATTTTGGTTAGGCAAGAACGAGACGAGAGAAATTGGATTTACGGTGCAGAAGGATGAGACTTACGGGACGTGGAAGGATGGGGTCACGGTGGAGAGTATGTGGAATCAGACGTTGAGTACTTGATTTGTCATGTGCATATAGTCTCATCACGAGAGCTTACGCACGAACTATTTGGCATACAGCAATTCAAGTTCAAAACATTGGAAGAATTTCTCCTCCGAATTGTGCACATCTTTCATCGATTCGTTCATTCGTTATGTCTCCACTAACTCGTAGCCGTTAATGCCTCTGAATGCAACTACCTCTCTAAGTGGAAGCGCCTAGTCAGATTGGCTCTCAATCCATGAAAAGCTTTGCTGATTGGCTTAGTGACGTTCGGTCGCACTCAGAGGTAATTGCACTCAGAGGTATTCAGGGTTACTGGTGGCTTTCTACTTCTTCTCCGGCTCACCCTTCTGCGCCTTGTTCTTATTATCTCCGGTATCCTTGTAGTCTCCTCCCTGGGCTTCATATCGCCTGGCCATTTCGCCTGCTTTCCACGCCGACCATTTGCCAGCACCGCCGCCTGTAAAGCTCTCATGTCAGCGAATGCACGCTGTAGAATGAACGACGAGCAATTGTTCATGGGGGAATGGTAGCTTAGATCTTACCTTTCTCCTCTGCCTTGACTTCCTCCTTGATCTTCTCTCTCAACTCAGGATCTGTAGGCTCGCCTTTCGAAGAGGGCATTTTGAGAGTTGATGTTGAAGAGTAAAAGTACTTATGTTGATGTTTGAATTTATTGTTGACAATTTTGTCTCACGCAGACAACAGTATTATTGCGATAGAGACGAACGCGATAGAGCTGCATGCACCACTTCTTATGCTTCCAATGTCAAGGCGTTGCGTACTGCATATGTCATACTATACTCCAACCTTTCTTTCTTCGTAGATGGCTATCCTGCATGTGGTGGTCGTTTCGAAGACAAAAAGTCATGATGTCAGCGCGGATCGTTGTTCAATGGGTTGGATTTAGTGGTTGGTGGCTAGGAGCACAGGAACAAAGGAAAGGCCTGAAGCTTCCCCGTACGACGGAGGTAGCTTCGATCTGTGCTAGATCGGACGCTTATGCAGGTACTGAGAGCTTGGATTTTGAGATCCGATCTGAAGAAGATCTCATCTGTGTGGCCTTGCTAATTGTAATATTGTTCAATCTGTACAACTCCAAGCAAAACTATCATGGTATCTCTGTCATCGCTAATGAGAAAGCAGTTGCACGAACGAGTGATGGAAAGAACGGCGGTCACTTCTTGCCACGCGTTGATTTGCGCTCTCCAGGCGTCGCTGGTTTGGCCTCTTTCTTCGGTGCTGCCTTAGTTTTCTTGCCTTTTGCAGCCTCTGATTCGTCCTTCACTTTATTGCGGGAAGACTGTCGTTCGCCGGGCAGCACAGGTTTCGCTTCCTTCGTCGATTTCTTGGGTGTGGTCTTTGCCTTTTTGGTCTTGAGTTCCTCAACCTCGCTTTCAGCATCTTCGTCGTCAGCATCTTCAGTTGTCTCTACTTTGACCTTCTTGCCACGCTGCTTCTTGGCTGGCAAGACTTCCTCCTCCTCGTTATCCTCCTCATCAGCCTTGGCCTTACGCTTAGCAGCTTTTGGCGTTTTCTTCTCTGTCTTTGCGTCTCCCTTTGAAGTATCAACGTCACCGGCGACTGCCGCAGTCTTCTTCTGGACAGACGGAACGAATGCGGAAGTTCTGCCTCCTACAGTAATGTGTTCGATCTTCTCACCGCTAGGTAGCTTGTTGACATCGCCTTTCTTCCCCTTGTCCCATCGATACTTCATCAGCCATGTCTCTGGGAATTGGGAGCTGTCTGCAAGTGTCTCGCAAGCTGTCGAGACCACGGAAATCATAGCGTCATGTAGTCGCTTGATCTGTGCCTGGTCGAAGGTGTTGCTGTACTGCTCCGGATGTAGCTTCGCTTGGTACATGATCTCGTCGGCGACCCAATTGCCAATGCCACTGATGTTGGCTTGATCGAGCAGGAGAGCCTTGACGGGGACTTTCTTCTTGTTGAGTAGCTTTGTCAACCAGTCGACCGTGACAATATCCTTGTCGATGAATGGATCTGGTCCATTCTCCTTCAATGGGCTGTGCTTCCGAATGTCCTCTGCTTTGCAATCGACAAGACCAATTCTGCCTAATCGCCTTGCGTCCACAAACGCGAGTTCGACAGCCTCTCGATCACCCTCTGCATCACACTTGATCAACCATTTCGTCCACTTCTCTTCTGGCGGCCAGCTCTCAGGCTTCTTGTTATCCTCCTTCGCTTGCTTGTAGTACGCGGTCTCTTCAGTGGAACACTTGATCCAACCCGTCATTCCCAAGTGCATGACCGAATGTGGCGGCTTGTCGAAGGTTACATAGAAGTATTTGCCTATTTCAGCGTCAGATGCCGAAGCAACATATCTCCACGGATGAACCGCACATACCTTGTTGTCCAGCTCCAGTGACCTTCTTGCCTGTCAACGCTTTCGCAAAGGTCTCTGCATCCGTGCCTCCCTTCTTGCCGTATACTATTGTGTCCTCGAAGCCTTGACATGATGCGATCGTGCGATTGACCAGGTGCTTCCGCAGGTAATGCACCATGCGTGCCACTTCTCCAATCTGGACCTGTCAGCTGTGTTTCTATTACAGCCTGAGCTTCGAGCCCTTACCTCAGGCATTGTTGCGATATGTATGCTCACAAAGCTGAAGATCGAGAAGACGAACAAGCGCTCTCAAGGCAACAAACTTCATGTGTATTGAGTTAGATTCGCTGGCCGAGTGAGACGCGCCTCCTCGGCCTTGACGCGCGCGACTCGCGAAGCCGACAACCTTGATGTCATCACCATTTCGACCTCCATCATTCTGCTCTCTCTCACCAACATCACCAAAATGCACAATGCTCGATGGATAGCCCATCAAAACTGGCCGCGCCCTTCGTATTCCAAGCTGCATTTCATGACTAACGGCGCCGGTATGCACATCTCTAGTTCGGCTTGAGCTGCCCGAAGCGGCGGGGACCACGGCGTAGATAAGCACGATGCTGCTCAGGCTAAGTAGTTTCTGTTATTCATGGTCCAACTCTCCTCTCCTTGGCTCTCAGAACTCCTCACAAGATGCTCGTGAAGACGATAGTACTGGGTGCTATTGCCAGCCTCGTCGCTGGTCATGCGGGGCACAATCATGGTGAGAAGTACGAACAGAAGAAGTTTGTAGGCGAGACGAAAGAGGACTGTAAGTATGTCTTGGGCGCTGGAAATATACAATGCTGAAGAATCGTAGTGGACGCCAAATGGGGCACAGACGTATGTGTCCAAACATAACAACAGCCGATAGCATGCCATTGACTCTGCTCAAGTGGGGTTTCAGCGGCATCAGTACCTTTGCCCATCTGCCACATACAAGATGTCTCCAGAATCCAGATCAAGAATTCGACATTGCTATCCTAGGTGCCCCATTTGATACCGCAGTTACCTATCGACCAGGAGCCAGATTCGGCCCACGAGCTATCCGAGCTGCTGCTGGCCGTCAAACAGCTTTCCGTGGCTACAATCCTCGAGCTGGAATCAACCCATACCAAAGCTGGGCGGAGGTAATCGACTGCGGAGACATTCCCATCTCTCCCTTCGACAATGCTCTCGCACTTCGCCAGATGACGGAAGCCTTCACAAACCTGGCTCACAGCACAGCTCCCAAGCACAATGCGAATTCGAAGATCAAGTATCGTAATACTCCCAAGCTGCTGACGTTGGGAGGTGATCATTCGATTGCCTTGCCAACGCTACGAGCTTTGAATCAGATCTACGGGCCCGTGGCAGTCGTTCACTTCGACGCACATCTCGATACGTAGGTCTCTGCTTCTGTTGTGTCAAAAATGCCACTAAATATACAACAGATGGCACCCAGCAAAGTATCCTTCGGCCTGGATCGACTCCTCCAACCCCAACGAGCAATCCTTCTTCACCCACGGCACCATGTTCTGGGTAGCCCACAATGGTAAGGTGCCCAAACCTCCCGCTTACGTGTCTCGCTCTTTCATAAACACTGTTAATTCCCCGGCCCAAAACAGAGTCCTTGATCCGCAAATCCTCCTCCGTCCACGCAGGCCTTCGAACCCGCCTCTCCGGCCCAGAAGACAACGACGACGACACAGAACAAGGCTGGACAAGAATCGCCTGCGATGACATCGACGACATCGGAACCAAAGGCGTTGTCGAAAAGATCCTCTCAGTCGTCGGAACCGAAACTCCAGTCTACCTGTCTATCGATATCGATGTGGTATGTGATCATCCCATCTACTTTCGTCTCATCTCTTTCTCCATATCATTCACTCTAAAAAGCTTTACTTCTTATTTCTCACCTCATCACAGATCGACCCCGGCCTCGCACCAGGCACTGGCACCCCCGAACCGGGCGGCTGGACGACCCGCGAGCTCATCCGCGTGCTCCGCGGGATTGAGAACTTGAACGTCGTTGGTGCAGACGTTGTCGAAGTCTCTCCAGCATATGATGGAACGGGCGAAGTAACAGCTCTGGCCGCCGCACAGATCGCGTTCGAAATCCTAACGAGTATGGTCAAGAAGGGATTAATTGGCGATGAGGGAGCGGCGAAGCAGGGACGCGATGAGTTGTAATGGAAAGATGAGCACGAAGGTGGTGATCGTTGCTGAGAGCCTCGAGTGTGTGGGGATAAGCTGAATCAGCTTTTCAAGTTCAGGTTCTGTGAAGAGAAAAACGATATTGAGAAGATCAAATCTATTCGTTCACTTTTGCTTCTGTCTCTCTCGACACGCTCTTACTCCCGAGACGTAATCCCAATAATACATTCCGCACACAAGCTTAGCACAGCGCAGCATAGCACAGCAGAGAGCATAATAGTCTTCGTCCTCGTCCCGCATTCGAAAACACCATAAGCTCCAGCTCCCTTCCATCATCATAAAAAGAAGAACCATATCACCTTTCGCCCCTCTCGCACTCATCCATTGTTTGTTCGTTCCCCCTCAATAACCAAAGTACGTCGTGTGTTCTGCGCTCGCGCCCCCTTGTTGGTGTGATGACGGTTTGAACTCCCTAGCTTTACAGTGTGTCCATCACAGACAGTCAAAAACGCCTGTTTCGAAAATGCTCATTTTTTCCCTCTCCCCGACGATGATGATGATGATGATGATTGATCTTTTTGTTCTCTTCGAAAAGCCCGCGAAAACGAAGCAACTTAAAGCAAAGGGGGTATAAGAAGAAACAGGTTGCCCCGCCGCCGCGTGAAAGCAGGCAGGCAGAGACGACAGAAGTAGAAGAAATGTCGCTGGTGAGGTTGGTGTGTTACCGATGGTAGCCCTGGTCCACTGTGCCGGAGAAGGCCGAGAACGTCGCCGCCCGGTAGCGCCCGAAGAAGAGATATCGTCTCAGACCAAATCTGAAACTCGTAGTGGTACTCCAGATGGATCATGCAGGGGCGTGTTAAACCTGCAAAGCTCCTCCGAAAGGACGCGGATAAAGGGCATTCGCAAGTTCCCACGACTCCAACTAGAACATCGGACCAGGAGGAAGACAGTGTCGGCTCGGGTCGAACTAGGACATCGCGCCAGGAAGAAGACTGTGTTGGCCATGTCCGTAAGCTCCGGTGATGGGCGCTTCGGCGCCATCTGACAGAGCCAGAAGCAGCTGCGCCAGGCAACGCTTAGTCGCAGCATCGTCTCTCAAGACTGGCGAAAATGTTGCATCACGCAGTGGCTCTGGTAGACACTGGCGGAGCGCTTCTCGAGCACGAGCATTATCCGACAATCTTTGAAATGTCAGCCTGGCAACGCGTGTGAAAAAGCGTGTGATCGACTTACCGCAGAAAACATCGCACTACGTGCTTGAGTAAGCGCACAGTCTGTTGATCGACCAACTGAGTGACCATGTTGCTCAGGACCGTTCCCACGGCATAGAAGCGCTCGTAAGTCTGGCAGATATATTGCAGACCCATGTCATCAAGTAAGATTTTCTGGACAATGAAGATGGCGACTGTCTTACTGAGCTCCGATCCGGTTTCCATAATCCGAAGGCAGAGTGGGATGATCTCGGTAGTCAACAAGAAGTTGATGACCTCAGAACTGTCATTCTTGACGAGCGCGCCGATAACACCAAGAGAGGTCAGCCGCAAATATTCAAACGGTCTGGATTTGGAGGTCGTGTTGAGGAACGGGTACAGGAAGAGCGGGATGTGAGCTGCGCTACTGTTAGCATCGTTCGGAAAAAGCATTTCTGTAAGATCAGACATACCATTCAGGAAGAGTCCTCTGGTCTCGCCATGGCTAGCCACGCATTGCAACAGGGCGAGCGCATTGCAAACACGATTAGATGCGGCTGCTGTGAGCTGGCTGGGGTTCAGCAGCGGGTATACTGATATGATCTCTTGCAGCAGAGACGTCATGACGCCTGGGGTAAGGTGTAAGTATTCCATCTCTCCAACGGCGCTATCGCGTCGCACTCACCGAAAGAGTGCCACAGTATGAGCGCCAGCTCAGGGACCTGCTCTCGCTTCTTGCTAAGTTCCAACAAAGCGGCCTCGCGTGTCTCGGGTCGCAGGACTTGAGAGATCCAGTCCAGCACTCGGCGGTTGTCTTCACTCATGTTCTCGCCTGAGCCCATCCCGCCTCCATGCTCAGCGCCAGCACCGCCGCCCAGAGCACCTCCAACAAGCGCAGAGGCGCCATTCATCGCGTTACCGCCCGGGTTGCCGTTGCCGTTGTTCTGGCCCGCGGCGCTCATCGCTCGTCCGTAGTGCTGCTGCTGGGCTGCGACGGCGTTGGCCGCAGCGGCAGCTTGTGTCTGCGCAGCATAGTGATGTTGCTGCTGTGCCTGGCTTGGGTGGTGTTGCCAGTCGGGTTGCCCTCCGCCATGATATGCGTTCTGTTGCGAGAAGGCGCCATGCATGTTGGATGGGTTCTGGCGGCGCTGAGGCCCATGCATGCCCCTTGTGTGCGCCGCGAAGGGCGTCTTGTCGTCAGGTGGAAAGGATGTCTCGTCGTCGCCGCGAAGTCGGTGCCGTGGTCGTCGTGGGTTGTGAGGGTGGAAGGGAGGAGTGTTGCATGCTAAGTCTGGAGAGCAAGATCGAGCTCGGATTCGAGTCTCGTCGGACAAGCTGATCTCAACTGAACAAGCTTTGACCCACTGCGGCCCTGCCGAATCACTTACAGCATCACGGCACGATCCTCACCTTGAACACACATTGTCTTCGGTGATTAAGGTTGAAGGCTACGTGAGTTGAGCAGCTACGAACTGGTAAGCATGAGCGAGAGATGTCAATTTCAGTCGTTTTCAGGCTCAAAAGGAGGAGCGAGTTGTCATCACATGGCCGTGATCGACCTTCCGCGCCAAGGAGGCGTTGCGTCCTGGGGTATCTACAAAATCAACTATATAATACAGTCCCTGGCACATCTATACTAGATCAGCCTCCTTAGCCTCTCTCTTCAGTTCGTCCGCGACCTCTTTCGCATCCCTTCGCACCATCTGCATTACATGCTCCTCGCCTCCCGGTCGGTTCTGCGCAGCCTGGTACCGCAAGGCAAATGCCGCGGCACCACCAGCTATGATGCCTCCCACATGTCCCGTATGGTCAAGCGTCGTCTTAAACGCTCTGAGCGCTGCCACAGTCTCGCTTGCGCTGATCAACGCCAAATACATCCAGGCGTAGACGGGGATCTTGTATCCGAAGATCTCGATGGAGCCGGTGGGTCGGAGTGTACAGATTGCCGCTGTGACTCCCAGCACGGAGTTCGACGCACCTAAAATGTACACCATCCACTGCTTGCGTAGGACGTTGTAGACCAAGGATGTGTATGTACCTGTAACACCCGAGGCAAGATAAATTGCAAGGAAAGTGCCTCTTCCAACTTCTTCGTGGAGGAAAAGCCCGAACAGCCAGAGTGTGATAACATTCGATGCCAAGTGGTAAATTGAGTCGTGTCGGAAGCATGCACCGATGAGACTGAGGGCATAGGGATATGCCGGGGAGCAAGTCATGTACTTATTGTAAGTCTTCCAAAGCGGTGGCAGGCGGCCGAGAAAGAAACTCATTGCTAATAGGCCAGTGATGCCCCATAGCGTTGCCGCTGCCGGAGGAGTCTCAGGCCAAAGCCGGGCGGAAGTGGGTGGTGGTGTATAGTTCTCGTGAAGGTACCAGCATCCGGCCAGGACCAGCAGCAACATCAGAAAGGACGGTACAAGTCGTGCAATGTTGCTCATCTGAGGCACAACATTCTCCTTGATGATAGTGGCTTTCTCCTCGTAGTACTTGATATATGCAGGCTTCGCTCGCGGCTTTCCAAGAAAAGCTTGCGCCGCTGGCGGGCGAATCGAGATGCCAAAGGGTCCCTTGTAAGTCAACTGGGAAGGGACTCCCGCGCCGCTCAAACCAGGCTGTACACCACCAAGAAGTTCCAGAGGCCCACGTTGGGCGGCAACAGCGTTGAGCTCAGCCCTTTTCTTGGCCTCTTCTTGCTCCCGCTTGAATATTTCGTACTCTGTCTCATTTGCTTTGCGAGTCGCTTGTAGCACACTTTGGCCTGTTTTCTGTCGCCCAGCTTCTGTTCCCTGTTGTGACTCTTCAGTATCCTCATATTCCTGTTCGGCGGCATCTTCCTCGGTGGCTTTGTACAGCCGCAGCTTGACTGCTCGCGCTTCAATTTCTTTCCGTAATCTTTCCTCTTCCTCTTTCACCCATTCTTCTCCATTCCCTGCCTCGTCCACATCTGGTAGTTGAGACCGCAAATATTCCAATGCTTGCAAAGCCTGCTGCTGTGTTACCTCAATCCCGCCAGAAAATCTCAGTCCCACATCTATCAGAGCTCCCGATTGTCTTCTCCAATGCATTACATTCAATATGTAGTTGCCTGTATCAACGTCGACATCCTCGTTCCCGAATATGGCATTGATCTCAGGTTGACTGCGCTCTCCGCCAGGAAGCGGCATTCCTCCTTCTGGATCGTAGTCGCGCCATGTTAATTGGTCTTCCTCCAATCGAGATGGGACACCTTCTGTATGCGACGCTACTGTCGGCGCAGGTTCTAGCTTCGCAGCCGCTGAAAGGGCAGCGCTCCTGGCCTTATGTGCCTTGGTCTGCGTCGATGGAGGTGCAACCTTCTTTGAGGTGGCCGACTGGGTCGTTGCCTTTCGTGTAGTTTTCGCAGGGCCTTTCTTTGCCAGGCAAGGAGTCGTGGAAAAGGTGGCTTTGTGCGGACGATTTGTTACGTCCGATCTAGAGGCCTGGCGGTATCCATGACAGGCGAACGACCACTGTGCAAAGCTCCGAGTGGATTGCGATTTGGCATAGCCATTGAACAGCTGCAGCAAAGGACTGATGCGCGTCTGCTGTCGTGGCAGACTCGATGCTACCGATGTCCAGACATTGCTCATTGCTGCAGATGCCTGCTATCTCGAACGCGGTAAGCGGTGATCAATTCTTGACAGTCGTCAATGTCGATGACGGGACGAAACTCAGCCTCGCTTCGTCTGAGATTCTGCGGCCAATGCGGGAGACGCTCGGGAGCTCCGAACTCTGAACTCGCAACTTTCTCCTAGCCTCTCCCTCCCAGCTACTTTACCCGACACCGATAATCGAATACCTGCTGAGTAGACGAGCGTCATGAAAATGACCTGTGACACAACCATACGAAGATGTTTTTCATTCACCAAGGACATCCTTCAACGTGGTGCCAGAGATTGCGAACACGTTGCTTACGCTCAGCATTAGATTACCATCATGTCCTAACAGAGCTAGACTGACTACACTCGGACGGGAATGTGTCGTAGAAACAACTCAAGCCCTTACACGACCTGCCTCGGCTCCCCGGTCTCATCATCAAGGGCATATCCTACGACCTTTGCGAAGTTGGGCAGGAAAGGCCAAGCCTGCACCCTCTCCACATCTTCACGAATGCAGTTCTCAACTCCAATATGACCGAATGTGCCAAATATCTTATCTCGGACTTCATACGCGTGATCGGGAGCACGTGCAGACAGTCGGGCACGGTTCTCATCGTCCGTGGTGTTCATACCACCGCAGTCTATCAAACATTAGCAAAGCGACTTCCAGCCGCCACGAAAGTACTCACCGCTATGGTGAATAACCACCACAAGACCTATCGGAGCAATGGTTCCCATGATCTCCAGCGAACGAAGCACCTGTTCTTGCACTCGACCGCCAGCAACACGAATGATATTCGCTTCCCCTTTCTTCAGCCTGAGAAACTCTGCAGGTTCGATGCGGGCGTCAGAGCACGAGACTAGGCAGCAATCAGATGTCAGCGTTTGGCAGGCGCACTGGGTTATGGTAGACGTACCGATAAAGATCCTTCCATTCTCTGGAGTCTGGGGCATACCAATGAAGTTCTTCATTGCCAATGGCTTTTTGTATTCCGGGAGGCCTTCCCTGTGGGCAGGTGTCAATTCAAAGTCCACACCCTCAGTCGCAGCATAAGAGGATAGGATACCGATGCCGGGCGAGGAGTTGCTCGAATCGGCGCTCTGCTGCCATTTTGTTCGCTGCTGTGGGTTACTGTTCCAGGTGACGACTGTGAAGGGCGAGCCTGTCGACAGATGACATCGTGGCCGATTTATATGCTTGCTACATCTTGAATGGTTGTTCTCGCACTCGCTGTATATATGACAGAGAGCGAGCTTAGTGAGCATCATTTTGAAAAGGCAACAGCTTTCTCTGTCACGAAGTTCTTCCGTACGGTCGGAACGAGGCTGCCTTACTGCTGCATTGCTTATCTTACGCCCTAGGAGATATACTAATCAAGACACAAGTCACTCACCTCATCTGCGCCGAGCCATTGCCTCGGGATCAGTGATCAAGGGCGACTGATGAGAGGCTGGGATGATCTCCTGTGGTCAGGATAGTTCAGACAGTTTGCTGACATTGCAAAGGACAAAGACGAACAAAAAGGTACTGTAGCAACTTGAAGCAAACAACAGAGGAAGGCCCCTCGAACCATCAAATAGGGTAGGTAGATTCTTGAATTAGTGCAGCTATCCTTATAGAAGAGGTTTAAGCAGACCACGCGCGCCTGAGAATTTTCTTTCTGCTAGCACCAAAGCGTACTGCACGATTTTACTTATACTGTCGTCTATATCTAACTCGTAAACAGATCTTACGGGGGCAACTGTCGCGCAATATAGAGGCCTAAACCTTAGTAGTTGCTACTACGTAATCTCGCGATACCTTAGTATTTACTTAGTTTATTTACTATAATAGTAACTACTATTATCGCTATCGTATTATCGTATTAAATAATCTATTTAGCTATCTATTATATATCTAAATAATAGCGCTTAAGGTCTTTATTATCTTACTACTTACTATAACCTCTACTATAAGCTTTCTACTATAGTACGTTCGATACTATTTTAGCGATACTATTCTATAATTAGTTTATAGCTTATACTATACGCTCGTTATATATATCTAGTATTAAATTTAGGAGTCTAACCTATCTAGATATAGTAGAATAAGGCAAAGTAAAACT